CGATTTTTTGTTTTTCTAACATCTGAGCATCTTTTACCCTAAAATTTTAGTCTGCATAGATTAGTCTGTTTAGATTAGCTCTATAGTAGTGCACTATGCAATTTTAAAATAAACCAAAGAATTCTTCAAAAACAGCCAAAAACGTACTTTGAAGGCCAAAAGAATAAAGAAAGCGTGACTTTTTGCTAACTATTTATCACAGTTTCAACATGATACAAACGAATGTTATTGAGGAAGTGTTTGAGATCAAAACAATTGATTTTGCAAAGTAAACGTTTACAATTTCGAGTGTAATATTGAGAATAATCTTCTGAACGTATAGGTGTGGGATTGACCATGACTATTTTATGAGGCTATGTTTTAATGAATATTTTATCATTTATTTATGATAAATATTAACTTAACATAATTTTTTAAAGTAGTCATGGTTAGTCTCATGCTCACGGTATTTATTCACAACGTTATTCTTAATATTACCCTCAAAGTTATGAACATTTACTATATTTTAACTTGTTTTGATCTCAAACCCATCCTGAACAACATACGATTGAATCATGTTGAAACTGTGAGTAATTGTTAGCCAAAAATGCACTTTTTCTCTGTTCCTTTGGCCTTCAAAGAACGTTTTTGGTTGTTTATGAAGGGTTCTTTCATCTATTTTGAACTTGCGTCATGTGCTTGCTCTGATAACATATGTTACTGTAGAGAGGTCGAAGAGGAGGTACTGTAGGGGCAGGGTTTGATCAAAGGTAATTGCTTTTGGATCTAGCCTCTTATTGTTAGGTTCCTTTTAAAAATTATTATACCTTAATCATATTGTTTTTATTGAGATATGAACGTTTTTTGGTTTGTTACTTAATTTTTAAGCCTAAAATTACATGAAGAATAGGTAGTGTTAAGATCTCTGAAACGATTGATAGAGCTTGATGCGTTCTCCTTAAGAACGTTACTGTAGAACTTTGATTTGATTGGTTCTTTGACTTCTTTATTGTGTAAAGTAAACAGTTACTGTTACAAAAAGGGTAGTTTTATCTGTCTTTGACAGTCTAAAATAACTATTTGGGTGTTTTTTGTGGAGCTTGGTCATTAAAAAGCACTTTTTTGATTCAGACTTTAAACATTGATTACTGTAGGGTTGAACTATGAACTGAGACGTTCTAAAAGGGTCTGTAGGCTTATAATTTTCTTCAAAGAACGTGTTTTGATTGCTGGGTCGTGTCAAAGAATAGGCATTTTAAATTGTAACATAAACTGAACGTAAAGTTTGTGTTCAAAGTCTTCAGAATCTAAAATTCTAGTGATTTATGACTTCAAAGTCATTACAGTTACAATATTCTCTTTATCTAACCTAATTAAATACTGTCGATGAACTTTTATCGCCCTTAACACTGATGGCTGTACTCTGTTCTTTTAAATGATGGCTTTGCTCTCCTCCTGTTAAGTGGTGGCTTTACTCGAGTCCAAAGTATCATCCTTTTGCGAGCTAATGCGATCTTCACATTATATATGAAGGTTCCTCTCATCTCAAAAAAAAGATGCATTTACGACTGGTCTTTGCTCACTTAAAGATACGACAACTGATCTTTGTATATGCGATGATTTTTCTGGAAATTTTGTTTACTTTTCTTGATAATTTGTCGCGTTTTTTTTGCAAAAACTATGATAAGTGAGCGTTGATCCTTTAGGTAGTGGATCAACTGGAACATAGGTGTTACAGTGGATCATCTAAAACGTAGGTATGATAAATGGATCATCTAAACGATAAGTAAGATAGGGTATCGTCTAAAACATAAGTATGACAGTGGATCCTTTGGAGGATCACTACCATACCTAAAGCATAAGTACATGTATAGAGTCGTTGTTTGGCCGAAAAACTTGTGTGTGGTCTTGTTCTTGGTGCTTTATTCTTTTTGAGTATTTTTTTACTAAAATACAGCGCTTTCTTGAATTAAAGTATACGAATTCATCTAGATATTGTAGTTCTCACATCATCTCAATGAAAAACCAAACAAAAAATCGCTTTAAAATGTGAAAATTCAACTACTATTAGGTGCCGACATAAAGAACCCGCCATACTTTTTCTGTAATTTCCTTTAAAAGATGGCGGGTTCTTTATGGCGGCAACTAATAAATTGCATGAAAATTATTTTTTGTCGTATGTGCAACTTTATGACCCTTTTTACATGATTGTACAAACCGAGACCGTCGAAACCGAAGATCGATGACGTTTGCCGGCCAAAAACCGCGCGTACTTTGCGCGCATTTTCCCGATTGCAAATTTCAACGCGCGCAACAACGTCTATCACCCACCCTCGTAACGGGTTCACCCAGCTTTAAATAGTAGCCGATTCGTTTCTGCTTTGTGTGTAATATCACTGCAAGCTATTTTTAGACGTTTTTGTAGTTGAAATTGTCTGTTGGTTACAGTGTGGTTTGAGCGATGTTGTTACAGTGTGGCTTGAGGAATGTTGTGACATTGTGATTTGAGGAATGTGGTGACATTATGTTTTGAGCGATGGTGTACAGTGTAGTTTGAGGAACGTTGTTACAGTATGGTTTGAAGAATGTTGTGTTAATGGTTATTTTTTGATTTTCTGTGTTATATGTCAAGGTTTACTCCAAGCAATAGAAGTTAAAGTAGAGCTTTCTAAAGCTGTACTGATCTTTCTTATAAGCAAGACAAAACTGTTGTCTTGCAGTAGCTCGAGAAAAGTACAGTAAAAATGAAAAGGGTTTAAAACCCTAAAGCAAGCTCTTACGTCACGGTAGCTCAGGCTAGAACTAAGAACTCACTGTTCGGCCTTAAAAACCACCTTTTAGCCGTACCTCATGACCGCCACAACAAGTGTCGGGCATTTGACTCGCTGACGGTACTTTAATCTTTAATGTTTATTATTGTTTATAAGACTCTTCTGGACTTTGAAGGTGTGATAAGCGTTGTCTTGTCTGCGATTTGGGTGGACTTTTGGACCGGGATTTTGTTCTTGATCAGTGACTAGATTTTCATTGTGTTTTCTGCTATAACTGACTTTGTTGTAGGATTTTAATGTTTTGAGTGTTTTGGAGCTTTTTCGGCCGGTTTCTACTTTTGAAAGTTTTTTTTGGGCTTGAGGTGGTATATTAAGCATGATATTGGCATCTTTAGCAACGGTTTGGCATTTCTTCTTGCTTTTGATAAACTTAAATTTTGGGTAGTACCCAGTTTAAATAATAAGGTTAATGTATTTAATATGAAACATAATTTAAAAACGACATTAAACCCAATTAACCCATATGTAGCTAGATTCCCGATAACGGTGTCGCAAGGTAAACGTCATTATAAGGCCTGTTCTTTGGTTTCAGACGGCCTTTGTCTCGGTTACTGATAACGGGCTCACCCAACTGTTTTCGGTTATAAGAGCTAAAGGACGGGTCAAAGTCTACTTGCTTACTGTCGCTAGGCTTTAATTTGGTTTCTTCGTTGTCGTTGATACGGTTTTTCAGTCGATTATTTCGTCTTATCTTTACTTGGAAGGCGACGGTAGATGTAATGTTTTAAACTGTTTTATGTTTAATATAGTAGGTTGGCTGTAAAGGGCGTCGGAACGTATTGAGGGGTGTATTTTCTTGCTACTCACAGGTCCCTACCTGTGGACGAAAAATTTTTTTTCGATTTCCCCCTCCCCCAGAGAAAATCCGTAGCGACGTCCCTGCTACTGAGGTATATATGACTGGAATGGCTTCTGGGGTTAGTTTTTTTGGTAAAATACGAGATGTAAGGTTTTTCCTTCTTACTGTTTGTAATTGATAATTAACTACAATTCTCTTGGTATATTAAAGCTATTATTTACCGTAACGGCTTCTAACTTGCCCAATACTTATCAGTCATATACACTTATATTAAAATACCTATTAGTCATACACTTATATTATCAACACTCTGATCTGTACCACGTTGATCGACCAGCCTGATCAACATGGTGACAGATCAACAGACACAAACTCTAACTGGTCTGTAAGTTTGAGCTATCGTTGTTCTTCGACCGTCAAACAGTTTTCCTTGACAGGAACGTTGTACCCCCTTTCTGTAGCGAACAGCCTTGTGAAATCGCTAGCGCTTTGTGTGTTATTGTAGGCGGAACTAGTTAGAATCATGTTGTTGTAGACGTTGGGACTGGAATTTCCTTGCAACTTCTATTGTTTTTGTTTTTATTTTTTTTTGGTAGCTATTTGATATTGAGAATAGGTGGTGTTGAGATATTATAATAGGCTTGAAATCTGAAATAGAAAGGTATTAGAAAGCCGGCTTAAATGGGCCTAAACATCGGTTGAGTTAGGATTAAAAATTGGTCGATTTAGGACTATAGATAAGATTTATCATCTTGGAGATTCAGTTTCAGCTAGTATTTTCTTAGTGATTATAAGGGGTTTTTTTCTAGCTGATTGCCCCTTATTGTAGGCGTTTCTTTGCTAGCAAACTAAATTAATGTAGACGTTTTTTCGCTAGCCAACTCTACCTTAATGTAGGCGTTTGCTAGCCCCAAAAACGGTTTCCGGCTCGCGTGGTCAACGGTGATGTTGTTCTTGCCCCCGACCGGCTGATTTATGGCTTATTATTGAAGACGAAGCCACGGGGCGTTCGCCGGTTTCAAAGGCGGAGCCAACGTGATAAGAAAATTTAACAATAGGGTGGGAGGCCTCGATAAAAAGCAGAGGGTGGATGAATTTAATTGCACTTAAATCATGCTTCATCGCATGTGAAGGTCGTATAAAAGCAAAAAAGTAGCAAGCTTAATTGTGAGGGTGGCGGAGGTAGGAATTATGAATTTTATTTGCCTAGAGGGGGTGGATTTATATTTTTAAAACAAGTGGGTTTCCTTTGGATTCTTTATTATTTTAGGTCACAATTTGATTATTTTTGACTTTGAAAAGGTTATCTTAGGTACAGCTAGGGTTTTTTTTTTGTCTTAAGGACATATTGGATTCAATATCACCTTGTTGTTCACTTTTTTCGGCTTGTTATGGTAGGTGTTGAACGAAAGTTTAAATTTTTTGATAATTAATACATTGTTAAAGAGAAATTTCAAATGAAATTTTAATTTTATTAGATTTTGATTTTTGTGAGCCTTTCTTACTAATAGAAACACTTGGTATTGTTTGTTTTGATTAGGATTTGTTTGATCGTATAACTTGTCACCCGCAGGTCGCAGCTTATTTTTGATTTTTATGGGTTTGGAGAGGGATTTTTAGCATATTTGGGGATGTCGATGAATTTTTTTATCATTTCGTGCTTTAAATTTTTTTAATTTGAAAAATGCCATTTTTTAAATTTAAAATTTTCAGAATTCTCGCTACATCTGCGCCCTCAACTCGTCGCGCTCCCAACCAAAACGAAATTCAAGTCAACGGAGACTTGAACCGACGAAGCCAAGTTCTCCCCACAGGCGCCCCCCAACACCTGTGACAATAACCCCCAAACAGAACCCCCGCGTTTCACGCATCGCCGTCGCAGGCGCGGACCCGTGGTCCAGCAAACAGCCGAGAGCGGCCGCATTCGCTCGCCTAGCGTTGCACCGTTTCAACGGCAACCACCGTACCTCGAGACCACCTTTATTACGCATTAACGGGTTGGTCGAACCGCATTGAACTCAACTTATTTATTATTTTAACTGTTTTTGGTTGTGGTATACCTACTACAATATAATTTTGGAATCTATTGTGAGGAAAACAGCGGATTTTTGGACATTTCCATATTCTTCAAGGCTGTTTCTATTTTCTACAATATAAACTTTGGTCAATTAGAACATAAGAGAAGATGGAATTCATCACAGATCCAATCTCCGACTCATATACCCCATCCACAGGGTCCTCAATGTGCTCGTTGAGCAGTAGCAAGTCTGATAACGTATTTTTTGCCAATATCTTGCCCGACGTGAATGTCTACGGCGAGCCAGAACCTGCTACACCCACCACGATACAGGTATGCATGCGGTTTTTGAATTTTAAAAACGTTGTTTTGCTGTGGTAAACCTCAATTTTTGGCCCTAAAATACTATAAAATGAAGATTTTTTGAAGCTTTTTAATTGAAAATGAAGATTTCTCAAAATTTTATTACCTAAATTACAACCTAACGCATCCATTTTAGAGAAACCTATGTCTGGACGCCACATCCGACATCAATGTTGATCTCACCGACGACGAAGACGCCGAATCCCCAGTTAAAAAGACAAATCCGGCCAAGAAAATCTGCCTTTGTGCCGTCTCCAAGCCCTCAGAAACTCAAGAAGCAGCTCGTCCTCAACCGAAAAAGGCTTCAGAACTACCGGACGTACCTTACAAACAAACTTCAATCACAGACGAATACAGAATTAGCCATGAAATCATTGGAATCGGGGAATCCGGCAAGGTTATGGCCTGTTATCGCAAATCGGATAGCCGAAAATATGCTTTAAAAGTCCTGAGAGATGGACCAAAGTCCAGAAGAGAAGTACAACTGCATTATCTCGTCAAGTAAGTTGTTTTACATTCATTTTGATTCGATTTTAGACAAGTTTTGAGGTTAAAGAGGAGATATTCCACCTACTACAATATTTGCGAAAATTTTAACTTTCTGGGCCGTTTGCCTGTTGTTTTTTGCTGTTTATTACCTAAAAATACAAAACAACAACTTAAAAACATGTCGGTTTGTCGATGAGTGCACTTGCGCGCAAAATTTTCTCAAAAACCGATATTACACTAGACGTGAGGTGATTAATTTTAAAGTAAAGCGATATGATGCAAGATCAATTCATCTTATTTACTATACGAAAGATAGTAGTAGTTAGTGCAATTAAAATGTTAAGAATCGAGATTCAAGGCCATTTTGGTGCAGATTAGTAGTAAATTGTGATATTACACTGAAATTTTGGGGATGGTTAAGGTTTTCTCGTCATAAAAAATACAGTAGGTTAAGGATCTGGATGAAATTTTGGTAAAAGTAGGGTAAGGCCATAGGGAAATTTCGATTTTGAGTTTGCACTTTTAAGTTTTGAAATTTTGAATTTTGATAAAAAAAAGTGGGTTTTTAAAGGAAAATTGGTTAAAAAATCAATTTTTAACGAAGTTGGAGCTAATTTTTGATTATTTTAAACCGCTGTAAGCTTCGAATTTTATTTTTAATCATTTCAGCCAACACCCAAACATCGTAACCATCCACGATGTGTACGAAAACACCTTCGACGCCGTCAGATGCCTGCTGGTCGTCATTGAATTCCTCGAAGCTGGTGATCTCCTGACTCAATTTGAAAACCAAGGCTCTCGCCCATACCCAGAAGACCGTGTAGCCGATATTGTACGTCAAATCGGCTCCGCCGTCCAATACCTACATTCCATGAACATTGCTCATCGTGACATCAAGCTGGAAAACATTCTCTGCTCCTCCACCGGCTCCCAATGCCTATACAAATTGGCCGACTTTGGCTTCGCGAAGCGGCCAGAACGCAACCACCTGATGGAATCACCATGTTGTACACCCATCTACGTAGCACCAGAGATCTTGTCCCATGAACACTACGATAAGAGTTGTGATATGTGGTCGTTGGGCGTAGTTATGTACATTTTACTGTGTGGTTATCCACCATTCTACTCGATGAAGGGCTTGCCATTGTCACCTGGTATGAGGTCCAGAATCCAAAGCGGTCTATATGCTTTTCCACCAGAGGAATGGGATCATATTTCACAGGATGGTAAGCTTTTTTGGGTTTGGAAGTGACTTTAGGGGGTTACTGGGAAATTTGCCGGAATGTCAAAAATATATTATTTTTTTATTTTGGCTGAAAATGCGGTAAAGGTACTTTGGAAGTGCTTTTGATATGATTCCAATATATTTTTTGTCTTTTAAAAATTTGACGAAATGCCACAAAAAATATTGATTTTTTATTTTTGCTAAAAAATGCGGTAAAAGTACATTTTTAGCGCTTTTTGCAAGGTTTAAATGCAGTTTTGCCATGTTTTAAAATTAGACGAAATGTCAAAAATTTATTGGATTTCCTAATCATTCGTATTTTAGCCAAGAACGTGATCCGCAACCTCCTGAAAACGGACCCAGAAAGCCGTACCAAGATCGATGGCCTTATGAACTCAGTCTTCATGAAGAAAACAATCAGAAAGATGTCCGGCGACGAAACCAGTCCAGACTCCTCGGATTCTGGATGCGCCGACGAAGATGAGGAACCATCGTCGCCAGAAACTCCAGACGCCCTAGCTGACCTCAACATCTCGAAGCCGGTCCGTAAGAACGCGGCCCGGCTAATGAATCCACACGCAATGTCAGCACGTGCTATGAATCGACCAGCCAAGCCGCCACGCTTGTATAGTATCCAAGAGGAGGTGGGCCGAGCGTTGGAGATGATTCGGATTCAGGAGAACACGCCAGTCATGAAGCCGTTGGACAATGCTGGTAACTCGTTGTACGAACGCAGAAAGAGCAAGCGAAATCTGCTGCCATTGTTCACAAAGTCGGAGCAGTCAATGGAGTAGACTAGTGATTTGTTTTAGACTGGTACTATATGGACGGGATTAGGATATACGGGCTAGACTGGTACCAGTGGCTGGTTTACTATCTATGGGTTAGACTGGTACTGTATGGATCCTTTAATTATGATTTTGTTGGTACTGTATAGTACTATGAGAATTTTTGTCCTACCATATAGTACTATGAGCCTTTTCATCGTACTATATAGCACTATTATCTTCTTTTTTGTATTCATGGTACTATGAGCCTTTTCATCGTACCACGTTGTACTATGAGCTTCCCTATGGAGCTATATAGTAGACTATCCCGCCTTCTTTTTGTCATACTGTAGTTTAAATAAGGTACTGTAGGTATTTCAATGATACGTTTTGGTACTATATGTATCTCAATGATACGGTTCGATTGTACAAAGTCTTTCTAATCAAAATAGGTAACAAATATGGGTGCTTTTGAAGGTCTTACTAACCATATTACACTGTTTTTAACTCTGGATTGTCGATTATAAGTCATATTTTGTAGTGTCGTATCGAATATGTTGTCTTTGCTTGAACTTTATTAACTTTTTTTTACTTTTCATAACGTTAAACAGTAAATTTACTATGTAAATTGAGTGCTCTTAACAGTAATTGTAAAGATATTGAGATTTTGATTTTTGAAATTTTAAAATTTTTTTTGATATTTTAATTTTTTGAAATTTTTGGCTTTTAAAGTACCACTAGTTCCTTTCAAAGCGATAAAACCTTTGCTATAAGTATCTATTCCACCCGTTTGTAGCGTCTAACGTCAATATTTACTGCAATCTTGTGACTTTACAACCGGCTTTTTTCTCTTTTTCACTCACTTTTTTGATAAAACCTTGACGAATATGTTATCATAACATTGAGTAGTAACGTTGTCTGTAACAAACCAAGAAACGTACAATAAAAACACTTGAATATATTGTGGAGGGCATGATTTTGAAAAAAATTTGAAATTTAAAAATTTTTTGAAATGTCAAAATGAAAAATTTAAGAGAATTCGAAAAAAGTCATTTTTGTTACCTAAAATATAGGAAAATGACTTTTTGTGATCTAAAATCCAAATAAAAGTCATTTGGTTACCTAAAATATATGAAAATGACTTTTTGTTACTTAAAATCAAAATAAAAGTCATTTTGTTACCTAAAAATTAAAAACAGTCATTTTTGTTACCTAAAAATCAAAAAAAGCTAATTTTTGTTAACTAAAAATTAAAAAAATTCATTTTTGTTATCTAAAATATATGAAAATGTCTTTTTGATATCTAAAATTTTGAAAAGACTCATTTTTATTACCTAAAAATCAAAAAAAGCTAATTTTTGTTACCTAAAATATAGAAAAACAGCTTTTATTACCTAAAAATTTAAAAATTTGTTACCTAAAACTAAAAAAATTAATTTTTGTTACCTAAACTTCAATGTTCATTCTTAATATTATAGCTAAAAACCACCTTCGCATTATAGTTTATTACCTTATGAGTTGAATAAAGTAAAATTTATATCATTTTACTCAAACCAATAAGAATAGCACCAGTTAGGGTACAAGAAATGGCAGCGTACAAGTAATACAAGTTTTTTCCGAGCTGAAATTGAAAAGTTTAAAATTGACAGTTTTAATGCAATGTTTGGAAAATCCGCCCCTTAATAAACGTTTTAACTTCCTCCCTTTAAAATTTTTTGAATTATACTTTAAAATACAAAAAGCTAATTTCTTAAGCCTAAAATGCCACAAATTAAGCCTAAAATGGCAAAAAGTAGAGCTAAAATACCAAAACTTAAACCGAAATTCCAAAAAATAAGCCTAAAACGCAAAAAATAAGCCTAAAAAAAGTAAGCCTAACATAACGCAAATCAAGCTTAAAATCGTCAAAAATAAGCCTAAAGGGCACCAACTTAAATCGAAATGCCAAAAAATAGGCCTAAAATGACACAAATTAAGCATAAAATGCCAAAAAGTAAGCCTAACATCGCTAAAAATAAGCCTAAAATTAAAAAATAATAAGCCTAAAATGCACTATATAAGCCTAACATACCACAAATCAAACTTAAAATCGCCCAAATTAAGCCTAATATGACACAAATTAAGCCTAAAATGAATAAAAAATCAACCTAAAATGCAACAACTTAAGCCTGAAACACAAAAAATAAGCCTAAAATCTAAAAATAATAAACCTAAATGCCAAAAAGTAAGCCTAAAATACCAAAAAATAAGCCTAAGATACCAAGAAATAAGCCTAAACGGCCAAAACACACGCTTAAAATGCCACAAATTAAGCCTAAATGTAAAAAAATAAGCAAAAAATGCCAAAAAAAAGACCACTAATTAAGCCTGAAACGAGAAAAATAAGCCTAAAACGCCAAAAACACGGCCTAAAATCCAAATAATCTTAAGCCTAAGCCCACCTCAATCTCCTTAAAGTAGAACAAACTCCATAATGTGGCCACACAACCAGGTACCATCGATGTAATGGGACCAGTGACGGCTTGAGACAACCTTTCCGTCGCTATAATACCCATTGTTTGGGCAATACCCCACATACAACCGGCCAATAATGATGGTAATATCAACTGGGGATTGACGTAGGGCTTGTTTTTTCTAAAAAAATTTTTTAAATCCTCATTTCTAATGAAAAATGACAAAAAACGCTTATATCTAATAAAAAATGGCATAAAATGTCCATTTACAATAAAAAATGACAAAGAACCCTCATTTCCAATGAAAAATGGCAAAAAATCAACCCTTACTTAACAAAACAGTAGATCACCACAGCCAATGTTGATGTAGACAAAATCCCACAATATAATGAGAAAACATAGGGCATTCCACCTACTTCAACATTAAAAAACAAATCAGGGTTGTCTTGGATTGCTACGACCGGTACGATGGTTAATGATGCCAGACAGCCTTGTACCAATGAGCCTATTGTTGCACTATAACACATGTTGAATAACATTGATATTGTAAGCTTAGGGTAAGAAGGTTTAGGCTTCTTTGGCTTAGGTTATCTTTAAGCTTAGACTAGGCTTAGGTTAGGCTTACGTTAGACTTAGGTTAGACTTAGGTTAGGCTTAGCTTAGGCTTAGCTTAGACTTAGGCTTAGGCTTAGCTTAGACTTAGGCTTAGCTTAGGCTTAGCTTTAGTCTTAGCTTAGGCTTAGCTTAAGCTTATTTTAGACTTAGTTTAGGCTTAGCAAACCGCTCAGTAGCCTCAATAATTTTAACAATGACACTTATGCGGCATATCGTAAGCTTATCTACTCATAGAATACGGCACACAAAAAGCGCTCAAGTACAGAAAAGCTTGCAATTGCGTAATACTTACCACGAGGCCTAGCTTTAGGCTTAACTTAGGCTTAGCTTAGGATTAGCTTAGGCTTAGCTTAGGCTTAGCTTAGGCTTAGCTTAGGCTTAGCTTAGGCTTAGCTTAGGCTTAGCTTAGGCTTAGCTTAGGCTTAGCTTAGGCTTAGCTTAGGCTTAGCTTAGGCTTAGCTTAGGCTTAGCTTAGGCTTAGCTTAGGCTTAGCTTAGGCTTAGCTTAGGCTTAGCTTAGGCTTCGCTTAGGCTTAGCTTAGGCTTACCTTAGGCTTACCTTAGGATTAGCTTAGGCTTAGCTTAGGCTTAGCATAAGCTTCAACCTATCCCTAGCAAGCATAAACGTAATAATGACGTTTCTACAGCAAATATCGCGCTTATATGCTCATAAAATATGGCAGGTAAAACATAAAGTCCCGCAGAAAAAAAGAACAGGTAAGCTTAGGCTCAATAGGCGTGATAGAATAAGGCTAAAAACTTGGAAAAATTAAAACTTACATTACCCTAACCTTATGATCGACTACATAGAACTTGGTTTCGGCCGCTGGATCAGGAATGCTCAATGAAAGTCGTTGAACTGCTTGCTTGCTGGTCCTTCTGGGCACATCTGACGACTGAAAATACATTTTTAGTCTAATTTATCACAGTATTAGACTTAGCTATGTCTGGCCATTTTTAGCCTCTGTGAAACGACCACAGAGCACCAAAAACGATATAAAAAGTTGTACTAATAGTGATAATGAACATGGTCGTGATTAGCAATCAGTGATTACAGCTCTTACATGAACTGAACTGGTCAAGGGCTTGTGATCCAGAAGCTCGGACGGTTTTCCTTTGACAAACGAGGTCAAAACACCCCTAAAAATTAAAATTTTATTACGTAATTTACCCTACCCTGCTCTATTGTTTGCCACTATACCATACCGTACTTTATCCTACCCTACACTACCCTACTCTACCTACCCTACTCTACCCTACCCTTTTCTTACCCAATCAACACAATCAGCATGCCCAACAAACTAAGCCACATAGCATCAGCTGGTCTAGCCAACGTGCCCAACAGTCCAAACGTACTGACCGCAAACGCAATGACACATTGAGTAACACTGTTTAAAAGCACGGCACGGCCAAGTCCAATAGCATTGATGATTGGAATTGACATCAAATTAGCCACAGACCATGCCACCCCACCTAACATAGCCAAAGGGTAGAAATTTTGATAACCGGTCCATATAAACATGCCAAAGCCAACGAACCATATTGCTAGACACATTACCCATTGAGCAAATATACCTAAAAATAAGAATTCTCCTCAATTTTTCACTGTTTTTGTAATGATAATGATAATTTAATGCTAAAAACTGCAATTTCAAAAATTTTTAAAAAATCAATAAATTTTGTGACATTTCGTCACAATCATAAAATCAGTACAAAATGCTGTAAAACCTCAAAAACATTCTAAAATTCTGCAAAAAATGTAACTTTAAAGATTTAAAAAATCCAATAAAATTTGTGACATTTCGTCAAATTTTAAAAAACTCAAAAATTAAGCCTAAAATTGTTATATAGTAAATCATAACCTAAAATTTAGAATTTTACAAATAAAAAACATCCCATCTTTAGCAATAGTTGCTTAAAATGCCCTTACCGTCACCAGGCTGGTACTTTCTTAATGGTACAAACTGAGATCCGAACAGACCTGATGCTATGAAACATAGCACCATAGCAATTAGGCTTTGAAATACCATTTTTGGGAATTTGAGGTTAGAGTTTTATAAGTTTATTGTAGTAGAATAGCCAGTATTTTTTTAAATTTAAGGTTTTAGTACTTTTTCATATAGTACGTACTCTATGACATTAGTAATACCTTTAAAAATTTTGATACCAAAAAGTATAAAATACCAAATTCCAGATACTAAAGTAATCTCCAACAGTAAAAATAACCCTTTCACAATTCGTAAAAGCAGTTGAACAGATGAAAAAGCATGTTAAGCCTAATTGCCATGACTTTTGATACACTCGGAATTATGCAAATCCGAGCGATCGCTCAACTTTTCCCGACTTTTTTCAAAATTTCAAAGAAAAGCGCGTTCCATCAACTACCATTCTTTTGAAACTGACAATAATCTAGCTAGTTGGACTTTAAAATAGTACGTTTTATTTAAAAAAATATTGTTTTTTAAATTTCGAAATTTTCAATCTGATAAAATACAAAAAAGTCGTCTAATACAGAAAAACTGGTACCTACGTAATACTGAGCATGAGGCTTTTCGTGGGCTTATCTTAAGCTTAGCTTGATTCTTAGCTTTACTAGGCTTGGTTTTAGGCTTCGTTTTAATCTTAACTTTAGACTTTTCTTAGGCTTACCTTAAGCTTAAGGCTTTAACTAGGCTTCGTTTTGGCATAGCTCTAAGCTTAACTTTAGACGTAAGTTTAGACACAGCTTTGGGCTTATAAAGAAAATACCCCTACCTGTCCCGCTCAAAATCAGCTCAAACTTTTTATATGAATTCCTTGTACCATCAATAGTACCCATAAAAAATTTTAACTCGCGCTTTTGAGTTTCAAATTTAAATGCTTTTGGTATCCCACCAAATTGGCAAATGTGGAATTCTGTTTCAAGCACTTTTTTCCCCTTTCCAGACAAGCTACGGTTACAAATTTGAAATTGTAGGTTCATTTAAGAATTTTCTACCATTATATCAAAGAAAAACAATTAAAAATCAAAAAATGGCAATGTTATAAGCTTGAGACACAATGCCAATTTGGCGGGAAATTCAAAACGTAATTTTTTTATCTCGATTTTCTCGAGATTTCCTGGAAAGCGCGATTTAGTACTTTGCTGAAGATCTTATATTTACATGATCTTTCTATATAAAAATTTCTAAGTCAATCAGAGCGGGGCAGGTCGACCACTTTCCTTGTCAGTATCAGCCTTAGCTTTCAGATTGGTTTTCAGCTTAGTTTTTTTAGCATTTCATATGCTTATCCTAAACCTAACTTTAAACTTTACCTATGCTTATCATAAGCTTAGCTTTAGTCTTAGCCTTAAGCTAAACTTTAGCCTTAACTAACAATCATTTCACAATTAGATTTAAAAACAGCGGCGTATTTGGTCTAAAATCGACCAAAATATGCCAGTTTTTGTCTACAAAAGTGTAGCTTTCATATCCAAGTCACTAATTTAATCAATTCAAATTCTAAACTAAATTTAGGCCTAATGTTCGTCAGACTATTCGGCTCTAAATGTTATAAATCTTCATTGGTTAGTTAATCGTCTTTCTCCTGTTTTTCCTTTGGCTTTCATCGGGCTTTTTAGCATCTTCTGATTCGTTCTTGGACTGCTCTTTAGGCTGATCCTTGGACTGATCTTTCGGTAAATCAAGCTGATCTTTAAGCTTGGCCTTTTGTTGATCTTCTGAAGTCTTACGCCGTTTTTTGTGTGAACCGTCCATGTAGTATTTGCTTGACTGTACGGCTGTCTTCTGTTCTTCCATTTCGGGATTAGAACGTTTATTCGAAAACTTCCTTCTAGCCATAGCGTCTTTAGGCTTCTTAAGCTTTTTTGAACTCTCGACAGTCTTCTCGGCGCTACCCTTAGGCTTCTTGGCTTCGTTCAAAGTTTCTTTGACCTTCTTAACCTCCGAAACTTGTTTTGGCTTCTTGACTTTCTCCGAGCCCTCTTTCAGCTTCTGCTTCTTCTCTCCTGGGCTGGCGGCATCATCGCTTAACGTACCCGGACTAACTGCACCAGGACTGTTTGCACTACGCGTGCCTGAACTGGTTGCACTAGGACTACCGGGGCTAACTGCACCTTGACTGCCACTGCTAGCTGCAACTTGACTTCCAGAACTCGCCACCCCAGAACTCGCTGCACCAGGACTAGTTACACCAGGACTCGCTGCACCAGGACTTTCTGCACCAGGACTACCAGGGCTACTTGCACCAACTGCAGAAGGACTAGCAGGACTGCTCGCTTCATTCTGAGCTGGTGGTTCTGCTGAAGCTGATCCCATTTTGTTGCTAACAGCCGGGAAACAAGTTTCTGGATCGTATTTGGGTCTTCGGAACAGGTTCAGTGCATTATACATCATTCGCGTACCTAAACCGGGTCCTTGCGGCAATTGATGAAGCTTTTGCCCTTCGCGCACGTCCGTCCTCACTTGTTCTTCTTCGTTCTCTTTCTGAAAGGAACAATATTTCATATTTATATCAATAATTAAGCTTAAAAACTGGTTTTTTCCATGTTTTAAGCAAGAAGAACTACGTTTTCAAAAAAAAGAATACTTTATCAACCGGTCGATAATTTTCTTTTTCAATTTTTGGGGCTTAGGTAGTATAGTACCATATTATAATTTTTACTCTAAAGACCATAAAAATTATTTTTTATAAGCCTAAAAACTCGAAAAATGTTATTTAAAAAATATATTATCAATTTCAAATTTATTGCTCCAGAACCATAAAAATTATTTTTTCTAAGCCTACAAATTCAAAAAAACGCCCATTTTAAAAAATTTTATCGACCAGTCAATAATTTTTTTTTTTCAAAATTTTTGGTTTAAAAGTATGAAAATTATTTTCCTATGCCCCTAATCAGTACCAAAAACATCATTTTCCTCAAAAAATTGCCCTACCGTATCGATGACGGCCGAACCCTGCTTCTTCATCTTCCGCCTCAGGCTTTGGATTCTTTGACGGAACGGGCTGAGCCTTCGGTCCTTTGACAACAGTTTCGAACGAGTTTTGCGTCGAGAACGTGGCTGACGACGCTTTTTCTTGCCGCCTGGTGGTGTTGTTGACCAGGTGACGGGGCTCGGTCGGCTGTTCCTTTTTTGGGTCATGTATGTTGAAACGATGGCATTCATATTGTCGTCTTCCATTGTCATTTCCTGTGTGTCCGTCGTGGATTCATTATCTTCCTCCTTTCGTATGAATGAGAGATTGAAACGAAGCGCTTCACGTTGGCCGATTAGGTAACAATCTGATGGTGTGGGCCAGTTGAGGTGTTTTTCCTTAAAAAAAAATTTAAAATTTTTATTAGGCTTAGGCTTAGTAGGCTCTGGCTTAGAAGGCTTAGGCTTAGAAGGCTTAAGCTTAGTAGGATTACTCTTAGTAGGCTTAGACTTAGTAGGCATAGGCTTCGAAAGATTAGGCTTAGAAGGCTTAGGCTTAGAAGCCTTAGGCTTAAACTTGAAAGTTTGCGACTTAAAAAGCTTTGGTTTACAAGGCTCAGTCTTAAAAGCTTAGCCTTAGAAAAAGTAGGTTTAGAAGGCTTAGGCTTATAAGGCTTAGGCTTAGAAGGCTTAGGCTTAGAAGGCTTAGGCTTAGAAAGCTTAGGCTTACAAGGCTTAGGCTTACAAGGCTTAGGCTTACAAGGCTTAAGCTTATAAGGCTTAGGCTTAGAAGGCTTAGGCTTACAGGGCTTAGGCTTATAAGGCTTAGGCTTAGAAGGCTTAGGTTTGTAAGACTTGGAAAGCTGAACAAATAAGTCTTAACTTTTAGGTAACATACCGACTCGTCCTGGCTCCACAAAGGCATTTTGACATCGTCCGGTCGATAAACAGCGACTGAAAACTTGAGATTGCTACTGGCTGCTGTCTCGAATGCCTTCATAAACTCCTCAGGCGTCCGGTATATGACACTGTCCAAATCCATTACAACATCATTAAGTTGGAAATAAAAGGTTGCGGATGAGTTGCATGCCATCTGAAAATGGCATGGGTTTTAAATTTAAATTTTTTAAAGAAGACAGAAGTAGAAGTAAGGGTAGGGGCAAAAGCATGGCTATGGGTATGAGTATAAATAAGTAAGGCTAGAAGTGGAGGTAGAACCTTACCTTCTCGATTTCGAATGTGCCTTTTTTAGCCAATGGATATAACCTGAAGTCACCTTTTTCATCATAGTCTGCTATTTGGACTACAAAGCAATTGGTTGTGGTCGTTCGCTTGAAATTGCATTGTTTGCTCCTCCAGTATTTTAGCGGTTTTTTGTAGGCTTGTCGCAAGACTTGAATTTCGAACTGAAAAACATTAAAAATTTTAAAAATTCACATTTTAGGCTTACATAAGATTGAAAATACATATTTTAGGCTTATATTAAATTGAAAATACATAATTTAGGCTTATATAAAATCGAAAATTCACATTTTAGGCTTATATAAAATGAAACATACACATTTTAAGCTTACATAAAATTTATTTTAAAGTCCAACTTTAAAAAAAAAATGTTCCTCACCTTGCCACGAGCATTGAACAAAGACTCGGCTTCTTGGATTGTCCACACAAAGTCTTGATTTACCCTTACCAACTGATCGCCAATGATAAGAAGCTCCATGGCGCTGCTATTCACCGCAATCGATTTCACAATCATGTTTGCCGTTAGGGAAAAATCCATAAAATTCTGCTGAAAATTGAGGTTTAGACAACATTTCTCGGTCTGAAAAAAAAGGGGGGGGGTACAGTTTCGGTCAGTCAGAGGTGGAGGGGTAAAAAATAGGTAAAAAAGCTAAAAATAAATACAAAAATTACCACTTCGATTGTCTCAGTTATCGTCGTGTAATTCGTATAATTCAAATATTTTTGAAATGGATCCGTGGCCATGACTTCGAAATCGTACTACACAGGCTTCGGGTTCAAAAAATAGTCAAAACCGCCTGAAAACTTGTGTAACAAATCCAGTCGGCCTTGATTTACCAATCTAGTCCCGGAATGAACCAATCACCCCCTATTAACCGCGTTGTAAAGAAAGTTTTTAGGGAATGGATTTTCAAAAATCTCAAAATTCTTATAAACTCGTTTTCAACCAAAAAAGATAATTTTAGGTAATAAAATTTTAAAAAAACCTAATTTCTAATGAAAGTTTAAAAAAATGCTATTTTAGATAAAAATTTACAAAAACTTTTATAGTAAATTTAAAAAGATAGAATTTTAGGTAACAATGTCCCAAAAAACAAGTTTTATACTGTAATTTTTTATGTATTCCTGCATATCGCCTAAATAAACAAACGAAACATAAGGTTTAGATTAAACGCCTTCGTTTCTCTATAGTCTCCACCAGGATTGGGTGTGGCGGATTTGGATGTAGTTGCACAGGGCTTCGGTTTTGCCGACCCCGCTCATAGCCAGGTCACGGTCGTAGACGTGGCGACTCACGGCTTCGCGCACGTTGCCCGCGTTCAGGCGGCGGAGCTTCTCTTCCAGTTCGCTGAGGTTCTCGACATCGCCAGTGTGCAGGACCTACAACAATATCAATAATTAGTGAGACCAAAATTTAAATAGGGGGGGGGGCGTAAAAAGAACATAAAATTTTTAGAAGGTTGACCACCTCAACCCACTAAACCTACTCTAGTAGCCAAATGATGAGCCAAAGCAGTGCTGTTGGAGAGGCGGCTCAACAACACGGATCTCAGTTGATTCTTGGCACGGTCGACTTCTTGTTCGGTGACTCCAGTCGCCTGGTGTTTCCATTGTCTTTGAGCGGCCGAAACGATGTCATGCGAGTCTTCTTGATCCAAACCGGTGCTTACCCAGCGCAGACCAAAGAGACCGGTATCGGCGTAGTGGACACAGAATGGTTCAAAGCTGATAAGGCCATTAAGCTGGCTAGTTCGTTGAACTGCCTTTACGGGAGCGTTGATGCCGGTTCCGTGGGTCACGTCCCATTGGCCGGTGAATTGAGCGGCTAGCTGAAAAATGAAAATTATACTTAAAGTATAAGTTTGCACCTAAAAACCAAAAACAAGCAAAAAATCTCTATACCTGCAAAGCCAAGGCATCTGGATGTCCGTTGGCAACACCTTCAACAGCAATAGCAGCGTACAAGTTTGGGTAGTCATCGTCTCTGTATTGGAATTCGGATCCGGTGAAACGAGTTCCCATTGGAGCCGGAACAGCACGTTTGTACTCGTTGGACAAATCGCCAAAGTTGGCCTTGGCGAAAGCGTCCAATTGGCCGTGAGCTACACCTCCAACAGCAGCTACCACAACACGGTCGGCTTTGTAGTGATCATCGGCAAAGTCAATCACATCTTGGCGAGAGAGGTTCCTGAATTTAAATTTTTTAATTTTAGGTAACGAAATTTAATTTTTAAGCCATAAATGCCAAAAGAATAGGTTATAAAGCACTTTTTTATACAAACATCTCATTACTTACTGAACAGCTTCAACGCGGCCATATGGAGACAAACCGAGCCCAGTTCCTTGGAAAGCGGTCATGTGAAGGTAGTCATAAGCCACTTCTTCGTGATTCTGTTCTACTTCATCCAGCTGTTTCAAAACCACTTGTTTAGCGGCTTCAACATCAGCTTGGTCAAACTTAGAATTACGAAGAACATCGGCCAAAATCTCGGTTACTGGTTCAATGTTCTTGTTCTCAACTTGAACAAAGTAGGCAGCATGATCACGGCTGGTGAAAGAGTTCAAACGAGCTCCGTACTTGGCCAAATCAGCTTGCAATTGCTTGGTTGAGCGCTTGGCAGTACCCTATAAACATATTTTTAATATATCTTGAAAAAATTACTTCTAAATTTAAAAAGTTCATTAAAGAACATTTTGAAGAATAAACAACATTAATATTAATCAAAACAACGTGATTTCTTTAAAACACTAACAAAAATTGTTATTATAACCTTCATTAGACCATTATCAACCTTCTGTATCAATAAAAATAGTCCTAAACACCAAAATACATAATAAAACACCTTACTTTGTAGAGCAAATTCTCCAAAACTTGAGCAACACCATTGTTGTCCTCGGTTTCGTACCTTGAACCAGAATCAACCCAAACTCCAAGCTAAAAACATAAATTAAATATATAATCTAATAAAACAAAAAAAATGATTTTTAAAAGCAAAAACCAAAAAAAGAACAACATAACTTACAGTAGTGACTGGTTTGTTGTTGTTGACAGATACAACACGAACACCGTTGGTCAATTCGCTCAATGTAGCATCAGTAGAAGACAAAACATCTCTGGCTTTCTTAGAGAAACCACTCTGAAAAAATATATATATTAAAATGTATAAATTAAATATTATGTTAGTTTATATAAAAAAACAGCTAAAATCTGTTTTTTCAGCCAAACTCTCGTTTGAAAATAACAAAATTAACCTTCAAAGCATATTAACAACGTTAATTATCAAGTACCAAACCTAAAAATAAACAAAACAATCAAATTCATACCTGGAGTCTCTTAGACACAACAACACCTCTTTGAAGGCCGGATTTCAGCATTTTTGGTTGTATTTACCGGCCCAACCTAAAACAAAGTACTTTCTAAAAATAATAAAAAATTTATTTACAAAAGAAAACTAAATAATATTTGTGAAAAATAGTATAAAATACTAAAAAATTTTATTAGATGTAAAATTAAGAGCAATATTCGTCGTTGGCCTGATTTAACAGGCTTTTCGCGGCGGGAGTTAGAAAAATAATTCTAAAAATTTTATTTTTTTTATTTTTGAGTAGTAAATTTACTTAACAGTAGATTATACATTGTAAGTTTTTGGTTTTTATCTTATTTTAAAAATTTTTAGACTTCTAATTTTATACATTTTGGCCGGCAGCGCAAAAATCAGGGTTTTTTTTGTTTTGTTGAACATTAAATAGAAAAACAAACTTAAAATTAACTTTTACAGCTCCCAATGTCATCAGAAGTGCCAGAAACATCGTTAAAAACGAATCGCAAAGAATGCTATCGTGCACGAGATGAATACCTAAACTGTATGGACGAGAACGAGGGTGATGAAAAGAAATGCCGAGCATTAATGGTGCAGTTCAAATCCAAATGTCCCGCCTCATGGGTACCACATTTTATTCGCAAGCATGAGTTTGGGAAGTATAAGAATAAGCTAGTGGAAGAAGGAGTGTTATCGGCAGATGAAAAGTATATGGGCACGAAGAAGGTGTAACGATAAGTCTTAGTTCATTGTTATTGTTGATATTATTTAGGCTTGATGATTTAAATAGTTTGAATTTATGGGTAGTAACTACTGTTTTACTGGTTATTTGGATACTTTTGGCTAAATTTGGGGGGATAAGGGCTTTGTCTACTATAATATGGCAAGTAAGGGTATAACCTTCTGCTTTAGTAAAAAATCGCTGAATATCAATAGCATGTTGATAAAGACCGTTTGTTTTTGGTAAAGCACGCTCTTTCTGTTTCTAAACTCATATAACAACATCAAATTCAATATATCACTTTATTTATTGACAAAAAGGACATCAACACATTACCCACGCCGGGAAGGAAAGAAATAGGTAAAGAGAAGTTGAATCGGAGGATCTGGAGACGGAATTTCAATAAGAAATAGCTAGACAAGTTTGTAATTAGTCGTATTAGCTAGACAATCGTACATGTTAACTATAAATTTTACATCAAGACCAATAATGAAGAATAAAGACATTATAGTATCTAAATTCAAAAAAACGAAGAAATATCGTATCAATCAGAGAAAACAGCAAACAAATTCACATGATAAACCCATATGTTGTATAAGAGTATGTCAGTGGGGGCAAAATAATGTCAAAAGGTACCAATTGAATCAAATCTGTACCAAAAAAGCTTTAAAGGTACTAAACCTATCAGGATAGACCAAAAAGCTTTAAAGGTACCAAATTTAAACACAATGGTACCAAAAATAAGCTTTCAGAACCAAATCACAAATATTGTACTTATTGAGTGGCACATTGTACTTGTGGACCACTACCATGTCCATGGCCGTTTTCTTGGGAACGGAACGTTTCCTGGCCAACTTCGATCAGTTCCTTCTCCTCAACATCATCCGGAATAATGATTTCCGGCTTCCCGGGCAACAATGCGTACAGTTTGGCAAGGTTTTTCTCCGAGATTTGGTCGGGGAATTCGACCTTAAAGCTGATAATAAGATCTCCGTTCTCTCCCGGGTGCTTGTGACGAGGCATACCTTCACCGTGGACGGATCTTGTGTCACCGTGGTTTATTACTTCACCTAAAAAATTGGGGAAATTAAATATTTCTTTTAAAAAAAATTTGAATTTTTAAAGCAAGAATAAAAAACAAGTAGACATATAAGGTTTAAAGAAATAATATATCTAAAACAATATAACTTACCAGGTAATGTCGTGAACATAATTTGACGTCCATCCAAAGTCTTCATCTTCCTCTGAGTACCACATAACGATTCGGTGATGTTCAACTGCATACTCAAAAGCAAATTATCTCCATCGCGAGTATAGACTGGATGATTCTGCTCGTCTAGTACAATAACAACATTTCCAGGCTCTTTTCCCTTTTCTTGATCTCCTTTACCGTAGAACACGATTTTCTGTCCATCCTTTGATCCCTTGTTAACATTAACTTCAATGATTTCCTCGACCTTCATTCGCTTTTTGCCTCCACATGTCGTACATGGCACGGAAATAATCTCACCTTCACCACGGCACTTGCTACAGGCTGCTTGAGATCGTTGTACGAATCCTGGAGCGATTTGAATGTTTCGGATAACTACACCATGTCCATCACAGTCGGAACATTCTTTTACGGCATCCTTGGCGCCACCAACACCGTCACAAGCTGAACAGAGAACGAAGCGCTTGATCTTCAAGTTTTTAGTGAAACCAGTGTACATTTTGTCCAAAGAAACTGACATTTGGTGAACCATATCACGAACTTTGTTTTCACGATGTCCGCGATGCCCTCCGCCGCCTAAAAATTACATTGTTTTAGTCCAATGTTAGGACTACTACAACATTTAAAGGTAAAAAACTTTAAAATCATGCACGCTTGTACCTAAAAACCAACAAAAAAGTTCAAAAACATACCAAAGAACATGTCGAAGATGTCCATGGGGTTGTGACCGCCTCCACCGCCGCCTCCTTCCTTAATTCCTTCTTCACCATACTTATCATAGATCTCACGCTTCTTCGGATCACTTAAAATCTCGTAGGCTTGTGAAATCAGTTTGAATCGTTCACCCTCATTTGGGTTCTTATCTGGATGGTATTTTAAAGCCAATTTACGGTAAGCCTTCTTCAACTCTTGTTCCGTGGCAGTTGGGCTAACTTCGAGAACATCATAATATTTGGTATCCTTCACCATTTTTTGTCAATATTCAACAGTAAAAACTGTTTTATAACCTGAAGTTTAATGATAAAAGCATGGTAAGATAGTGAAAATTATATTATGAACAGAAAACTCGGAAAAAAAACTTTAAATACTAGTTAAAACTTCCAAGCTTATATGTAGTCATACCTATAAGAGTTTTTAATGAAACTCATCGAAAATTAAAAGTATTTTCTAAAATATACTGGAAATATAAACTCTGTATACTATATTTCGATATTACAATCATTTTATCAAACAGCTAGAATAAAACCAACCGGCCAATAATGTTAACATAGACCCTAAGTTGATACGCCTAAAAACCAAATAATCTTACTCCCTCAATTAACAAAAGTTTCATAACTATCTCCTTGACCTTTTAAACCCAAAACCAAACATTTTTCCAACTAAAACCCTACCTAAACCAGAAAAACCCTTCAATATTATACAGGACTTAAATCTAAAACACTAACAAACCACCTTTTAATATAAAAATCAATATAATGAATGTAAAAGCGTCTACGAAACCAAATATTGTAGCTGCCAGAAAAACTTTACTAACATTTTTTCTCCAGACAAAAAAGAAAATTCGAGACATTTCTATTGAAACCTCTCACGCGGGAAATTCAAACAGCTGCGAATGACTTTTTATACGATGGAACATTCCAGTGAATTTAACGGATTTGAAGTTGGTAAAAGCACGTTTAGTACCTTGTAAGTTATACTATTTATGCTGTTTCTAGTTATAAATGAATTTGGCCCAAATCGTTTTGTTTTCAGGTGATTAGGTGATATTCTCCATGCTGAAGTGGGTGAAGAGGAAAATCGTGATAACTCGATCAATTCTTGATCAAATCGGCCGCGGTTTTTTGCTGCAGATGTCAAATTACACTGGAAACAATCTGAGTGTTCTCTTTTTTTGAATTTTTGCATTAAAAATTTTTTATGTAGCTATTACTGTCTTTGCGCTATTCAAAAAGTTTTTGGCCATAACTATTTTATTTTCAAAATGCAACCTATGAAGTGTCGAAATTCAGATTCCTCATTGAATTCTGATTTAGAATCATGAATTTTAGGTAACTATGAATACCATGAGAAGACCGCGTATATTACACTGGATGAAGAGGAAAATCGCGATATCTCGACCAATTCTTGACCAAATCGGCCGCGGTTTTTTGCCAAAGATGTAAAATGATGGTAAATAAGATATGTATAGGATCTTTTTGTATGTTTTGACTTTTTAAATTAGTTATATTGTAATTAAGTTGGCATTAGACTCACAAAATCTTAATTTTTAAAATTTAGGTATTGTCTTGATTTTCGAAACCTGGACTTGAAAACTCCAATTTTCATTTTAAAATCCACTTCTCATTTCAATTTTCCTTTTCTCTACATATCAGTCGGTGCGGTCCAAAATGGGTAAAGAGCCAAAGGCATTCGTCGATCCGAACAAGCGTTACAAGGGCTGGACCCTGAGGGAGAAGCTGGATGAAGGCGGATTTGGTATCGTTTATAAGGTCACAAAAGATAGTCAAGTGGCCGCGTTTAAGGCCGAATCCAACTCGGTTGAGGGCGGATCTGCCATTAAACTGGAGGTAAGTTTGTTTACTAGCCTACCCCTTACCCCCTACTGTAGTCTTAGTTCTAGCATTAGAAGTAGCGGTAGCCCTATCCGTAGCGTTAGGTTTAGCCCTAGTCCCAGCCTGAACCGTAGTCCTAGTCCCAGCCTTGCCCGTAGTCCTAGTCATAGACTTAACCCTACGAACATAAAAGTGCCATTTTCAGTTGAATATACTGATGATATTGAACAAAAAGTTCCCGGACACCCCTCACTTCCCGTACCTTTACCACGCCGCCAAACGGAAACAGTTCTCCTACATGATCGTCACGCTATTGGGCAAAAACATCCGGAATCTGAAGTCGTGGAAGAAGGGATCAAAGACCCTGAAGCCAGAGACCTGGGCACGGATCGGGCTTCAAGCATTGTACTGTATCAAGCTCGTGCACGATGCTGGATTCTTGCATCGTGACATCAAGCCGGCCAACTTCATGATGGGCAGGGATGACGATCCGGAGAGGGCTAGGCTGGTTCATATACTCGATTTTGGATTGGCTAGGTACGATTAGAAAGTTTAGGCTTAATAGGACTGGCTTAGGCTTGGCTTAGGCTTGGTTTGGCTTGGCTTAGGCTTGGTTTGGCTTGGCTTAGGCTTGGCTTAGGCTTGGCTTAGGCTTGGCTTAGGCTTGGCTTAGGCTTGGCCTAGGCTTGGCTTAGGCTTGACTTAGGCTTGGCTTAGGCTTGGCTTAGGCTTGGCTTAGGCGTGGCTTAGGCTTGGCTTGGCTTAGGCTTGGCTTAGGCTTGGCTTAGGCTTGGCTTAGGCTTGGCTTAGCCTTGGCTTAGGCTTGGCTTAGGCTTGGCTTAGCCTTGGCTTAGGCTTGGCTTAGGCTCGACTTAGCCTTGGCTTAGGCTTGGCTTAGGCTCGACTTAAGCTATGTAATTGGTTAAAATTTGTTTCCAGAGGATATATAAAGCACGTTGGAGACAAAATTGTAGCACGACGAGCGCGTGCTCACGCCGAATTCCGCGGCACAGTACGATACTGTTCCCCGAACGTTCACTTCAGCCTTGAACAGAGCCGACGGGACGATTTGTGGTCATTATTGTATATGATGATCGAGTTACATTGTGGATTACCGTGGCAGACAGTGTCGGACAAAGGAATGATTGAGAAGATGAAAATGATTTCCGATGACAGTTTGGTCTCACCTTTGCCTGGTAGGTTTATAAGATGAGATGGTTGCTAGCGTTATGCTTAGTAGGCTTAGGCTTGGTAGTCTTAGGCTTAGTCTTAGTAGGATTAGGCTTAGTAAGCTTAGGTTTAGTAGGTTTAGGCTTAGTAGGGTTAGGCTTAGTAGAGTTAGGCTTAGTAGGGTTAGGCTTAGTAGGCTTAGTCTTAATAGGCTTAGGCTTAGTAGGCTTAGGCTTAGTAGGCTTAGGCTTAGTAGGCTTAGGCTTAGTAGGCTTAGGCTTAGGCTTAGTAGGCTTAGGCTTAGTAGGCTTAGGCTTAGTAGGCTTAGGCTTAGTAGGCTTAGGCTTAGTAGGCTTATATTTTACTATCAATTTTTTTATCTATTAGGTAACGTTCCCTGCAGTAACATTCAGTTAGAGTGCCGTACTCGCAGTAATTTGTTGGGTCGTTTTACACCGAGGCAAATATTGTATAACACTGTAAGGTTACATAAGAAAACGTTGCGCAACTCCATTTCTTGCAATTTCTCTAAGGTTATCTTATTATATTATTAGATATGTCTTAGGTAACATTGTAAATCTTTTTTTTTGTTTTGCCGCGTCAGAATTATATGAATTGGGTAACATGCTGGCGGGTTAGTTTTACTATGATATTAGTAGACTTGACTTTATCAGCTTTTGGTTTTCTAGGCTTAGGCTTGGTAGGCTTAGTCTTAGTAATTTTAAGCTAGGTAGGCTTAGTAGGCTTAAGGCTGTTAGTTTTAGTTTTAGTTTGGTAGGCCTAGGCTTTGTGGACGTAAGCTTAGTAAACATAGTCTTAGTAGGTTTGGACTTACGGTGAGAAACGGGCTGTGTAGCCCGGTCCTACGAGCATGCCTGGCCGGACTTGAGCTAAATTTAGGTCAGGCCCGGTCCGTTTCTCACCCCTACTTGGACTCAACAGGCTTTGTCTCAGTAATCTTAGGCTTATTAATTAAAAATTTTAGAAGAAATCCGACCAATGGTAAAGCATTTACGGAAGCTGGACGTGTATTCCCGACCAGATTACAACCTAGTAGCTAATATGTTCAAAAAGTTGTGTAAACGACTGAATGTCAACTTTGCCACGCCATACGATTGGGAATACGACAATCCGACGACCTTTAATCTGGGGGAGAAATTGGCAGGTTTTTAATTTAACCTTTTGCCTTTTTATTGAATTTTGATCGAAATTTTCAAATTAAAAAAATTTTTAATTTTTGAATTTTAAATTTTAGTACAAACTGAATGACCGTAACATAATGTACGAGAACAGTGAGGCCTTTTTCTGCGCCGATCCGATTAAAATCTCCGGCCCACCGCCCAAGGGCTTTAGCGACGAAAGATTGCCGACAGACGAAGAGAGGACAATCTACAATCCACCATCAGTTGAAGGCAAGGTTTCCGATGAACAAGAGTGAGTTTGGCGCAAAAGTTGTCGGAAATTTTTTTGGGCAGGGTAGAGTGTGTATGGTATAAGGGGTAGGAAAGGTAAAATAAGGTAGGGTAGGTAAGGGTAGGGTAGGATAAGTTAGGGTAGGGTAGAATAGTGTAGCATTAGGTGCCGACATAAAGAACCCGCCATACTTTGCCTGTAATTTCCTGTAAAAAATGGCGGGTTCTTTATGTCGGCACCTAAGATAAGTTTGGGTAGGGTAAAGTAGGGTAGGATAAGTTAGGGTAGGGTAGAGTAGGCCATGGTAGAGCATGTTTTCTTTATTTCTGATGAAAAATGACTTCTTTTCAGAAAAAGCCAGTACACGACGACCACAGCAACAGGGACCTCGGCTACTTCACCGGGAAAATAAACATTTTCTATTTGTCGTTCATATTGCTACAATAAACTGCCTTTTAACAATAGAAATTTTGTATCATACGGTAATTACGACACATTTTTTTCGTATTTTCAAAAACTTTTCAAAAATTTTTTTAGTTTTTTATATTACACTAAAGATCAAAGGTATTTAACTCATTATTTTTTGAGTTTTATGCCATTTTTCTTCTGTAAATTTATATTGTTATTGTAGCCTAGAATATTACCTTTCTTTTGTTATATAAATCATAAAATTTGATAATGAATTCATTGACTTACCCTTAATTTGTCTATATTACACTAGAGCTCAGGCGGATTGAAGTAAACATCAAAATTCATGAACCTCTATGATTTCGTCGCTGAAAGCAAAATAGTTATTGCAGCCTAGAACATTACCTTTAATTTGATACAAAAACTAAAAAATTTTACTTTGGATTTATCGAGATATGTCTAATTTTGTCCATCACAACTTATTTTTCTCAAAGTCCTGTTGATGTAAAACAGTTTATTGATATATCATTAGATGATACAGTGAATCACAACCGTAAACTGATGTTACAACACGTATGAGATATAAAAAGTACAACCATATATCAGAGTTAGACATGATACCTATTTGAGTATGTTATCAATGGTACAACCAGATGTGTCGTTACAGTTTTTCTCTGAGGGGGGGGGGGATTATGGTTATATATCATGATTATAAAGTTAATTTAAACAAAACATGTTATCAAAAGTCTTAAAAATCCTATTGTTATCAAAAATGAGTGATATTGTTATATCAAGAGGTAACCACATATTGTTATATTGTAGTACCTAGGCTAGATATGAGTTGATGTTGTCATAGGTTATGATATCGGTCCTGGTCATAGATTATGCTACTAGTCCTAATTATGCAAAGATGGTCTTCTGTTGTTGTTCAAAGACTTGGAGCAGTTCTTCCATGGCTTCGTCTGGGTGACGTTCGAGGACGGATTGGACTAGGCCTTCGGCAGAGGCTTGGTATTCCACAATGTTCACTTCTGAAATCAGTGTTTCAAATGTCAAAAAAAATTTTTTTGGCGGAAAAGCTCAAAATTTTCATTTTCATCTCAAAATGTCATACCTATTTTAACAAAACAATGAACAAAGCCCCTCCTCCTTCAAAAAATACCCCTCCCAATTTTTTCCACCAACTTACCATTACCCTCCTTGACCGTGTTGTGCTGGACCAGTACTCTCCTCGGCTTTCTTCTGGCCAAACAGACCTCCCTCCACTTCAAATGCTCATCACTGACTTCGCTCCACTTGTTGAAGAACTTCAGCCCTTCCTCTGAGTTACCGGTCGATTTGTAGTACTGTAACTTCTTCAAAAACTCGCCGATGGCCGGTTTTCCCACGGAGATAATCTTCGACCGGTCGAGTTGGAAGAGCAAGTCTGGGGCGCCTTTGGAATCTGTGGTTTGCTTGATTGTGACAAAGTTCTGGGCCGCCTCCAGAACGACACGGAAGAGGACGTAGCGCGCGTTACAGTGTGCTTGATTCCACTTCTTTTGTGACGGTTCGTAGAACTCTAGCGAGACTAGGCCAGCCCTGATCTCATTCACCCAGTTCACATATCTTACCACTTCGGCTTGTTCGCCTTCGAAGCCGAAGATGGCCATAATGTCATCGTCACAGCATAGGTAATACCCTACGGCTTCGGCACGACATTCTTCGTAGGCTGCGCCAGTGTAGCCGAATTTGCTGCTCCAGGTTTCGCCCTCCTCGTACCAATGCTTGACTTCGCCACCATTCAAAAGGTCCTTTGCTTTTTTGGGGTCAAAGTTGAAGGTACCGTCCTTCTTTTTGATGAATAGCTTGCCTGAGCCGTGGCCCAACAGCTCGTGAAGACCTACTTGAACTTCAAAGGATTCGGAATGATAGAGACGGTAAAGGGCGTCATCTTCATCGGAGAGGAACTCGGTTCGAGTTGTTGGAATGGCTGATATTACATTGCCCAGGGAGACGTTCTTGAAGCCTTCGGATTGGCGAATATCGTCATCTAAAAAATTTAAATTTTAAAAAAATTGAAAATTCGTTTATGGCCCAAAAGTTCTCAAATTGTTAATTTTCGGCCCAAAAAATCCTTAATTTTTTAATTTTTCGCTAAAAATTTCAAATTAAAAAAAAACTCACAATTAGGAATATTGATACCAGCCGGAATCCCGCTAGCCGCAAATCCAAGCACATTCAACGAGGTAAAGTCCGGCTTCAAGAACTTGTCCTTCTCGTACTCCGAGTCCCATGGCAATCGTTTTAGGTATTGTTCAGCACCGGCCACTAGTTTTTGAAACTTGGCCGATGTGTCCTTATCGACCACGGCGACAAAACCTTCAAATTCCGAGCGAACTCCATCTGGATCCGAATAGTTCTCGATGAAGCCGATATAACTTTCGACCGTCGGGTTCTGGTCTTTGATCCAGAAACGAGAACCGTCTTTGTGGGCGGCCAACGAGCCGGTCTTGAAGTGCTCCACGTACTTGGCCAGCATTTGCTTTTGGTTATCGTTGGCTGCGTATTTCTAAAAGAATTGGTAAAATATTACCTAAAATTAAAAAAAAATCATTTCAAATCATGAAAAACAAAAAATTTAAAAAAATGTTTTATTCTATGTCAATATAATTATAAATAGTCCAAAAAGGCTCACCTGTGCTTCCTCAAGACTCTTGATAGTCCTGTTCAGAATTGGAGAGTAATCACCAGCTTGAAACACTATTTCTCGCCCTTCAAACTCGTGTTTCGACAGTTCAGCTAAAATTTGACTCATCAACTCGAAAATTGACAAAAATATCCTCCCCAGACCAAAACCACCCGCCCAAAATAAAAAATAGTCCTTGACCGTTCAAATTTATATAATTTAAGCCTATTTCTTACCATCCTTAACAGCAGCAACTCTAACAATATACTTGATTTTGCCTCCATCAACCTTCTTCTCGAGCCTAGTGTTCCACCCTTCAAAATTGATGGATTTGAAGAACCTGGCTACAAATTCAGTGTCCTCCTTTGTCATATTCTTTGAATGGAAGGCTGTGGTACCCTAAAATATCCCAATTGATATTAAATGTCCGTTCGAAGGATTTCAATCAAGGTTTAAGTTCATAAACTTGGCTACTACAAAGTGATATTCAAGAATAGATGTTAGAAGAAGAATAAATTGATGTAAAAGCTGAAGAATATTTGTAAAAAGTTAATATAATATTGATTTACCTTGTCCGGATATCCAAGAATAATCTCCTTGTCCGACAACCCATAGATGCTGCCTTCTACCTTGTTATACACGTCGACCAGCTTTTGATTATCGTTAAAAGCCGCTGTTTTGAATAAAAACTCACGTAAGCGGTTCTGAAATTGTTAGATTTTATAATCCAAAGCTTGAAACATAAGATAAACAACAATTTAAGCCCATAAACTCATTCTTTCATAACCAAAACATCAAGATCTTGATGTTTTAGTTACCTTAATCAAAATCACATCAATTTTCAACCTAAAACACAACAAAAATAGCCAGAAACCTTACCTGAGACACAGAAGGAATCATTTTCCGATCCCCAAACCCATAGTAATTCCCTCCATTGTAATAGAAAGTAGAGTAATAGATAAGCAAGTCGATGAACTCCTCTTCAGTCCAACCGACATCGGCCGCCTTCTCCTTCAACGCCGACAAGGATTCGGCCCGGAACACCGCCGTGAATATGTACAAGATGGCAGGTGATTCAGGGGAACGTTGACAGAAGACAATAAGGCCACCGTCAAACGAGGCCTTGGCCAAATAGTGCGCATATTGTTGAGATTGCTTATCCAAACCTAAAACAGAGTTGGGGATTTCAAGAAATTTCACACAAGTCTCAAAACTATAAGTTTTTTTAAAAATCCAAGTTCTTCAAATAAACCATAACCTAAAACAACAAAAAACTAACAAAAACCTACCTTTAAAAGATTTTTCACAGTCCAAACGAATAAATGGAGTATCAGAACGCACAATGTGCAATGAGCGGTTCTCGACAGGGTTAGTAGCCATTTCAGGGTTAGAACGCTAAAAACAAATAATATAAACCTTAAAATAAGTTTCTAAAAAGAAAAATAAGACCATTCTCCGTGTAAAACAAAAAATAAGTTGGGATAAACAAAAATAAACAGAGTGAAGGTCAGTCGAAGCAAAAGGTCCGCGGTTTTTGAACCAAAGAAGCGAGGAAAGAGGGCAAATGGCCGAAAAAGGGGGCGGATTTGGAATAAAAGTGTGAATTTATTTTTGGACTCATTGCCTAAAATTGTCATTATTGGCTGTAAAATGTCCGCAAAAGTCTTTGCTTTCTATTTTAGTCTATTTTTAGGCAGAAAAAGGTCTTTAAACTATGTATAAACGACCTTCACCATGTCCAACGTCTTCTTTCCATTCTTTTTCCAAAAATTATTATTCAAAACCGTTCAAAAACAAAAAAACCGCCAACATACACATTGAATTCATTTTGAAAAACCAAAAAGACATTGTAGAAGACCTGAAAACTAAAGGAAAACCAGTAAAACCAACTTACCAAAGCAAAACTTGTTGAAATACACCTGGCTACACGCTTGTATACCGTACCGACGTGTTTCGTCGTAAACATAAAAATGAAAAAATGGCTAAACAGGAGGTTATTTGTCTTTTGTACTACTTGAATAGCACTTTTATCCTGAAATTTGAATAAAAGATGCTGAACAAGATCTTGTTCAGCGGAAGACTTGACTTAACTTTTTTAATCGGGTCAAGTTTATCTTGTTGTAGAACTTTGTGATTTTGAATTTTAAAAAATGTGAAAAGGTTGATTTTTAGTTTTAGGTAACTCTAATAATCAAATTTTATCCAAAATGATGAAAGACTATAAAATTTTGTGGTTTAGGAGAAATGCGAGCCATAACTTTGTTTACCAAGCGGTTGTTCGTAGACGGATTGGTGAAATCGGCTGTTTCTGAGATCAGATTGGTAAGTATCTTGATGATAATATATATATTTTGAATGGTACTAAAATTTCTGATAGTTTTATAACAACTTTGGTGAAATACTTCTATCTTTTTGACGAAATTGACCTTGTTTTAGGTAATAATAATCAAAATTTCAGTTAAATCAAGTGCCATTTGATTTTTTTTATATACTCCTTGGCCTTATCGACTTTGTAACATTTTAAAAATTTGTGGTGGATTCTGAAGCTGGCTACGATGACACAGCAAACCAAACCGCATGAACGGTTTTTGCCTGATATGAATTACAAGATAGTCACTATGCTAATTGACGTGGTAAGTTTTTAAAATTTCGTTTTTTTTTTTAAATTTAGGTAACTTTAATGACTAAAAAGATTTTAGAAAGGCGAACTAGAGTTTTCACTATCAGCTAATCTGGTGGTGAAGTCGATCGCTGTTAATAGCTCCGCCATGGACTTACTTATAGTAGGTGATCAGCTGATAAGGATAAACCAGGAGTTTGTTTGGAGCGTTGATGAAGCCGACTCGTTTTTTGGTGTTAATGGAAAGGTAGGGGAAGATTTTGACTATATTCTGGAGTTTTTATAGTTAAAAATTTTTTTGACCGGTCGATAATTATTGAACTTTTTTCAAACTTTTATTTATTTTTAGGCTTATTTAGGCTTAGAAATCTTTAAAAATATTATTTTTTAGTATGAAATTCAAGTTCTGCGACAGGCCTACAAAACGCCGCTGAAAGACTGGAGAGGAAGGCAGTGTAATATAAAGCGCAATTCCAGGACAAACTGTTTTGTAGCCGTCTTCAAAGTGCCTTCAGACGTCACACTAAGCCTAAGTCTTATAGCGTTGCCTAGAAAAGGGACTTTCTTGGTTAGTGACGTATGTTTTTGTCAATTTCAAAATTTTTGGCAAGAGATCCACAGGGGGGACCAAGTTCAATTTTTTCAAAAAAAATTTTTTGAAAATTTTAAAACTTTTGAAACAACGATTACGAAAAAGTATTTCAGATAGACTGGAACACATATCCAGCGTATATCCTCCAAATAAATGATGTTTTAATGGATGTGGAGAGCAGAACATTTCGAACTTTGAACGAATTCAGACGTGAAATTACTTTAAAAGCCACCAGCGGATTACAATTCACTGTTGCTGTGACACGCCCAGATGATGCCAAGATGCCATCGTTGGTTTGTGAAGAATCGGTATGGATTTTTAGTGTTGTTGCTTTGATTTTTAGGTTTTTGAATGAAAATAAGGGTTGAAATGGCAAGTTTTGACGGAAGAAGTGAAACTTCTGGCTGAAAAATGCTAAATTTTGGCTGAAGAAGCTAAAATTCAGGCTGATAATCAATAACAACCTAAAGATAAATATTTTCAGTACCAAGACCGCAACATGAACTGGCCTCTTCCGTCCGATGTCTACCTAATTGGTCAACGAGAAGTCCTCCGCTTCAAACAATGTCTCTTAACCAAGGATTCAAAGTCGAATCCAACTGAAACGGAATCAGAAGTAGTTGATAATGATGAAGATGAAGAAAAACAAAATTGGATTGAAAATCTGAGTATGAGGGTGAAGAGGAGCCGTGTTAGTCCGAGAAACTGGTCTGGCTTTTTGACTGGAGGACGATCACCTTCTAATCCGACTAATAAGGATATTAGCTCGCCTCGGCGGAGGAATTTGTAAGATTTTTTTTGAACTTTGGATAGGATGAGCTAGGCTAGGCGTTTTTGGCATGAAAAGAAGAGGGAGGGGTGATTTTGAATTTTTTTTTGAAAAAAAATTTTGGATGTTTTAGGTTAACAGGGGGGACCAAGTTCAAATTTTTTCAAAAAAAATTTTTTTTTGAAAAGTTTTTTAAAAGTTGTATGGTAAAATAATATTTTTAAGACTACAATAATATGGTTGTTTCAGAAAACAGAGGAAAAAACGCCGAAGAGCAAGTGTGTTAAAGCAACGAGGATCAGGTACACCACTGAGCAGTCTACGGAACCGATGGAAAAAGCGGACTAAAAAGGAGGGCAGGGCGGTTATTAACACTGTAAGTGGTTTTTTATGTTAGAGTGTGGGTTTGAACGGCATTTTAAATATTTTTTTTTGAAAAAAAAGATTTTTAGTTATCGACCGGTCGATTTTTTAAACTCCATTTTTTTGAATTTTAGTATTTTTTACTCTCGCTACCCTTATATCCATCTCAATTTATACCCCTAACTCACAGTGATTGATCTACCGTACTATTTGATATCTTATACTGTCCATCCCCCCCCCCTCCTTATACGACACTATTTCACGCATTCTACTGTACCATTTCCCACCTAATACTGTACTCCTTCCAGAACGAAAACGAAGAAGAACAAGTCAAATCGGACGTGACGGAAGACCAAAAACTCAGTTCAGTCGATGCCGAAACCGAACCAAGCCTAAGGACACGAATGATCGATGGTGCTCTAAATTGGCTGAAGAAGTCGAAAGATGACGCTACGACAATGTTTCCGACCAAATTTATTAGACGAGGCTTTTCAAACCTTGCCAGTCCTGGGAATCAACCACCTTCACCTAGAGCTACGAGTTCAGTAAAGGATCAACAGGGCAGGGGTGGAGAAACTCAACTGGCTAGGGGTGGAGAGAATCAACTGGCTAGGGGTGGAGACAATCAACAAGGCAGGGCTGGAGAAGCTCAACATGGCAGGGCTGGAGAAACTCAACAAGGAAGGGCTGCAGACAATCAGCCCAAAGCGGCCGAAACCCCAAAGGCTGTAGACAATCAGGACGATCCACCAGCTAGGTCGGCCGACCGGTCGATTCGAAGAAAACGCTCAAGTGACATTTCGGAACGACGGAAACGGTCTAAGGACGATTCAGTACGGAAGAAACGAGTCAAAAATCAACTGGCAGAGTTCAAAAAGTACAAGGATAAGCTGGAGGATTCGAGGAAGAAGGATAAAAAAGGTGATAAGAAGATGGCAGAGGTAGTGGCAGGTGATAAGAAGATGACAGAGCCAGTGGTAGGTGATAAGAGGATGGCAGAGCCAGTAGCAGGGGATAGGAAGTTAGCAGAGCCAGTGGTAGGTGATAGAAGGATATTAGAACCAGTACCAGGCGATAAGAGAATGGCAGATCAAGTAGGTGATCAGAAGCTCACAGCAGATCCCTTGAAGCCCAACGATCAACTAGACGAATCCAAAAGACCCTCAGATCCCTCAGCCAAACGCACAAAGCGACGACCGTCTCCAGTAGAAACGAAAAGACTTGTGGATCCACTGGGCACGTCAATGAAGGTCAAAGACCCCATGGCTGGGTCGAGAAAATCTCCATCAGAAAGCAGTAAAAACCGTGACTCATTGAAAGATGCAAAGAAAGTTAAAGATTCAGTACGAGAAAGGAAAAAGCTTATAGTACCGGAACTGAAAAAACCTATGGAATCGACCAGAGAAAGGAAGAAGCCCACAGAACCGGGTGGAGAAGCGAAAAGACCTGTGGAATCGGTAAGAGAACGAAGGAAGCTAAAGGATGTGGAGCGGAGGAGGGGTTTGAAGCCGACTGGAGAAGCAAAACAGTATATAGAAGCGGCTGGAGAACCAAAAGGCCCTTTGGCACCGGCTGGAGAACCGAAAGGTCCTGTGGCACCGCCTGCAGAAACAAAAGGCCCAGAACCGGCTGGAGATCCATTGAAGAATGTGGAACCGCCTGTACAACGAAAAAACCTCATGGAACCATTAGCCGAACCAACAAAGCCTTTCGAATCGACCCCGGAACCAAAAAATGCCAATAATAATCAACTCGAACCGACTCAACCTATGGATCCGGACCAAGAAACAAATAAGAATCCAGCCGAAACACCGCCAGCAGAACTAAAAAAGCCCAACGTACCAAACGACCAATGAACAACAACATCACACATCGAAACACATCGTTAGAACTATTTCAAGAAAACTGGATCTGAACAAATAAACTAGACTAAATTTCAAATTCCAAATTGAAATTGAAAAAACATAAATCTTAAAGGTAACCGTGGGGAACGGACCGGGCCTGAATTTTAGGCTCGGCTCGGTTTAAGGTTTGCTTATACCCGGTTCCGTTTTCCATGTCTACTCAAAGGGGTTAAAATAAGACTTAAAAATATTTTTTAAAATCAAAATATTGTTTGGCTAGCCAAAACTCTTTGTCATAAAGGCAAAACACCAAAATGGAATCGGCGGGATTCGGACTAAGAATAACTTCTTAACCATTTCATTCTTTTTGATCAAGACGAATGAGACGGGTCGAGGAGTTTTCCTGTATAATTTTTTGCCGCTGATACTTTGCTAGCCAAGATTATTTAGCAGTTTTTGAGAACAGCTTTCCCGGTAACTTTCACTCTTTCATCCTATATTCAATAGGTCTTTAAAGCCGAGGGACTTTTGGTGCAAGTTTCTAGTAAAAGTTGGGGCCAGACCGGGCCGAAAATTTGGGACTAGGCCGGCCCTGAAAGTTGGAACTAGGCCGGGCTTAAAAGTTAGGACTAGGTTAAAATTGAAACGGGCCGGGCCCAAAGGTTAGGCCCGGCCCGCGGGCCGAGCTTGAAAATTGGGCCCCGGCCCGAAAAAGAAATTTTTAAATTTAAAAAAATTTTTTATTTTAATCCCCGTTGATGTTTTTTGATTTTATTGGGTACCATGATACATAAATGATCTAAAAGAACAATGCAAAGCCAAATTTCCGTTAATTTTTTAAGTTTTAAAATTTTTTAAAACGGGCCGGGCCTAGAAATTTTCTGATCGGGCCGGGCCGGCCTGAGAGAAAATTGAAAACGGGCCGGGCCTAAACGTTGGGCCCCGGGCCTGGGCCGGGCCTAAAAAGTAGGCCCGGCCCTTTTCTGAGGGAGGGATCCACTCCTATTCATCATCCCCACTAGCGACATCCCTAGGCCGGGCTCGTCCCATCCTGTAGGCCCAGCCCGTTTCAACTTCATCTCAAGGTAGGTACAATCGTAAGATTGGTCCTACAATTCTGTTTTGTCACTGCTAACAAGGAAAGTACCCTACCTGCAACTCTAAGAATTAGCTCAAAATTTTTATACGGATTCTTTATAGTGCCAGCAGCATATATAAAAATATTAGATTGCGGTTTTAAGTTTATATTTATACATACTCATGCCCACGCCCATATTAGATCCATACCCACACCCCTGTCCATTTTTATATCCATACCACACCCATACTTACATTAAAATTTTCACAGATTTTAAAGTTGGAATTTAAACAGACGCGCGACGGCCATAGGCCGGCGCCTTTTTTCAACAAATTCTAACGTTTTATGTTATTATAACATAATTTACTTTACAAAAATTCATAAATATTGTATAAAAATGAAATACAACAAAAATGCACAGACCATAGCGGGCCCGTAGGGCCCGCGTTGGTCTGGTAAACTTTGATAATCGTGAACTGCGGGCATTTATTTCTAACTTGAGTTTAGCATCGGTATCAACCGAAAACAGGAAGACGGATTAGAGGCTTATCATACACACACAAACAGAGCTGGATACCGATCCACCGTCCGATATACTAGTTTTTCCGACCAACACAGAGAGAAGGCGGAACATTAGGAAAGCTCGAGTCACGCGCATTTTTTATACAATGTCAAACTTAGCCACAATGAAACCGCGGCAACCCGAAACATTCACATGGCATTTGGCACTAGTACAGCTAAGAAATGCACCGTACAACGCTAGTTCCACCGATTCAAAACTGCCAACTTTACCCTCGAGAACCTACCTTGACGATGGGATTCTGAAGTCATCGGTAGAAGAAGAAACTTAAAACTACATGAGAACGTGACAAAGACTATGTAGTTAATTATACTGCCAAACGGAATCATTTGAATTATCAAAATCAAAAAAAAATTAAAAGATACAAAAAATCTGAGTCAGTCCACGTTTATTGTCTACAGTACCTCTAAAGCACATAGAAAGTACAGTAAACGATCAGTAGAGTGAGAAAAGAGAGCGACCAGTCATTAGTTGATGCCACTGGAGCGTCGGGGTCAGTAGTCGATTCGAACTCGGCAGTTGTAGCCTTAGTGGTAGTAGTGGTCGTAGTGGTAGTGGTGATGGTAGTTGTTGTAGTTGTCAAAGGTGCCTCTTTCTGATTGTTGCAGTTTTCTCCCTTGCATTTGCACAACGTGCCGTTCATTTTCAAAACGGAAAGAAACGGATGATTTATCACGTCTACGCACGTTTGATTTGCCTGAAAAGTTAAAAAAATTTTATAAAATTTGGAGGAAAAAAAACTTTTTTTTATTATACAAAGAAATAAACACACTCTTCAATATATTTAAAACCTACCGGAAACACGCCGTTGTAATTGCAGTGGCGCTGTGTTGCTGGGACCACTTAAAAATGAATATTACTTGTAATACCCTACCTTACCATCTCGGCCCTGATAAACATTTAGAATCAATGAGCTTGAAAATATTTGCGAAAAGTACGACCGGCTCATTTCTCACCTGCCCTGCTTTCAGTCAACTCTATTTCACCAATAAAACCTTACTTATGCCATGTATTTGTAAATGGCCCCATACTGTGTAACAAGAATCAGGCGCACAATCATTCACGGTGGTCCATTGTGTGGAAGGAACGATGCAATCCAACTTTGTGTCCGTCATTTGTTCACAATGGAAACACCCAAAATACGAGCTTGCTGTCGGAACTGAAATAATTGTATTTAGTAAAGCATTGGTCAAAAAGTTTATAGAATTAAAACGAATTTTGATTTTTTCGTAATTTTAGTCAAAAAACTGAATTTTTACCCAAAAAATCTTTAAAAAGTTTTTCCATAAACTTTTAGACCGAAAACAAAAAGTTTAAAATTGTCAAAATAAAGCCTCCAACTTACCCAAACACAACAGTACCAGAAGCACCATGCACAACATTCTACAGCTCCAACCTTCCATCGACCAAAACTTGCACGATCGACCGACCGACAGACCGACTTTCGACTCTAATGACCAAACAAAAGCCGGAAAGGTGTCATTTCAACAGTGAGCGCACTTTCAAAGGACTACTACTGGATGTCCTTGCAAAACGTTGGCGTTCTGTATCACGAATCAGGCAATTTCGACATTCATTTTTTGCAAAAAAACTGAGCAGGTCGGTTGTCAATTGGTAAATACAAATCGAGACCGACCCATTTGAGAGTGACAAACGGGCCGAGCCTACTTTTCAAACTCTGTTCGCTGGCCTGGTTCAACTGTTTGGCTCGGCTTGTTTAAACTTAAGTGCAAGGCCGGCCCAATCAAAAACAATCTAAGCTTGGCCTGACCTGGAGCGTTTTAATCGTTTGAGCTTGAGCCTAACATTCAATCTAAGGCATAAGATGATATGAAATGGCCAGAGCAATGTAAAAGCCTACGGAAAAACTAAAGCAGAGTAAAACCTTAGAATAAGACTAACAAGGGAAGTGTCTCACCTCATTCCGGAGATATGAAACGGGACTAGGCTCATTTGAAAGCCCATCTGAATACCAGTTCAACAAAAAAAATTTAGCTGCCGAATAAGCCCCTGAGGCAAGTTATGACGGTTTAAAAATTTGCAGTGCTTTCCTTGGTTTGAGTTTGAAAACGATTGGGAGCGAGAAAGAAAACAAGGGGAACCGATGATTCGGTGGTTCAGTGGTTAGGGGTTGGGTTTTGGGGTAAAAGGATAAGGGTTCGATCCCTGCCAATTCCTTTTGCTTTAACAACTTACAAAAAAATTTTTTTTTGATTTTTGTATTATATAGCAGTGAATAGAATAGTTTTGATCATTTGAATACAAAAATTAAGCAATTTGGCAAATTATTAAACTTTAAAATGTATAAATATAAACTTAAAACCGCAATCTAATATTTTTATATATGCTGCTGGCACTACAAAGAATCCGTATAAAAATTTTGAGCTAATTCTGAGAGTTGCAGGTAGGGTACATTGCTTGTTAGCAGTGATAAATGTGAATTGTAGGACCAATCTTACGATTGTACCTACCTTGAGATGAAGTTAAAACGGGGTGGACCTTCAGGATGGGACGAGCCCGGCCTAGGGATGTCGCTAGTGGGGATGATGAATAGGGGTGGATCCCTCCCTCCCTACTCCTCCCCCCCCCCAGAACAAAAAATCCGTAGCGACGTTCCGGGGCAGGGTTTTTAATTTTTTGACCGGGCTGGACTGAGAAAAAATGAAAACGGGCGAGCCTAACTAACTTGCATGCTTTGTTTTCTGTATAAGCATTTACTGTATTACAAGGTTATTCTGTTGATAAAAATTATGGTTTTCCTTTTATATAAGGTTGTGGCATTTCTTGCATATAAGCTTATTATAATATGTCGCTCGGTGACTTGTCCACCTTTTGACAGATATGACCGGCAACTTCAGCATCCCCAAAAAAACCGGTCCAACTTCCAGGATTATCGGTATTTTTCATCGTCATGCCATAAAAAATCTTTTTATCAGTTCCTGGGACGTTTTCAGCTCGGTTATATTTGAACTTAGTGTTATCATCCCATTTAAACTTGTTTCCCGGTACAACGGATAATCCTATGCCAAAGATCTTACCCGGGAATAAGTCTGTCATGTAGTCTGAAAGTAAAATGGCGGATTTTCAGTGTAGGGCAGAATTTAAGGGTACGGTAAATTTTCAGGGTATGGTATGTTTTTTGTACGCATACACAGGGCCGGGCGGGGAGTTTTGGTCTGGGGGCGGGGATCGAAAAGCGGCTATCTATGCCGATTTTTTCGACCTCCGTCCCCAGACCAAAAGTCTCCGCCCGGCTCTGCATGTACAAGTGCTCTAAGGTTGGTAGGTTACAATAGCGAAAACTAGAGCAGGGTAATGTATGGAAAAGTCGGGTGCGATAGAACACGGTAGGTAGAGGTTAGGATACGGTAGGGGAGGCTTAATGAAAAAAACAAGTGTAAGCTTACTGTAAACTGTCATATCGGCATCTTCATCTTCAAAAGAAGCGGATCTTTGCCCATAACCTTTACAAACTATGTCAGCGAGTTCAATTGAACTTGTTTCATTGGTGTGCTGTAAAATCAAAGTTGGTTTAGTCAAATATTTTTAAAATAAAAAAGTTTTAACTTACAGTGTAGGTGCGACCACGAGTAGTAGTTATTATTTCAATCGGTTCATTGCTATCGTAGGTAAGTTCAAAGGTATCCCTTAAGGCATAGCAATATGCTACGACTAAACAGAAGACAACAACGTTCATGATTGCTAATGATGGTTAGCTTGTTGTTTCCTTGCAAGTTTTGCCCATTTATACCAACTTTTTGACATTTTAATCACAAAACTGGCATTGAATTTCAAAGGGAACATTTTAAAACTTAAAACAAAACATTTTATATGTTGATACGTGGTTTACATTTACAATTGCATTCATGAATGTGCGTTTTCTAAGAAATTTTTGTTTTGTTTTTGTCTTAATTCAATGTTGGTTTCGTACTATTATATATTGTTTTTTTTTGAAATTGATACAATGTATTGTTCTTACTGTCTTCACCAAACCCTCATTAGACATGGGGAATGGGCCGGACCGGTTCGACTTTTCAGGCCCGACCCGAGCTTTTTTCAGGTCCGGTCTGACCTAAATTTTGCTCAGGCCGGGCCCGTTCCCCAAGTCTAACTCTCATCATTCCTGCTCACTAGAGGAACGGGCCGAGCCTGAATGTTAGGCTCGACCCGAGTTTTTTTCAGGTCCGGGCCGGCCCGAATTTTTTTTACCTGAAAATGGGTTGGCTTTTTGGCCTGGCTTTTTTCTTTACTTCTAGTTCCGGCCCGTTACCTACATTTAACCCTCGTCATCTCTCCTCACCGAGGAACTGGTCGAGCCTGAATGTTAGGCCCAACCCGAGGTTTTTTCAGGCCCGGGCCGGCCCTAAGTTTTTTTTACATAGAAACGGGCCGGGCTTTTTGGGCCGGACTTTTTTCGGCATTCCAAGTCCGGCCCGACCTAAATTTTGTTCAGGCCCGGCCCGTTCCGCAAGTCTAACCCTCATCATTCCTGCTCACTAGAGGAACGGGCCGAGCCTGAATGTTAGGCCCGACCTGAGTTTTTTTCCGGCCCGGGTCGGCCCTAAGTTTTTTTACGTGGAAATGGGCGTGGCTTTTCGGGCCGGGTCTTTTTTTGGGATTTCCAGGCCCGGGCCGACCTAAATTTTTCTCAGGCTCGCCCCGTTTTCCATGGTTAACCCTCGTCATCTCTCCTCACCGAGGAACTGGTCGAGCCTGAATGTTAGGCCCAACCCGAGGTTTTTTCAGGCCCGGTCCGTTCCCTAAGTCTAACCCTCATCATTCCTCCTCACTAGACATGAGGAACGGGCCGGCCTTGACTTAAATTTAGGCTAATTGTAAGCCGGGCCAGAAAATCAAGGTTTGGTTCGTTTACACGTAAAAATAATTGGGCCGGGCCGGGCCTGAGCAAAATTTATGATCAGGAAAGGCCTGAAAGATGGGCACGACACATTCCTCATGTGTAGCCCTCACGTAGACATGAGGAATGTGACGTGCCCATTCAATCTACAGAGTGTCTAAAGAAAAGTGGTAGAAAGTCCAGGCTTTATTCTCAAAAACTATATTATAGTAATCCAAACAGGCTTATTTCATTTCTTTAGGCTTCTAATAGCATGCGGATTTGTTTCGTATGATTTTTTGATCATTCGGTGGAGACTCGGCGAAGACCGGTGGACATTATTTGCAGTGTTTTCCTAGTTATTTTAAAGCATTTTGTATTGCTAGTCATGTTTATCGGCAGAGAACATTGTTTACGATCAATATTTTAAATTAAAACAAAAAAATTAGGGTAGGGTAGGGTAGGGTAGGGTAGGGTAGGGTAGGGTAGGGTAGGGTAGGGTAGGGTAGGATAGGGTAGGGTAGGGTAGGATAGGGTAGGGTAGGGTAGGGTAGGGCAAGGTAGGGTATGATAGAGTAGGATAAGGAAGAATAAGGTAGGGTAGGGTAGGGTACGGTACGGTACGGTACAGTAGGGCTGGATAGGGTAAGGTACGATAGGGTAGGGTAGGGTAGGGTAGGGTAGGGTAGAGTTGAGTAAGGTAGTGCTATCGTAATGTCGTATTCCTACTAGCAGTTTTGTACTCACAGTGTTTGTACCATAAGAATTATGTAAATTCATAACTCTACTGTGTTTCATGCTTACAATATTATTAGTGCTTTACAGTTTAAAAACCTTGTTTTAACAGTTTAATGCCTTTTTGCTCGACAAGTGAATTAAAAAACTTATTATTAATTAATTTAATCAATTTTACAATGCAATAATCAATCGTACATCACATAATGTAAGCTGTTTGTTCACAAAGACAAAATCTTTTCATCTTTCTCCTCCGGGTATCTATATTGACACAGATGACCAAGACCTTCAGTATTCTCTGCTACAGCCATCCAACTTCCAGCCGGCAGGCTGGGTGCGTTGATAAACATGCCGTAGTATGAAGTGGTATTATTAAGTGGGTCGTTGACTACTTTCGTGTAGTTGTATGAACTGCCATCCATCCATTGTGGCTCTTCATCGGGTTTAGCATACAAGCCTATGCTTAAGAAACTGTTCGTTGGGAACCATTGGGTCAAGGTCAAATAATCTAAAGGTATATATGTAAATATGCGTGTGTCATTACTCTAGAGAGTTGTATCTATAGGGTAAGACAGGAGAAAGACAGGTAAAGTAGAGCAAGACAGAAAAGGGCAGTATAGAGTTGGACAGGACAAACTAAGGCCGGGCAGTGCAAGGCAGGGTAAAAAAGGACATGGAACAGCACGGCACGGCAGGATAAAGCAGGGCGAAGCAAAACTGGATAGTGTAGGGCAGGTCTAGGCTAGACAGCGCAAGGCAGGGCAAAGCAAGGCAGGGCAAAGCAAGGCTGAGCAGGACAAGGTCAAGCAAGAAAGGGCAGCGCAGGGCAGGGCAGTGCAAGGCACGGCAGTGCAGGAGAGAGTAAGGTAGGGCTGGGTAGGACAAGGTAAGGCAAGGCAAGAAAGAGCACGGTATGGCAGAGCAGGGCGGGCAGAACTGGACAGGACAAGGTAAGGCAAAGCAAAATCTGGAGTAGGGTAGGGTAGGGTAGGGAAGGGCAGGGTAGGGTAGGGTAGGGTAGGGTATGGTAGGGTAGGGTAGGGTAGGGTAGGGTAGGGTAAGGTAGGGTAGGGTAGGGTAGGGTAAGGTAGGGTAGGGTAGGGTAGGGTAGGGTAGGGTAGGGTAGGGTAGGGTAGGGTAGTGCAACAGTATAAACTGACTGTAAATAAGAAGATCAGATCTTTCTTCGAGGATGACGGCCGGCTCCAAATTATAAGTTTTGCAAGCAACCCATCCGTTTCTTATAAGGTCTTTTTGTGGCATTACCTAAAATTGACATATTTTTAAAAAATTTCAGTCTTCAACTAGTGGCTTTTTTTAAATTTTGAGAATTTTTGCTTTGAAATCAAAAAAAAATTTTATTTTTTTAAATTTTAAATTTAAAAAAATACGTTTAAAAATTAAAAAAAATTTTTTTTAATTTTTATTATAATATAAACAGCTCACATAATATTGGCGGCCAGAATACTCTCCCCTAATCTCAATCAGCTTGGTTGGCATTTTAGCCACACAGTAACAGGATAACATCAAAAAAATTAAAATTTTCATTGTTAAATTAATTACAATGCTTTTTTGAAAATTGTGCGTTTTTTCAATTTATATTCAATTCTTAAAACAAGCACGGCATTTAAAATTCAAAAAGAAACGTATAAAACATTTTCTTGTTTTAAACTACGTCATATAAACTATAAAAGGCATTTTAATTTCAAAAAAACTATTTGAAATGATGCACAAAAAGCTTAAATAGCGTTTAAACTTTAAAAAAAAATTTTTGTTTTGATATTATTTCTTTAAATTAAACATTTTGTAATGTTTTATATCAGTTTGTTGAAGTTCCAATGACATTTTGAATAGAATATGTCAAACGTTTTCAGTTTTTTTTAAAAATGTAATAATTTATTTCTTGTAATCACATAACGCTTTGATATATAATCATGTATACGATTCATGAATCGTGTTGTTGAGTCATTGTTATTTCATCTGATTGTGAACACCAATTCTGTCAAAATAAGCATTGTTGGCTTGGAGACAACTATTGATTCCTAAAATTAAATTTTTTTTTTGATTTGATACAGTACCCTACTCTAACATATTCTAATTTACCGTACTAGAGCGTACCCTACCATACTCTACCCTGCCCTACTCTCCCCTACCCTACCCAACCATACCCTACCCTACCCTACTTTTCCCTACCTTCCCCTACTCTAACTCACCTTAAATTACCATACTCTTCCCAACATATCCAACCCTATCTTACTCTGCCCTTTAAATTTACATCTCGTCCACCTAAAATTGATTTTTTGATTTTCATCCGCCTTAAGCCTAAATTACTTTACCACGCCCTATATTTCTATCAAGATCCTTCAAGCTTGTGGTACTTACGTTACTTCTTGTAAAACCATATGTTATCATCACTTCAGTGCTTCAACCCTTCTATGATATGATATGTTAATCAGGCAGGTGAAAATATAACCCGTGTAGTTCGTTGAGGTATGTTTCAATGAAAAATGAGACGTCTATCGTGATGTGAATTATTGTCACGTTAAAGCAAAGGCTATAGCGGCGTGCAAGAATACCATGGCTACTGCGTCGGCCTAAATAGTATAATAGTTTTATTACTGTAAAAGGTTTATATAGGGCAAGATAATGTGAGTTCGTGTATTATATGATAGGAAAAGTAGGTTAATGTAGAGTAGGGCGGAGGGGTTTAAAGAAGGGTAGGGTAGGATATGTTATACAAGGGTAGGATAAAGTAAGGTAAATTAAAGAAAAAATTACGGTAGAATACAGTAACGTAAAGCAAGATAGAAAACGTTAAGGTAGAGTACAAGAACGTAAGGTAGGGTAACTAGCAGGGCAGGGTAAGTTAGGGTAGGGTATTGTAGGATAGGGTAGGGTAGAGTAGGGTAGGGTAGGGTAGGGTAGGGTAGAGTAAGGTAGGGTAGGGTAGGGTAGGGCAATGCATTATAAAACAGGTAACTTACAGCCGCAAATGTCCACTTTTCACTCCAGTAGCTGTAACTGTAATCAAAACTGTAGTGTATCTCAATTACCGCACAAATCCCTGCCATTAATGAGCAGAAGACGGCTGTTGGCATTTCCTATAAATCAGTAAATAATTTAGGCTATAAAACGTGTTTTATGTCAAGTAATTAAAAAAGAAAAACACGGTCATTAGAGTTTATCTTAAATTTTTTAAACTCATTGATCTTGACCAAAAACTTTTGATATTTTAGGTGACAAATGAATGAAAAATACCGATTTTGTATCGAAAATAAAGAAATTTAGAAAATTTTTTATCAAAAAGTATACAAATATTAATTTATCTCATACCAAACAATTGTAATCCTGCATACAAGGCGAGTCAGTGTAGCATGAGTTGGATATTAACCATGATAATGACAATAGTAGTGTTAAACACGCCACAAACATGGGGAATATCTGAAATTTTTAAATTTAGTTTTTTTTGTCAGTATTATCTCATCAAAGATCACACAGCACCAAAAATACTATTCCCTTTTAACAAATTTTAGAAATCAATAAATTTTTTGACATTTCGTCTAATTTTTGACTTTTAGGATATAATGGTTGAAAATAGTCAAAAATACATAATTTAAACATTTTTTTATAACAAAAGGTGTCACAAAGTAATTAAAAGACATAATTAAATTTCCAATAATTTTGTGACATTCCGTCCAATTTTCCAATAATTTTGTGACATTCCGTCAACACGCAAAAACCTTCAAAAACCCAAACACAGCAAACAAAGAAAACACAAGCACGACAGTTAATGAACAGGTTGGTAAGTCGGAAATTGGAATTTATCAACAAAAATTCCAAAAGTTAATGGAATGAGTTAGAAAAAGAACAACTTCCGAAATCCTTACTGGACTTGCCTGCGCGTACTGCCGGTTCTGCTCAGTCCACGTGATGGTGCAGTAGCCCAAACGGCAGTAGATGCCGGCGAAAAAGAAGAGGAGGACTGATAAGAGCTGAAAAGTTGGTATTATTTAGTAATTTGAGGTTATTTTTTAAATCGATAATTTTTGTGGCATTTCGTCACATAGCTTAAAATATGCTAAAAGGTAAAAATTACGCAACATATGTGTTTTATATCCTATCTACAACTAAATTACACAAAATTCATTTTCCAATAATTTTTTGACATTCCGTCATTTTTTTAATTTTGTGACATTTTGTCAAAAATATTTTTAAAAAAAGTTTAAAAACAGTATTTTAGCTAATATAAGATATGTTTTTCGTTATATTTTCCATTAAAAATTATGTAAAGTATAATGAAAAACGCCATCCAATAAATTTTGTGACATTTCGTCTAAAATTTCCATACCTCATAATTCAAAAACTTACAATAGAAAGTGCGTAGAAGCTGAGGATAATGATACGTCGGGCATTGACTCTGTTTCTTGAAAGGATCATACCGGCTTCAATTGAACAAGTCATTAGTAAATGGCGCACCGAACAAGCGGACATGTAAAACAACGTAATTTTGGTAATTTAGGTATCAAAAATAAATAAAAATACTATTTTCAAGTTTTATGGTCAATAACATGGCATAGTAAAGTAATTTTAGACGGTTTTTGCAATTCGGCCGTACACAAGTTTTCAAAATTGCAATATAAGTACTAGTAATAGTACCAGTAGTAACCCAATGTAAATATAGCTCACATAAATCAAAATAATACAAAATAACGCCAAGTACGAAAGGTGAGTAGAATCGGCTCTCGAATTTCGACCTTAATATCCCTCGGCCGAAAATTCCTCGGCCTGAGGGTTTAAAAAATCGCCACATGTTTGAAACGAAACAGCTGTGTCACTTTTCAACAATGTGACAAATCTCCAGGAAATTCAAGATCACACCGCAAAAAGTTCAACGTTTTGAAGTGATAACAAAAAAATTTTAGAATTTCTGTGCCAAACTTAAAATTTTTAAAAGTACCCTGCCTTACCATACCTTTCTCTACCCCCCACCGTACTATACGGTGTCCTATTTGAATCTACCCTACTTTTCCCTACCCTACCCTACTTTACCTACCCTACCCTACCCTGCCCTATCCTACCCTGCCCTGCCCTGCCCTGCCCTGCCCTGCCCTACCCTACCCTACCTAGACCTGGGTAATGGGCCGTGCCAGCCCCATTTTTCAGGACGGCCCGATTTACGTTTTGCTCAGGCCCGGTCCAGTTCGGCCCGATTTATTTTACGTTGAACTGGGCCGGGCTTTTCCGGGCTATTCAGACCAAGCCGGGCTTTTCCGGGAGTTCCAAGCCGCCCCGCCCGACTAAAATTTTTTCGGCCTATTCCCCATTTCTAACCCCCTCCTATGAATCTTTAAAAATTTACATTTCGTCCACCTAATATTGATTTTTTAAAACTTTTCTGTACCCTACCTTTCACGACCCTAATATTTTCGTTTACCTAATATGGACTTTTTTTAAAATTTTTCTACGCCTTACCCCTTCCACCCCCCCCCCTTTTGTGACTTACTGCTATGTCAACCCCAAACCCAAAAAGGAAAAAACGACCCCTCCCTTTTCCCATTATGTCAAAACCCCCCAACCCATAAGCATAAGTTATACTTTGTTCGAGAGATTAATGGGCCAGGAAAGGGAAACTTAAAACATTTCGAATAAAGATACTTCTGAGAAATTAAAGTAAAACATTCAGCGGCCGAAAAGAAGTAACAGACATGATTAAATATGCACAATAATATTCATTGGCAAGTCGTGGTGGGAAAGCTGCGTTTAATACAACAATCCCACTAATCCCCCATGTTTTAGCCTGTTCTCGGGGATTTTAATTGAGTGGAAGACTGTCAATAGATCATACAACAATATTAAATTGAAAAAAAATTACCCCTTCCTAATTTTTTGAAAAAAACTGTAAGTTAGGGCTAGAGCCGGGCAAGGGCTAGGGTTAAAGCTAAAGGTAGGGCAAAGTTTAGGGATAAGGCTAGGGTTCTCGGTTAGGACTAGGTCTAATACTAGGTCTAGGGCTAAGGCTAAAGCTAGGGCTAGATATAATAGTAAGATAGGGCTACGGCTAGAGCTAAGGCTCTGGACTAGGGCTCTGTGTTAGGGCTCTCAGCTAGAGTTCGGGGCTAGGGCTCTGGGACTAGGACTATCGTTCTGGGCTCTGAGCTTGGGCTCTGAGCTTGGGCTCTGGGCTAAGGCTCTGGACTAGAGCTCTGAGCTAGGGCTCTGGGCTAGAGCTCTGAGCTAGGGCTCTATGCTAGGGCTCTGGCTAGGGCTCTGGGCTAGGGCTCTGGGCTAGGGCTCTGGGCTAGGGCTCTGGGCTAGGGCTCTGGGCTAGGGCTCTGGGCTAGGGCTCTGGGCTAGGGCTCTGGGCTAGAGCTCTGGGCTAGGGCTCTGGGCTAGGGCTCTGGGCTAGAGCTCTGGGCTAGGGCTCTGAGCTAAGGTTTTGGGCTAGAGTTCTGGGCTAGGGCTCTGGGCTAGGGCTTTGGGTTGAGACTCTGGGCTAGGAACATAAGCTAGGGCTCTGGGCTAAAACTGGAGCTATGACAAAGGCTAAGACTAGCGTTGATGCTAAATCTAAGACCAAGACTAAAAATAGGGCTAGAGCTAAAACTGAGACTAAGCATAGAGCCAGAACTAAAGCTGAAACTAACGCTAAGCCTAGAGGAAGAGATAAAGCTAGATTAAAAGCAAATAAAGGCGCTTGGGCATAAACATGATCAACGGGCCGGGCCCAATTTTCAGGCCCGGCCCGTTCATAATGTCTACTTGGACTAACACTGAAACAAAAGCTAGTTCCTCACAAATAATATGATATCAAGTCTAACCCCCAAAAATGGCATTTACGAAACAAAAATTCAATTTTCGCAACATTACCCTTATAACTGAATTCATTGCCTGGAGGCAGAAAAAAAAACGTTGGAAAACTTTGTAATGTAAAGTAATAAAAAATTATAAGACATATAGCGTGATGGTCTCCTATTTCGACTGCGTTTACATAAAAATGCGCTGAAAACCTTCGTAAAATTTTTTTTGCTATTATTTAATATTAGACTAAAAAATTTTAAAAAAATTCATTTTATTTATCGTATTTTACAAATGAAAAAATGTTCATTTTAGTAGAGCTACAGAAAAATTTGAAGAATGAAATTCTTAGACATGAAAAGCACCTGTTAGTCTAATGAAATATTATTTATACGAATTAGGACAAACGCGTCACTAATTATATTGTTCATGCCAATTCTTAACACTTTTACTGAATTTGAAATATGAAAAAAAAAATAATTTACAAAACCATACCCTACATTACACTACCCCACTCTTCTATATTCTAAGTTACATTACCCTACCCTACTTTACCCTAACCTACCATACCAAACCCTACCCTACCCTACCCTACTCTGCCTTGCTCTACCCTGCCCTACCTCACACTACACTGCCTTGCTTTGCCTTGTTGTGCGCTGTCCCCGCCCCTTGCCCGGTTTTAACCTACCCTGCCCTACTATACCCTACCCTACCCAAGCTTTTCTGCCTATAATATTACGACTACAGCTAGAATTAAAGGTAAGGCAAAGGCAAGTCTAGAAACTAGACAAGTGGTAGACTTGTGCTAAGCTAGGGCAAGACTAGAACAAAGCTAGAGCCAGGACTTGCGCCAAGTCTAGAGCTAGAGTTGAGGCAAGGGTTGAGACTACGGCTGTAAGAAATCATTTTTAGCCTACCCATCTCTCCCCCCCCCCTTCAGGACATTAATAAAATTAAAAAAAACACAAAAAAGATCAAACAGTGTCCGATGTCCACAACCTGTTTACCTTGTTTACTTATATGCAAATTAAACCCTGCGCGACCAGTTCCGGCCATCTTTTGTTCCTTTTTGCGGCGGCCGAAAATTTTCATAAAACAAATTCACGCACAAAAATGGTGTGGTTACCCGGACGACCGAGTTTGTGAACAAATCCGGATAAATCCGTGTTTCTTTGGGCCCGAAATTAACGCAAATTAAGCCGGTTTCTCCTGCACAAGGTCACTGTTAATTGTTGATTAACATGTTTAAAAGAGGCTTGCTTAAAAAAAGGTTGTGCTTTGTGGTTTGGTAATTAAATCTTCAAAAGTAGAGGACATGGTTTGCTGGATTAAGCTTTATTTAAGTATATGAGAAAGATTGAATTAAAAAACGATATAACACAAGTTGAACTATATGTTTGGCTTAATAGACTTAACCTTAAAAGGAATACCCTAAGGCATGGTAAGCTTATGCTTATTAGGCTTGAGCTTGCTAGTCTTAGACTTAATAGGCTTAGGCTTAGTAAGCTTAGGCTTTGTAGGCTTAGGCTTAGTAGTCTTAGGCTGTAAGCTTAGGCTGTAGGCTTAGGCTGTAGGCTTAGTAGGCTAAGGCTTAGTAGGATTGGACTAACATGTAAGTAAGCATATGCTTAGTAAGCTTAGGTTTAGGCTTAGCTTTTTACTGAGCCTATGCTTAGGTTACACTCAGATCTAAGTTTTACCTAAGGCTTGGCTTAAGGCTTACCCTCAAGCTTAAATTTAGGCTTATGTCTTACGTATTTACAGCTTTATACTTATCTTAAACTTAGCTTTAGTCTTATCATGAGACCTAGCTTCTGTCTTAGATTAAGGCTTACCTTAGGCTTCGCTTTAGGCAAAATCTTACACTTAGCTCTACGCTTATCTTTAGGCTTAAAACTCAGGTTTGATTATACAGCGGTTAGTACTATGGCCTCTGTAATACCTTTTAAACGTGTCTTTTTTTCAAAAAAAAAACTGGAAGTAAACGTTTTTTTATTTTTCCTGAAAAACAACAAGGATAATATTATTTTTGGCAACAAACAAAGTATTTGCAGGGGTGAATCTTCTAAAAGTAACTTTTTAAAGTAAAAAAACTTTACAATTTTAGAAGGAGGGGGTTTTTCAAAGACGCTTCCCTTACCCCCCCCCCTCACTTTTTTTTAAACAACCCTATGATATCCTGTAACCCATGTCTCCCCCCCCCCTTCATTACACAAATTTGCCTATACGACCATCCCCCTAAAGCAATATCGTGATTAGACCAGATAGACGTAGTTCTACCAGGAATTATTTTATTTACTCGCCGCTGCCACAAATAAATAATAACTACGCAAAAAAAACGGCCACAATATAAGCATCCCAAATGTTCGTATCTTAAAGTGGAAAACAAGAATTTTTAATTTTTAGAATTAGACTTGCATTCTAATTGTTATGACAAAAGCTAATTGCCTGGTAAATAAGCCATTACAAAAGGAAGATGAATTGAAAGTGCTATCAAAGGTTTTTAATGTCATAAATTGAAAACTAAGCTTAGTAAGCTTAAGCCTAATAAAATAAATTCTAATCTAAGCCAAGCAAGCTTAATGTTCGTAAGCCTAGTAAACCTAAACCTAATAAGCCCAATCCAATGTCTGAGCCTACTAAGCCTACGCCTACTAAGTCTAAGCCTACTATGCCTAAGCCTACTAAATCTAAGCCTACTATGCCTAAGCCTACTAAGTCTAAGCCTACTAAGTCTAAGCCTACTAAGCCTAAGCCTACTCTGTCTGAGCCTACAAAACCTAAGCCTACTAAGCCTAAGCCTACTAAGCCTAAACCTACTAAGCTTAAGGCTACTATTCCTAAGCCTACTAAGTCTAAGCCTACTATGCCTAAGCCTACTAAATCTAAGCCTACTATGCCTAAGCCTACTAAGTCTAAGCCTACTAAGTCTAAGCCTACTCAGTCTGAGCCTACAAAACCTAAGCCTACTAAGCCTAAGCCTAAGCCTACTAAGCCTAAGCCTACTAAGCCTAAATCTACTAAGCACAAGCCTACTAAGCCTAAACCTACTAAGCTTAAGGCTACTATTTCTAAGCCTACTAAGACTAAGTCTCAGCCTACTAAAGCAATGCCTACTAAGCCTAAGCCTGTAAGCATATACCAAGGCTAATCCTACGAATCCTAAGCATACCAAGCCTAAGCTTACTACATTTAATTAAAACTAAAAAGCTTTTTAAACAAAAAATTTTTCAGGTATAACATGTCTACTTGACCTATTGAAACATGAAATTAATAGTACACAATAGTATATATGGCACCCATTTTTAAAATTATCCATTTGAGCGTACAACCGCTCAAGGCGTTTAAAATTCGCTCAACCATGATGACTTTTTTAAGTACGTTGTACACGTAATTTTGGTTTAAATTTGAAGATGAAGAGCCTTTAAAGTAAGGACCTTTAAATAATGCTGAGAAAACGCGAAAGCTTAAGTAAGTTTTGTACGGTCTGAATTTTTATGGGTTTGCTTAGGCTTAGTTACCTTAAGCTTAGTAGGCTTTGGCTTAATGTGCTTGTGGATTAAGATTAGGCTAAGTAGAGTTGGGCTTACTAGGCTTAGGCTTAGTTGTCTTAAACTTTTTATGTTTGGGCTTAATAGGCTTATATATCCAGATCTTGGTTAGAAGCCTCGAGGCTTAATGTGGTTAAGCTTAGTGAACAAAATATAAAGTAATTTAATTCAGAAGTCTCCGCACGTCTGTCATCATTCGAAGAATCAGAAGATGATTGTGATCTTCGTGCAACATCAAAACTCGAAACCTACACAATTTCTTATATGGAACGAGAAGTCCTCAACCTAACCCCATGGACTGAATTAAATCGAAGTGCGCAAATTTTACCCACCGACCGAAAAATGACACAGACTTTGCCGACTCACGGTGTGCTACTGGACAAAAGCGCAGAAGCCGTAGGATACGATACGGAAGACCAGGAAACCTATTGCGAAGTAAAGTACGATCATTCTGGCGCAGAGTTTGAACAAAGTGCATATACGAGAGTTATGAAGATATTGTCACTTATGGTCAATTATAAAAATGTAAGAAAAAATTATTATTTTGGAACAATGGCGTGTTTTACATCCTTTAATATTAAAAAAGTGTACTCTATACGATTTTTTACTATAAATCTACGTCTTTTGCTTCTGTTTTCAGTGATTTACCGAACTCCGTGTCAAAATTTGAGTAAAACAATAACTTTCATTTTGATATTACGGATGTTTTTATTAATTTTAAATCAACAATAAGATATTGATCAGCTCTAATGCATTAGATAAATCAATGTAAGTCTTCTACTTTTAATTTCGTTTTTACAGAAGTTTGACCACGAAAAAAAGATGTCATGGATAATATCGAACCATAACTGGGTTATTCTTGAATTTCTGTGCAATATTTCCTTTTATAATTTGCATATTGGTGTGTAGCATGTTTTAAAAGTAACAAGAATTCTTTTAAAATCAAAAAGTATCGAATTTGATCCGACGTTATCCATGATACAAATTGATGGATAATATAATTTAAAGCTGGTTTCTTTTTAAGTTTAAACTACTTTGCTTATTACTAAAGCTTCACAGATGTTAATACGCAATTTTTAAATTCAAATAACAAGATCTAAGTTCCAAAACAACGTAGTTGTGACCCGATATTATCCATGACATCAACATTTTCGATGCCAACGAACTTTAGCTGTCAAAACTTCCATAAGCCTAAAAATCGAACAAAGCGAAAAGTAAAAGACTTACTTTGAATAAATTGACGTATCAGAGTTTGATCAATATGTCCTTTTTGATCCGAATTGACCAAAAACATTTATATTATCAATGTTAAAGCGAGCTTATATCCAAATCTTGTGAAAAGCCCGGTATAGCCTTGAAACATCAATCAGAAGAAGTAGAATAACACTAGAAATATAGTAAATTGAGTTAGAGAGGCAAAAAAAGTACAAATGAACATTTTAAAAGCAAAAATATTATCCTTTTACGTCAAAAGAGAAAATTTTTTCCAACGGAATCGAATCCGGCCGAAAAATCAGTAAAATACAGGGCGCGAGCTGTTTTATGGCAAAAACTAAATTATTGTAGATGATCCAATGGTTCGCAGTTGACAGTCCAGAAGGAACTGAAGTGATCAAGATAACGGCTCATTCTCAAAATGTCAAAATGATTGTGGATTCTACTTATTTGAAGGATAAGGTAAGTTCTTCGAATTATTAGTTTATTCGTTTTTTAAAAATTTTTATTATACAATTTGAGATTTAAAATTATAAAACAGAAGTAATTTATGTATCCCGTATGAAAATACTCGTATTATTGTGTTATAGTAGCTAAAAGTATGATAACACATCAAAATTTTCAAAAAAATTTTTTTTGAAAATTTTTAAAATTAAAGAATTTAAATTTTAAAAATATTGTCCATAGTATCCTATACTTATATATGCTTCAAAAGTGCTTTTTTAGTCTTAGAACTATTACAAATGCCCTTAGGACTTAAAAACCAGGCATTGTTCAAGGCTTGCCGGCTCATTTTGTTTTTGGCACCAATGTAGTAGTTGTTGTTGACTATATAGGGTTTGTAGTTCTTGCGCTCTTTCTGGCTCATTTTGAACCATTTTCCATCTGCCACATCTGACCATTTGAAAGATTTGCAACGAAGGGCTTTTGAGGTGCATTTGGCGTTCAGAATGTCCTAAAATCGGAATTTTATGATAAATTAGGCTTATAATAAGGTTATGACTTAGGTTTAGTAAACTGAGGCTTAAGAAGCTTAAACTAGAAGTTTTAGGCTTATAATAAGGTTATGGCGTAGGCTTATTAAGCTTAGGCTTAAAAAGTTTAGGCTATTAGCTTTAGGCTTACAAAAGGGTTATGGCTTAGGCTTATTAGGCTGAGGCTTACGAAGCTTAGGCTAGTAAATTTAGGCTTATAATGAGGTTATGGCTTAGGCTTAGTAGGCTGAGACGTACGTTGCTTAGGCTAGTTGCCTTAGGCTTATAACAAAGCAATGGCTTAGTCTAGTAGGTTTAGACATATGAGGCCTGCAATTTGGTAACAAACCTAACTTTCCTACATTCTATATTAACTTTTATTTATGAGGTAACGTTCCCCCGAAGAAACATTGAGTTATAATGCTGTACTCGCAGTAATTTGTGGGTCGTTTTACATCGAGGCAAATATTGTATAACACTAAAAAGTTACATAAGAAAACGTTGCGCAATACGATTTATTGCAATTTCTCTAAGGCTATCTTAATATATACATAATATTATATATTAGGTAACAATATGTTAGATAACATTACAGATATTTTTTCTTTTTACCGAGGGTACGGCATTTGAACTCTGTAGCGGGGAACACATAGGTTTTTTAATGGTATTATTAGGGTTATTGGCTTAGGCTTAGGCTGAAGCTTAGGTTTAGGTTTAAATTTTGGCTTCGGCTTAGGCTGGGCTTAGGCTGGGCTTAGGCTGGGCTTAGGCTGGGCTTAGGCTGGGCTTAGGCTGGGCTTAGGCTGGGCTTAGGCTGGGCTTAGGCTGGGCTTAGGCTGGGCTTAGGCTGGGCTTAGGCTGGGCTTAGACTGGGCTTAGACTGGGCTTAGGCTGGGCTTAGGCTGGGCTTAGGCTGGGCTTAGGCTGGGCTTAGGCTGGGCTTAGGCTGGGCTTAGGCTGGGCTTAGGCTGGGCTTAGGCTGGGCTTAGGCTGGGCTTAGGCTGGGCTTAGGCTGAGCTTAGGCTGGGCTTAGGCTGGGCTTAGGCTGGGCTTAGACTACGCTTAGGCTTCGACTTATGCTTAGGCTATGGCTAGGCTTTGCTAGGTTAGCTCAGGCTTAATTCAAGCTTAGCTTCAGGTTTTGTTTTGGATTCAGGATTACTATGTGAGTACTGAGTAGACCTAGGCTCAGACAAAAGCAGGTCTACTTCTTTATATATAGCTCTTAAACTAGCAATACATTACTTTAAGAGTACATACCTGATCCATTAATTTCTTCTGGCTCTTCAGATTTTTCAAAATTTCTTTAAAAACTTTTTTGGTTTCATAAGTCGGCCTAACACACATTGGATCGAAAGCATATTTTTGTCCATTCGTCTCTTTGAAATTTACTGGAATTGTGAGATCAGTTTCGGTTTCGTTGAAGGCTTCGTGGAACAATTTTAACGGGTTTTTCCACCAAACCGCATCTGCTTCAAATATCACTAGGTTTAGGTCGGCCTGAAAGGATTTGAAAGTTTGGCTTAGTTTCTTCAGGTTTAGTAGTTTTAGAATTAATGGGATTATGCTGCTTAGTAGGCTTAGGCTTTGTAGGCTTAGGCTTAGTAGGCTTAGGCTTAGTAGGCTTAGGCTTAGTAGGCTTAGGCTTAGTAGTCGTAGCTTTAGTAGGCTTAGGCTTAGTAGGCTTGGGCTTAGTAGGCTTAGGCATAGTCGGCTTAGGCTTAGTAGACTTAGGCTTAGTTGGCTTAGGCTTAAATCTGTAAATTAACTTACCTCAATTAACCTAAGCATCAACTTAAGCCTAGCTTCCAAAAACTTGGCGTAACCATTAGTACCCCAATCCATTGCAGCGCCATAAGCAGTATCTGCCTTCATCTCCAAACACTCCACTTTAGGCCAATCTTTTTGTATTTTTTGGCATGTCTCGTTTCCTACTGTAACAAAAATGATCTTTTCGTGAATTTTAGCCCCAGGCAAAGAATGAGTGTTACATAGCCAGTTCAGCGTTAAGTTGAGATAGGCATCGTTGATCATTGTGAATAGGACTAGGTCGTGAGCTTGGTTTATGTCTTTAGACTTCTTTATTAGCTTCTGAAATGAAGTCGTTAGGTATGTAGCTTAACCCTACCCCTACTAATACCCTTACCTTCTAATTCTACCCCTACTTTTGTCCCCCTCCCCCTACCTTTATCTCTAGTTTTACCCCTACCTCCACCTTACCTTCACAAACTCCTCATTGACTTTTAGATCCTCTACCGGCTTAGAATCTAGCTTTTTAATAGGCGGATCCCCCTTGTCTAATGTCATAGGGTTCAAAAGTACCACTCCTCCAATTACTTTGCCATCTTCGAAGATATTGTCTCTCATTACTAATGGTCCATCGATCGGCTTTTTCTTGTCAAACCCCCAATCCGGGGGTGGTTGAGGATTGGTACCCAAATTGTGAAAGTAAAATACGAATGCCATTAAGAAGTACAAGCCTACCGCCGGCAGTACTACTTTACGGCATATTGTGAAGGTAAATGGGTACATTTTGGATAGAAATTTGAAAAAATGGTAGATAAAGGTGGCTGCGATTTAGTATATTGTAGTAGGTTAGAGGGGTCAGGTTTACATACTGAAAAAAAATTTTTGAACTTAAGAATGGTTTTAAATTTTAAAAAATTTAATAAAATATTATTTGCGAGAAGAAAAAAAATACCCTACAACTCTACCCTATCCTACCCTACCCTACCTTACCCTACCCTGCCTTACCCTACCCTACCCTACCCTACCCTACCCTACCCTACTCTACCCTACTTTACCTTATATTACACTATCATACCCTGCACTACTCTATCATACCCTACCCAACCCTAGACATGGGAAATGTGCCGGGCCCAATTTTGAAGCCCGGCCAGGTCTAGTTTTTGCTCAATGCCGGCACGGGCCGAATTTTTTTTATGGAAACGGGCCGGGTTTTGATTTTAAAGTTCGGCCTGACCTAAATGTGGGGCAAGACTGGCTCGTTCCTCATGTCTACCCTACCTTGTTCTACTCCACCTTGCCCTACTCCACCATCCCTACCTTACTTTACACTACTCTTCCCTAGTCTACTCTACTCTACCCATTACTTCTCAACGTTTCTTTACTCTAGCTTGCTTTACCTTACCCGAAACTACTCTGCTTTTCTTTATCTTATTCTGGCATAAATTGACAAAAAAAATCTCCCCTCCCCCATTATTTTTTAAATTACTTTTTTTAATTATAAGCCACCCCTAATAATTAATCTTACTTCGAGTCAAACCCTAACCACAAGAAAAAACACCCCAAACCGAAAGGTTATTTCGAATAATTTGATTTTGCTTTTTTGAAAAAATACAAAAAAATTGCGCAACCCAGATTCCATCGAAAAAAACGTTTAAAAATTTGCGATGTTAGGTTATAGTAAAGAGAAGGGGGTCTTTTCCCTGTCTATTTATTTTTGCTTCTTGATTCGAACGAAATTCGAAAAAGAAACAAAGACTACAGATTCTCAGTCAAGATTAGGGGGTTCTGGAGTCAGCATTGTTGTCGTTTCGAAAGGATTATGAACAATATATAATGTATATAGAGTGTGGTATTGTGTTATCAAGGTTATGACATGTCAACAAATGAGATGAAAGGGGGTTGAAGAAAGTTTAAAAGGAATATCAACAAGACATAAAAAGACAGTCTTTTTGAAAAAAATTTTGAAAAATTAAAAAAAAAGTGAAAACATTTTAATAATTTTAAAAATTTAGAAAAAAAGTTTAAAAAAATTAAAATTTTAGGACTACTACTTAGTACTATTGAAAACTTTTGATGATGATTACATTACAGAAGTATGGCCAATCAACAACTTACTGGTAAGACTTGTTTGAGCAGCAAAAGGGCAAGATGAGAAAAGCCTGAGAGTTGGTACGGCAGGGTAGACTAGACTAAAAGAAACTAAAAAAAAGTTAGAGCAAGGCAGGGCGAACAAGATAAGTAATGGAAGGCAGGGTACTTTGGTAGAGGTAGAACAGAGTAAGTTAAAATAAGATAGGGCACGGTAAGAAAAAGCAGGGTGTTTTGGGTGGGGTTAGGGTATGGTAGAGCAAGACAAGGCATAGCAAGAAGGGTAGGTTATGGTAGGGTAAGGTAAGACAGTATAGGTCAAAACACGATAGAGTAGGGCATGATAGGGTAGGGTAGGGTAGGGTATGGTAAGGTAGGATAGAGTAAAAAAACAAATTTAAAAATTTCAGCACCCCCAAAAGATAACGATAAGAGACAAAAGATTCAAGGACCTGAACATGAAGATTTGCGTTGACTTAAGACATTTTGCTGTTTGGTGCGAAACGGCATTCTTACTGTTTGACATGAATAGTACTAGGCTTATGGGACAGTATGAACTACCGTTTTACTGTACAGCGTTTTGTTTTGCTCCAAGAAATGAGGCTTACTTGGCTTCTGACGAAGGTCATTTTTATAATTTAAAACTCAAGTCTGGCGAAATGAAATTGTGAGTTTAAAAATGGCATTTAAAATAAAAGATCGACCAGAGGTTTAAAACAGGGTCCGCGAGAGAATCAAACATTGGTCAGACAGGGGCGAGCCAGTAAAAAAAAAGTTTTTTTTAAAAATCTAATTTTGCTATCACAGGTAGCCCTAGGGTAGAGTATTGCAAAAACAAAAAAAAATTTTTTCATTTTGGGTTACTGTAGGTGTACTGTAACTTTTAAAAATTTTGGTAACTTTTGAACTAGTTGACAGAATTTTTCCGGACTTTTTTTAAATGGTAGAGCACATAAAAGCAAGAAATAATGATGTTGACAATTTTTTCAAAAATGCCCGGAAGGCATAGAAAAAAAATTAAAAACTTCAAAATTTCATGAAAAATTTTAAAAAGTTGCATTTTTCTCGAAAAAATGTCGTTGTGTGACCGACTTTTGAAACCAGATAACGATAGCAGACGTGTTTGCCGTTCGAACGGTACTAATTTCAAAGTATAAAAATGGGGCAAACATAGGGATTTAGGCGTCTAAATATGGTATACTGTAGTCCGCTTAAACTTGATGTCAATATAACTTCTCGGAAAATACTCAGATTTTGATAAAAACTTTTGATAGTAATCTTTAGTCATGTTAGAAATCGTAAAAAACTATTTGAACGTATTTTACATTAATTTTTTTGCTTACTGTTGGAGTACTGTAACTTTTACCTGTTTCTGTGTAACTTTTGAACTACTTGACAGAATTTTATCAAACTTTTTCTAAATTGTAGGGCACGTTAGAGTACTCAAATGTGTTGTTGATAAAGTTTTTATAAAATGCCCGGAGGGCTCAAAAAAATTTAAATTTTAAAAATTTTTTTAAATTTATTTTTTTTTTTGGAAAAGAAAGCAATTGTGTCCCGAAGTAAACTCTTTCTGTCTAAAAACGTGCCATATAGCATGGATGTACGCACATTTCTTTTTTTATTTGAAAACGTACTTGTTTTCATTATTTTATGATGAAGGTTCAATTACTTTGTTTCTACTGGTATTTTATATGGTTGCATTCGTTTTGCGTTTCTCAAGAATGTTACTTTGCACAACAGCGTTTGAATAAGAAAGAAAATGAACGGCTTTCTCAATTCAAAGTGTCCGGAGGCGATTCATGCAGTGAAATCATGATATCGTAAGTTAGTTTTTTAGATATATTGTAATTTTAGGTTTGATGAATTAATGAAGAGAAGAGCAAACAATGTTGACAATGAGGCTGATCTGATATTGTGTAGAGGAGAAGGCCGATGTGACTTAGATTTTAATGACGAAAAACTAAAAGAAGAACTTTCAAACATGCACATTTGTGACACTCACCGTCAAGAGCTAAGTACAAATTGGGAAAACATAAAGTACAACCACATACTGAGAATGAGACAACACGGGTCGCGAGTTTCATCGTGTTCTTTTCCTAAAGAATTGCAAGAAAACTACAAGGCGCATGCTTCACGAAGATATTGGCTCAGCAAGCAAGAAGCAAATGCATTTTTGAAAGAAGAAGGCGTCCTCATGCACATTGGCATCCGTAAGTTACATATAAAAATACAAATTTTACTTTAGCTTTGTGCCACGCTCACAAACAACAAGTAATGTCTGTCCATTGCCAAAAAATTTGAACAAGCCCTTGAAGGAACATGCTCAGACAGTGCTAGTGATTACGAAGAAGACCGCAACTGCGTAAGTAATTGAAAAGTATAAAAACGTTTTTTAGAAAGTAGAAACTGGACAAGAAGAATTTGTGTGTAGAAGCCTCAGAAGTTTTGCTGCTAGTGTTGGTATAGAACATGCGATAGCTACAAAAGAATACAAATATATGGACAAATCTACGCAAAGAAGAAAAGTTTTTCATGCCCGAAAGCTTTTTAACGTGATGTCAAACTGTATGGTGGGACAAGAAGGGGCGTCAGAATTTAGAAAAAGAGTCATCGATAAAACTACAAAACCAGTCAACGTGAACTTTGATTTTGATAGAATCACTGCAGAAGTTGCGAAATTGTATTACAATGCTGACAACAGGCAAGAGCGACTTCAGACGTTGAGCATTATTTCAACGGTTATGCCATACAGTAGTGTTGTCAATGTAATTCCCGGAATTACGAGATATGCGTTTTACACATCACGGTTGTTATCAATCCAAAGAACAGAAGACTTAGAAGTTAATCATCAGAAGATATACAGACAACGATTGACAAAACGACAACTCAACGAGTTCGTCAGCTTTATAACAAGGTAAAATTTTAAGATAGATATGCCATTGTCTATAAAATGATAATATTTTTATACAGACATACATTTGTTTAATTTTAGTAGCCATGTACAAGTTGGTCTACCCTACGGCACAAGGAAGGCCACATTAGCCGGCGAGTCAATCGAAATCCCAAATGTTCTACGTCTTCATCGCAACGCTGTTATTTTTTCGATGTATACTAATTACTTGGAGGAAAATGACATGTCTGAACTAAAAATTAGCAAAACCACTGCGTTTAAAATTTTGAATGTATGTTCTGCTTCAAAGCGACGTTCTTTGGTATGTGTGGACAGCTACTTAGTGGACCTTATATACGTAAGTATAATAAGAAAAACACTGAACTGATTATTACAGGCTTACGATGAATTGATTGACATGTTACATCAAGACAGCTCATTTGACGCCACTACAAAGAAAGAATTGGAAAATCAACTACGAGCAGGAAAGTTGTATTTGCGCACTGACTTCAAGCTGCATTTGAAAGAGGTATCTCGTATCTCTGACCATTGCGTTTCTTTTGCTTTGAGCGATCCAAAAGACAACCGTTATTCTGTTGATGATTCTTCTCACAAACACGATTTTTATTGCCCAAGATGTGAGCAAGTTAAAACTACAGTTGAATTAGTAGTACAAAATGTCAAAAAGCATATAACGGACAATTCTACATTACCGTTCTTGAAGAAAAACAAGCCAAGTTAGAAGAAGCCGTCAACTCCATACAAGAGTTTAAGAATCACCACTTAAGAGCCAGACATTCAGAAACTGTAAGAATAAAGTTAATCGACGAGATGGACGACCAGACAGCTTTTCTCACTCTTGACTTTAGTCAGAAAATCTTGCCAACAAGTCACTACGAAAGCCAGACGGATTACTTTGGAAAAAGAGGATTTAGTTGCCATGTTACTCATGTTCTCAAAAAGACACAAGGAGAAGTTCAACAGCATAGTTTCGTGCATTTATTTGGCACGGAAACTCAAGATTCTGTTACGGTACTAGCTCTCCTTCAAAACGTTTTTGTGACGTTAAGCAAGCATGGTGTGAAAAAGATTATTGTGAGAAGCGATAACGCAGGTAAGTGCCTATTTTAAAAACCTTTATTTATAAAAAATATATTCGAATTATTATAGGGTGTTATCGGTCAGCGTACACTATAATCGGAATAACTAAAATTGCTGAACAAAGCGGATTGAGTGTACTGCATTACACATTCTCAGAAAGTCAAGCGGGTAAAAGTTCAGCTGATAGAATTACTTCTGTTGTTAAAAGAAGACTCAAAAACTACGTAGATGACATGGGAAATGCTAGAACGCCAGAAGAAGTATTTGCAGCAATGACTTCGGTAAGGTCTACAGGCATATCAGTTCACCTGAGTAATCTCATCCGGAATGGAAAAGAACAAAATCTAAAAATTCCAGAAATAAGTTTTTTGAGTCATTTTGAATATACTGATGACTCGCGCTTAATAATGTATAAACATTACAAAATAGGCAATGGAGGAATTTTTACGTGGAAAAAAGAAGAAATCGAAGTAAAGGGGCGATTAGAAGTAAAAGCCGAGGATATTTCATCAACAGATTTTTGGTACAGCAACGAAGATAAATTATTGGATGACAATATTTTTGTAGACAGTAAAAGCAAAATGGATATAGATGATGACAACCTTGACCTAATAAATGGCCGCAGTTACTATCCATGCCCAGAAGAAACATGCAACTCTATCTTCCAAAAATATTGAAATCTTAAGCGCCATGTACTAGTTGGCAAACATAAAACTACTCCGCTTCAGCTATCTACGGAAGACACGGTACTGGGAATGTACAAACAACGGTTAGAAGACATGGATATAAACAAAATTTTACCTAGTGTAAGAGATAGCGTTTTGGTAACAAATTCGGAATATTCATCAATGGCAAAAGGATGGGCTTTGAAGAAAAGGAAAAGCAACAAAAGGTTTACCGAAAACGCTAAAAAAACTTTGGGTATAATGTTTTCGGATGGAGTTGCCAACAAAAAAAATGGGATCCTAAAGAAGCAGAAAAAGAAATGTTGAAAAGGTATCATGAAGGTCACCTTGTACATGAAGATTTGCTTTCTTGGCGACAAATTGGCTATTATTTCTCAAAGCTAGCTAATATACAAAGACAAACATCAGTAAGAAGAAAGAGACAGCATAATCGCGACTTCACTCCTTATTTACGAAACATCGCCGACGATGTAACAGAAGAGGAAATGCAAATGGAAATCAAAACTGAACCAATTTTTCTTCATGAATTTGATGAAGTTTTAAATGATATTTATGAAGACGATGATCTAGTGTCTTTGATAAGTAATAATTAATTATTTTTCCAAATTTTTAAACACTACTATGTCAAATTATACTATTATTGTTACCTTGCTTCAATAAGTCGACCATATTTTCTTTCTTTTTGAAAAACAAAAATAAATTTTAAAAAATTTTTTTAATTTAAATTTTTTTGAGCCCTCCGGGCATTTTATAAAAACCTTATCAACAACACATTTGCGTACTCTAACGTGCCCTACAATTTAGAAAAAGTTTGATAAAATTCTGTCAAGTAGTTCAAAAGTTACACAGAAACAGGTAAAAGTTACAGTACTCCAACAGTAAGCAAAAAAATTAATGTAAAATACGTTCAAATAGTTTTTTACGATTTCTAACATGACTAAAGATTACTATCAAAAGTTTTTATCAAAATCTGAGTATTTTCCGAGAAGTTATATTGACATCAAGTTTAAGCGGACTACAGTATACCATATTTAGACGCCTAAATCCCTATGTTTGCCCCATTTTTATACTTTGAAATTAGTACCGTTCGAACGGCAAACACGTCTGCTATCGTTATCTGGTTTCAAAAGTCGGTCACACAACGACATTTTTTCGAGAAAAATGCAACTTTTTAAAATTTTTCATGAAATTTTGAAGTTTTTAATTTTTTTCTATGCCTTCCGGGCATTTTTGAAAAAATTGTCAACATCATTATTTCTTGCTTTTATGTGCTCTACCATTTAAAAAAAGTCCGGAAAAATTCTGTCAACTAGTTCAAAAGTTACCAAAATTTTTAAAAGTTACAGTACACCTACAGTAACCCAAAATGAAAAATTTTTTTTTCGTTTTTGCAATACTCTACCTTAGGGCTACCTGTGGTAGCAAAATTAGATTTTTAAAAAAAACTTTTTTTACTGGCTCGCTCATGTTTGATTCTCTCGCGGACTTTGTTTTCAATCGAAAAAAAATTAAAATTTTTAGGAATTTTAGTTTAAAACTTTCAGAGTTAACATAACATCACCATTTTGCAATATACCACCATCGTTTCTCATATTCTATAGTCAAACTATCAATGCCGTTTTGGGTAACATGGTAATGAAAATGAACATGTTTTCACCGTCGACAGCTGCCAAGTACTACTTTTTTGACAAAAAACGAGATGTAAGTAGTTTGCTCTACCCCGCCCCATACCCTGCCGCACAATACTGTTCTGCCTTGCCTTGCCTTGCCTTGCCTTTCCATGCCCAGCCCTGTTCTGCCTTGTCCTGCCCTGCCCTGCTCTGCCCTGTCCTGGCTCTATTCGCCCTGTTTTGCTTTGTTTTGCTCTATTCTACCTTATTATACCCTGCCTTGCCCCACTCTGTTATGCCCCACCTTACTCTACCCCTTCCCTACCCTATTACTCTATTCTACCTACTCTACATCCTATCTCCTCCTACGCTACAATAGCTTAAATTTTATGAAAAAATAGTTTTCTAAAAACCTTCAGACCGCTGACGCAGAGTTCATCCCAATGGAACCTCGAATGTTTGCCATTTTATTAAAAAAAGAGCAAATTTTGTTCTTATTCGATGTGGACAAAACAATCGGCCCCATGTACCGATGGGATTTCACCGATTCAGAATTTGTCGTATCTGCTTGTTGGACCAAGAACACCTTGTTTACTTTAACACGTTTGGGAGTCGTATCTCGTTGGAAGTTGCTGGCAAACGGTCGAAAATTACGGGAAAAACACATTGATCTGAAGAAAGAGGGGTGTCGACAGCTGATTACTATTGATTATGATGTAGGTTTAATTTATTTAATGATGAGTTTCTTTGTTTTGCTCTTATTTAAAATTCCAATACTTTTTTGACACTTCGTCTCAATTTCCAATAAGTTTGTGGCAGTTCGTCAAAAATGCAAAATGTGCCATAAATTGTGAAGTAGACTTAAACTTAATACAATATATTTAAATTAAAATTGTAATTTTTAGAAATTTTTGATTGTCAGTGAACAAGACGCTTCTGCAATCAAATGGAACAGCTGAGAGCTATTACAATAACGTTTTTTCAAAAAAATCATTAGCAGTATTGCATTTTACAAAATTTAGAGTAAAATACGATCTTATGTGGTATTTGGTGAATTTACAGAAAGTTATAGTAGAGCAAATTTAAAAACCAATTAATTTTTGACACTTCGTCCTTATTTCCAATAATTTTTGTGACATTTCGTCAAATGTAATAAAAATCTGCAAAACCTATAAAAAACAAAACAGAGAGACTGAATTCTGTTTAATTTTTTACAAATTTTGTCTAGGCGGGGTAAAGAAGTTTTTAGAAGCCTTGTCTGGACGGGGTAAACAAAAATTTTTTTTAACATTCACTAGCCTTCTTTATTTCAATTTTCCTAACGTTTCAATTGAAAAACTTGTTGTAAACAGCCTTCATCTGCTTTGGAATGAACTGCATTCCACCACTCAGCACCACGACCGCATCCTTCATCGACGGCCGATCGTACGGCTTTTCTGCCCAACATTCCTTCATTAGCTCTTGTACATGTGGTGGTAGGTCGGTGGGTACGTCCATTCGTTGCTTTAGCTCCATCAACATTTTCCTCACATCGGCGTTGGATTTGTCTGGGTATGGGTCTTTTTGGCATCTCGTATACACTTCCCACATTACTATGCCAAAGGCCCAGACGTCGGTGGCTTTGGAGAAGGTATAGGACCGTAACACTTCTGGGGCTAGCCATTTTACTGCCATTTTTTGTTTCCTGGAATAAAAATTTTGGTAGGACAGGGTAGTGTAAGATAGGGTGAATTAGCGTAAAGTAGGATAAGGTAGGGTAGGGTTACAGTATGATAGAGTGGGGTAGGGTATAGGTTGGTAGCGTAAGGTGTGGTAGATTAGTGTAGGCCACATTATGGTAGAATATTTTATGGTAGTGTAGGTCACGGTATGCTACAGTACGGTAAGGCATACTAAAATACAACTCACTTTTGTTCCTTAATTTCATTTTTCTTCACCGACAACCCGAAGTCCGAGACTTTGGCGCAAAAGTCGGCTGTCAATAAGCAATTTCTAGCTGCCAAGTCACGATGAATAATCTCCAGTCCATGAAGATACTCCATTCCTTTCGCTATGTCAACAACGTACCTAAAAATCATTTTAAAAAACGGCCAAACTGTAATTACCAAAATTGATAATTTTGTGACATTTCGTCTATATTTCCAATAAATTTGTGGCATTTCGTCAAACTTTTAAAAACTGTTTTGAAGATTAAAATCATATCGAAAAGAGTAAAATTCATACTTATTCAATACCAAAAACGGCTCCTCCTTCTGGCTATTCTTCAGATGACCTTTTAAATCGCCTCCGGGACAAAACTCGATAACCACCATAAACGGTTCTTCGGTTGGTGCAATTCCCAGCAGCCCCACCACATTTGGATGCCTGAGTTTTCGTTGAATCGCGGCTTCTTTCATCAACTCGGTGCGCTCTCTTTTTCCCATCTTGCCCTTGAGCATTTTCACCGCCACTTCCGATACTTTGTCGTCCATGTGAAGTTCGCCGAGGTAGACCTCACCGTAATGTCCATTACCCAACTTCTTTTTGGTCTTGATTTGTTCGTGCAGTAGGTACCACTCTGGTCGTGGGGCTGGAGTCAAGAGCTTGGTGCCTTCTGATTGGATCTCTCCTTTTGCTGCCTAAAATAAGAATTGTTACCTAAAATTTTAAAAATTGATAAAATTTATTTTTAGTTTTTAAACCACATTTAAAATTTAAAAAATTTTTAATGAAACGAAAAATCCTATATTTTTGTGACATTTCGTCTTAAAATCCAATAACTTTGTGACACTTCGTCACCTTTTCCAATAAATTTGTGACATTTCGTTAACGTGTATAAAATCATTTTAAAACTACTTACCACATAAAAACTGATCAATTTCTCTACAGTTTCGAACCCACAATCGCTTAAAAATGCCCATTTGTTTTCCTTGTTCAACTTGATCACAATATGTCGTACTCGATTCTTCCATCGTACTGACAATGTCAATCGTTCGTTTTGAGCCTCTTTTTTGCCAACTTCTGTTTTTCGAACCAAAAATTCACCGTCATGAGTTAGAATGTGTTCAATTTCGTCTCGAGGCATTAGACCGTGGTACCAGGACTTTTGTTGTAGAGCTTTCAATTCGTTGCTTATCATCGTTTGGTAGGAGTTATTCTTGGCCTTTTTCTCATCTTCATCTTGAGATTGCTCAAAGATTTGAGGTTCTTCTTCAATCGATTTGCCTGAGACTGAAAGTAGTAATGTTGTCATACATACTTCTTAAGATAAATTAAGTTCGGCCGCTTTGAAACATACTTTTCTCCGCAGTGAACGGCCGGACCTTATAGAATCTTGATCTTATAATATTCGACCGTTCACTTACCATTCCTTACCTTTCGATTATAAAATCTTACCTTTCCTCTTATTGGCCGGAGTTCTCTCTTTACTTTTGGACCGTTTGGCCGACTTTGCCTTCTTTTTCTGCTTATCTTTGCTTTTGCCCTTTTCATTAATCCCTATTTTTTCCTTTGATCCAGGCATTTTCTCATTGCTTCCGGTACCTTCATTACTACCTTTGCCATCTTTGGACTTGTTGACTTCGCCTTGCGACATTTCTCGCAAACTGTCACCGCTTTCCGTCTTCGTTTGGTCTTTCATCTTGTCTGAAACTTTTAATTTACAATATTTAAGCTAAATTTTCTAAATATTAACATATGTTTTCCCTAGCGATTTGTTATATAAAGGTTTTACTGTATATGATTAACGTTGCCTTCTGATTGAACAACGAACTTACTTCAGATTGATGTAGAACAAGGTAAAATAAAAGTGCGCGAACAGAAATCCGGTATAGCAAAACACGACCGACCTAATATCAAGTGGAAAGTTTTGTAAAATGAAAAAAATAGTTTATGATAATTTCGACTGTTTACGTTTCATCGTATAAGCGGGTTTTGGGCGCGGCCGTTCTTTTTTTGATATTGTTTTTGATCCTCGAGTTTATTCTTCTGAAATTGTGATGCCTTTTCTTCTTGTTTTTTGAGTTTTATGTTTGAATTGAATAAAGGATTGAATTTTACCTCTTGATAATTTATTTTTTGAGCTTAGGTCTTGATTTGTTATTTTTGCGGAATCATTTTATGACCTATCTTGGTTTTAAGGCTTTAACCGATCTAAAACAAGGTTATAAGTGTGATATTGCGTCTTTATAATCTATAAAACATCGTTATTGATGTAAAATATTGTGTTTAAGGTTTTAGGAAGAAAAAGGCTGTGTAAACATGATGAACAATCGATTTTTGGTCTTGAAGAAGATGTTCACCTTCGGGAAAACCTCGAAAAGCTGACAGGAGACCAATAGTGCTGTAAAATAAAGCTTTAGTTTAAGAAATAGCAACATTATAAAAGCAAGTTTGTTTTTTGATTGGATTTTTCTGTTTTTAGGCTGTGCTTTGAGCAAAATATGAGTTTTCTGGCAGCAAAGGTTTTGGATAATATAAGTTATGATGAACTTCGGAAATTCTGTAGAAAGTTCAGTCTGATGTTTTGGTAACAGTTGAAGAGAATGTTTAGCGAACTTTTGATTAAATTTTAGAATGTCAATAGAATTAGTTAACAGCATAATTTTTATGATTTACCCCATATTATCCTTGATCTGGTGATTTTTAAAAACTGCACTTGGCCATAAACTTTTATAAATATTGCAAATTGTCATATAAATAACGTATTATAATAAATTTATTTGAACCCGCATAAGCGTACTGTAACGTACATAATCGAACCGAAATATTATGATGCACTGTATTGAGTATGAAGACCGTAAACTGAGATTTGTTGATTGAGGAATGTTATAAATGTTTATAATGTTGTATTTGACAAATTTGGTTCTAGGGTTAACTTAAAGTTTGATATTATAGACAATAACACCGGGGAAATTAATAAAGATAAATTGGACGAAATGTCAAAAGTCAATGCTGACATTTCGTATTTCGTAATAATAAGTAGGAACAAAGGCCATTTTGGCAAATGTAAAAATAAATATTTTAGTCCCGTTCTTCAGCTATATTCACCATAACACTGGGCGTGTTATTGTTATAGGAGATTGTTTTGATGTGATTCACATCACCATTGCTGTTCATGTTGATGGCAGTGTCTTTTTGTTGTTGTATTTGTAGCTCGCTCTTCTTTAGCGCTTCGATTTCTTCAATTTCACTCAAATTTTGAGCGTACAACGCGGCCAAACGGCATTCTTGGCGGTAGAAATGTTTAAAGTTGGCTACCTTAAAAGGAAAAAATAATTTTTTCAATTTTGAAGATTTTTTAGTTTTTAAAATTTTTTTCTATTTTAAAAAATATATACAGTAAAAAACTTACAATAATAGGTACAGGCAAGGCCAATGTAAGTACACCAATCAAAGCGCAGCACGATCCAACAATTTTGCCGTATGGACTTGTAGGTACAAGATCACCAAAGCCTACCGTGGTAATTGTGGCCTGAAAATAAGTATTTTAATCTTTGTTTTTTTATTTTTTAGGTGGAGTGGATTTAGAACCGGAAGATTTGAAAAAAGGCAATTAAACGTAATGTCAAAAATTAATATTGGCATTTGAGATCAAAGGGCGAAAACCGATGTTGGCATTGAGGTAACGTCTATTTTAAATGTAAGCAGAGTAGAATAATGATCAAAACCCACCATAACAAACCAAAACGAAGCCGGAATCGACGTAAACTTCGAATTTGGCTCATTTTGTTCGGCAAAGTACATTCCGGACGAAAATAGCACCAGCGCAATGACCATGAAGAAGATGAGTAAACAAAATTCCTGCACTGAAGCGCGGAACGTTTTGCCCAAAACCTGTAGACCCACGGAATGACGGCTCAATTTGAAGATACGGAACACTCGTACCAATCGAATTACTCGCAGCACGGAGAAGGAAATTGACGATTTGGTAGCCTCGTGGTTCTCCTCATCTCCCGCCCTAAAACAACATTGTTTTGCGGGGATTTGGAAGAAATAATGGTATTTTTAGTTGATGTTTTGTTGGTTTTGCAACAATTCAAAAAGAATTTTGATTTTTTTAAATTTTAACAACGTTCCGACTTTAAACCAAAAAATCGATAATGTGAACAAACTTACCATATCAGATTGAAGAAAAACGGCACGACGGCAATAAAATCCAGTAAATTCAAGAACGATTTACAGAATTTAGGCTTATTTGGACAACTAATAAACCTAACAATCAGTTCGGCCGAAAACCATAAACAACACACAAATTCGATGAAAAAGAACGGCGAAGACCATTGTCGACCGGCCGCTTCGGCTTCCTTGAAGTCCGGAATTGTCTCCAAACAGAACGAAATAATCGACACCGTAATGACGAACATTGACACAAATGCCAATATACGAGCTGCTATCGACGAGTCCGGGTGTTCCATAAGTTCCCAGATTTTGCGTTGAAGTTTGCCGTTGGGCATCTCCTCTTCGGCCGGCTTTTGATAGCCTTCGGATTCCCAAAAGTTGGCCATAACATCGTTGTCGAATTCGTAGAATTTAAGTTCACGTAGAAATAGGTTGATTGGTACGGCTTCTGGTCGGATTACTTGGCCGTTGGTTTGGTATATGTGCAAAATGGCTTCGAAACTGAAGATTAGTCACTACTTTAGAATTGATTTTTGGTTTAATCAAGGGTAGGGAGAAGTTTGCCTTTCCATACCCTATCTTATTCAACTATAAAGGTTAAAATAGGTATTGCGCTAATAGTACCGTAATACAATCAATTTTGCAAGAAACTTCCGGGGAATGTAAAGTTAAACGAAGCAAGAAAAGCTGGTTCATATTACAGACTAACAAATTTTCGATTAAATCCGGAAGTTTTGAAAAAGCGGAAATAGCCACAAGTCATAAATATTTTCTTCGTTTGCACTACAAGTACTAGGACAAGATCATATCATATCAAAAATGTTTTGAAATATTTAAAAATGACAAATATTTTATAAAGTGCTTATATTACGTTACTGAACCAAAAATCACCTGCTATATAATAGGTATGTCATTAATAAAGAAAAAATACCTACCTATGTCTATGTCTGTCAAAAAAGTACTCATGAGTACTAGAATTCCAGTATCTTTTCCTTTTAATCGGGCACCCCAAAATGGATGACGGAAACCTTCTTAATGTTGACTCCATGGTTTGAAATCGCATTCCCGACACGTTGATAGTAACAATGTCATCATCTGACAAGCTAGGCTGCCCCAATTCGGGCACAAATTCACCACCACGAATGGCTATCGATGAGGAGTCGGTTGAGGTGTCTTTTACCCCGCCCAACATCAATGCCGATGGGTTGTGATGCCCGTTGGCTAGGGGTGACATGCTGAAACTGAAAATTGGTTAGAAAGAGGAATTTTAAAGTTGAGATTTTTAATTTTTTAAAATTTTTTAGTAAGATTTTTGTATTAGGCTTGAACTTTTAGTTAGTATTTTAAATACAAAATAATTTTTTCATTTTTAAATTATTATAATATTTGTATTTTACACTTCAAACTGTTAAAAACTATCCCACACTTTCTTCTACAATATACCCTACAGTAATATTTAAAGTTACATTATAATTTTCCCATTATACTTACTATATCGTACCTTTTAACCGTGTTAATTTTGTCTCTCTTAAAACAAGAACAAAGCCGAGACTTTGTATTAGACTTTTCATTAAGATAAAGTACAATCGACCGGGCCGAACGGTCATCATCATCGCCATCACGGCCGGAATGCTGCCAGCCAAACATTTTTAGTTCGTATGAGAATTCAAAATCTAGCTCCAATTTTAAGACAATGTACTAACAAGAGCCGTACGGTTTGAATAAAGATATCTAACCAGTAGGTATTGTCAGTTTTTAGAAAAATGATGACATAAAGTTACGTTTTTCTAGTGTAAGTTAGGCTTAGATGTGCAAAAATAGAAGTACTAGTTACAGTATAAAAATCATAAAAATCTACAGGACGTTAGACTATGTTGTGAACAAAAACAACAAAAAAAGGTTTGATGCCAAGTAAATAACACGGCTTTATAGCCCGGAATGAGGAAGTAAATGGTAGTGTTAAGTGTTTTAACAAGTGTTTTGACGCAAAAGAAAACAAAATAGGTTAGTAAGGATTAGATGCCTTAAGATGCAGCCACTGTAGGTTTACTGAGCAAATTAGGTCGATACTAACACATAAAATTAGGTCGGTACTAACACATCCAAATTTGTTTAGTACAATGCTTTCAAATTGGTGATACAATTAGTATCAGGAAGTGGGAGCAGGCAATTTAAAAAAAAATGTTCAACATTCGAGTTGCCAAAATACAAATTGCCAAAGAATAAAATCAAAAGTCCATAAAGCAAGTATTAGACCAAGACGAACACCGGCTTAATACCAAGCTTAACGTTTTTTTTGCGTTCCGAATTTGTGTTTTAAATTAAGGAACGTCCCTCCTTCTTTTCAAATAAGATTTCGAACATTTTCGAAATTATTCCAGAAATTCCATGGTGATGACATTGAACTCTCTCAAGTTTGTTTGGATTTTAAAAACTTTTTTTGTATTTGAATACGGTATTTTGTGGGGGTGGGTGGGGTGAGCCATTTGCTAAAAGGTAAAGGCAGACGAAACGTTTTGGGATAGGTAGGGTAGGGTAAGGTAGGGTAGGGTAGGGTAGGGTAGGGTAGGGTAGGGTAGGGTAGGGTAGGGTAGGGTAGGGTAGGTAGGGTAGGGTAGGGTAGGGTAGGGTAGGATAGGGTAGGGTAGGGTAGGGTAGGGGTAGGGTAGGGTAGGGTAGGGTAGGGTAGGGTAGGGTAGGGTAGGGTAGGGTAGGGTAGGGTAGGGTAGGGTAGGGTAGGGTAGGGTAGGGTAGGGTAGGGTAGGGTAGGGTAGGGTAGGGTAGGGTAGGGTAGGGTAGGGTAGGGTAGGGTAAGGTAGGGTAGGGTAGGGTAAGGTACGGTACGGTAGGGTAGGGTAGGGTATTCCCAGTCCAACACTGTAGCTAAAACAGAGCCCTACCCAAACCTAGCTTCTATATTCCCAGAATAACCCTGCTATAGGGTAGGGTAAACCAAACTCCAAATTAATATTTACCTCGCTGCTGCCGTATAAATCATCAAACAACTTGAAGATAATTATTTTGTCCAAAAATATGAACAATAAAACTTTAAAAATTGTAGCCGTTCATTAAGTTAGACAAGTCCAAACGGCAGATGGAAGCTCAACAGCAAGGCCAATTTGTTAGCAAAGTTAGGAAGCAAACTTTCTTCAAACAGAGTCAAAATAATAAAATTAGACCTCAAAACACGGCTCACACTAAAAAAACAACTAGGAAAACATAGTAATTTATTTGTAATGTAAAAGATACTCTAGAGGATGTTTTTTCTTATGCTAACGATGTTTTTGAATTTTACATTAGGTTGGGGGAAATGGAAGCATAAATATTACAGTATGATGTAATATGGCTTATACCGTGCCCTTCATTACATTCTCTTAACGTACCGCACCGTGCCTTATCCTACACTACTTTACATTAGCGTGCCTTACCGCTAATGTCAATACCTTACTTTGCCCTACTCTACCCTGCCCTACCCTACCCTACCCTACCCTGCCCTACCCTACCCTACCCTACCCTACCCTACCCTACCCTACCCTACCCTACCCTACCCTACCCTACCCTACCCTACCCTACCCTACCCTACCCTACCCTACCCTACCCTACCCTACCCTACCCTACCCTACCCTACCCTACCCTACCCTATCCTACCCTACCCTACCCTACCCTACCCGACCCTACCCTACCCTACCCTACCCTACCCTACCCTACCCTACCCTATCCTACCCTACCCTACCCTACCCTACCCTACCCTACCTTACCCTACCCTACCTTCCCTACCCTACCCTACCCTAACATACCCTACCTTACACTACTCTACCCTGCTAGTATAATATAAAAAAGCAAGTTACGGCAAAATGACAGTACCTTTTTCGTTTCACTTTTCCTACAGTACAGCGAATCGTATCTTCTTCCAGATCAGCTGACATACTTATGCCAAACATGATTATAAGAATAATGTGAAATAAAACACCTCTTGGCCTACTACAAGATCAAGAAGTAGAATCGCTTACAAGGGAAGGCACTTTAATCGCAGATGGACTTTGAGATTATACCTATATATTCTGAAAGCTGAATTCACAGGGAGAACGGATCTGAAAACCGTTTTTCTGTGCGGCTCTTGGTTTTTGAGAAAATCGCCTTTAAAATATGGCAAGAATTTTTGCGAAACGAGCGCGCCGAAAAGAAGTGCGCAATTAATTCGAGGAAAACGAGTGGCTGTGTGGCCAAGTGGTGAGTCAATTTACTTTCGGATGCCGGTGGGGGAGTTCGATCCCGGCCTTGTACAACAGTTTTACATCGGCTTAAAATTATTTTTAACTTAAAATTTTTACAATATTTTGTAACAAAAAATTATAAAATAACCAAAATTCAATTTTCATTGAAACTCGATTTATTAAAAAGAAATATGTTTACTTTCAACTGAACAAAAAAAATACTTTTACAATACGAACAACAAATAAAAGCAGTTTCGTTGCAACTATTGAATTGACAAGCCTTGGGCATTTTGATAATTTTTATTGAAAAATTAATTTATTTATGGCGTAAAAGTAGCTTTATTGAAAAAATTACAAAAAATAGAAAACAAAAATAAACAAATAATAATTTTTTACATATTTGCATACAAAATGCATAATTCCAAGCTGCTGCAAAAATGTTGCACAAGGCCGGGATCGAACTTCCCCACCGGCATCCGAAAGAAAACTGACTCACTACTTGGCCACACCGCCACTCGTCTTCATTGAATTAATTGCGCGCTTGTTTTCGGCGCACTCGTTTTGCCAAAATTCTTGCCATATTTTAAAGGCGATTTTCTCAAAAACCAAGAGCCGCACAGAAAAACGGTTTTCAGATCCGTACTCCCTGTGAATTCAGCTTTCAAAATATATAGGTCTCATCTCAAAGTCCATCTGCGATTAAAGTACCTTCCCTTGTTAGTAAAAGAGCAAGAAGTAGAAACTCTTAGTACAAGATCAAGAAGTATCTCAATAAAATACTGATTTGTTCAAAAGTCCCAGGCTTCTAATGAAAGCCCCAAACAAAGTGGCCAGATGTTTTATTTCCGAGAACATATGAAAAGCTCCGGAAAACGGACTTTTTTGCACGGAATTACGTGAAACGCCGTGTTCATTGGCGGGTGAATGAGCTTTTTGTTGTAGGCATATGTGATTGAGGATTGAGGAATTAGAGGTGGTCCGGGTTAAAAAATGGCAGTGAGTTAGAGGGGAAAGAGGAAAATTAGTGATAAAGCCAGAAGATGTTTGAACTAGAAAAAAAAATTGTAGCAAATGATCATTTAGGTAATTTAGAGAAAAAAGGATTGATCAAATAGTAGTTCAAGGCACAGAATGTTGAGTATGGCATAAAAACAAGAGCAAAGGAGGACTAACTTTCCTATCAACGTGCCTAGTGAAAAAAGAGACGCCAGAGAAAGAGAGCATAGAGAAGAGAGCAATGAGAAGAGATGTCCTAAACTAAGATGTTTATTGGATCAAAAACAATATGACTGATCTAAAAATAAACAAAATAAACATGCCAATGGGAGAACAATAAACATATCATCAAGATGCAAACATCCTATCAACAGTAGCCTTATGGCAATGGAGTTATCAAGCTGATATGAACATACATGTTGTCATATGCCTTTACCAATATAAATACTGCTCTTATGCTCAAAGAAAATTTCATTTTTTTTAAATTTTAGACTTAAAAATCATCAGAAGTTTTTTTTTGTTAATTTTATGGCCATATAAAAAAATTCTGCAAATTACTTCCGAATGTGCTTCAACGTTTTTAACTCATGATCTGATTTAGAAATTAGTAACAGCAGAGCCGAATGACGCACGAACAATAGAAAAGATTGATCTATTAGTGGGGGTGGATGTCAAACGTGATGTGAAGAGTAAATTTTATTTTTGGGGTTATATTAGAGCCCGGACCTATGCTCAATTTTTTATTTTAAAAATATTTGACTTTGTCCCCTCTGGAGTTAAAATTTTTTTTAATTTTACAATTCCAAAAAAAATTTTGTTGCATCCCTAATGCCATTCCTTATTAAAAGTTTTTTCACCATTACTTACTCAACGCAATTTTCCTCCTCCTTATTATCATCTTCCAGGTTATAACAACTTTTCCTTCGACCTTCACTTAATTGATCATCTGTTGTCATGACCCAAGCGCGAACAGCACGCTCTTTGTCCGTACTCATAACACCAACCCTGTTACCCTTAAAGTCCAATCTAGAGTTTACAGAAGGGTCTGATGCTGATATTATTATTGGGAACATTTTTAGACCAGTTATGCGATTTGATTAGAAAAAATTAGTTCAATGGACTTAGAGAAGGTGATTAAACGTGATTAGAAAATGTACAAAAAAATCTTAGAAAAGGTAATAAAATGAGTTAAAAAATATTGAATTTCTAGAAGAAGTAGCAGAAGGTATTTAGAAGAAAATGACAATAATAAGAAGAAATCTTTTAGTTGAATTGTTTGCTCAAACGTTAAAAACGTTTAATCCCAGCGTTCTTAAACTGTTTGCCTGATTATAGTTCAAAAAGTTTTTTTATAGTTTTTAAAAAAGCCTTAGATTTTAAAAATAGAAGCATACTTAATCAAATATTTTTTTCGAATTCAAATTCTAAAACATTTTAAAATTTTAAAAGTGCAAAAAAATGACAACTGTTTAAAAATTTTCAAAATCTCGTACAAAAGTTTTGAACCCACATTAAAAACAACTCGAAATTGAAGAAAAAGTCAACAAAACCGGGTCGGATCAAGTTGGAATGTCAAAAACATTAACCAAAATCTCGAAAAAATCCGGTTAAAAAACAGGTGCCAATTGTCATTTGATTAAGGAACGCCGGTCAATAAAACATGACAGGTTGAAGATTGTTAGTTTGGAAGTTTTTGGACCAAACAAAACTAAATTTTTATTAATTTCTCCTAACAAAAAAATTTTATTTTAGTACCCCCTCACCTTGTATTTAAAAAAAGGCTAAACGTAACCTTCCAAACCCTCCCCCCCCGCGCTTGATACTGTAAAGCGCAGAAAAACTAACAAGAATCCATATCCATGAAAAAGACCTTATTATATAAAAATTTTGAAGTATAAATAGGTGCACAAAAGACATTTGTTATGTTAATTTAAGCAACATTTTATAATTCTTTTCTTGTCAGAATTTATTGTTCTTGTATATTGATGAACGACAAATCATCATTTTTTACGGAATTAATAAAAAAAAACTGAAAGCTAATTTAAAAGTACAGTACTAAGGTATAAATACCAATGAAAAAGTTTTTAAGATTTAGTAAATAAAAAATTAAGTTACTGTGTAGCAGTATAGCACACTGAAATCAAACCTAAAGGTTTTAAAACCAAAAGTTTACACAAAATTCTTACATGTCTGGTACTACAAATACGAAACCTAATGCATATTTTTTCCATTTTTGTTTGTCAAAAACTACAGTACCTTTAGACTCCCAGAATAGTCCAGTAACCCAGGCATTCCTATATCAAATTTCAGACAAAATTTTCTACGACCCACACTTATCCACCTTCGCAGCGTTTTCCACCTAAAATATTCATAAAGTTACCTTATTTTCTTAAATATGGTTTTGCTGAACTCGACTTCAGCGCCCATGTCCAACCCGTACATATTCCAGTCGATTTGTGTGGAAATACGGGAAAACAAAAGCTGTCGAAACCGGTGATTTGGAGAGACTGATCGATGAAAAATAGAAAATGAAAAATTGCCCTTAGGCCTATTATTCGATTAGTTTTTTGTTACTCCATTAGTTTTTTCACAAAACAAATGAGTATGAATAAGTACAATGGAAGAGATAGATGACATTGTGAGAGAATATAAGATAATGAGAATAACGCATACTTAATAAGGAATTTTATAGTGGTCTTGGGGGTTTTAAAGGTTTTTTTATTCTAGACCTTAAATAAAAAATACGGTTGTTTTATAAACAGTTTTAATTACGTTGTCTGAAACGCCCATCAAGTACACAAACAAAACGTCCTAACGCTACAAATATAACCCTATATTAGTCTATAAAACATTGAAACCCCCTTGGCCATAATAATAATGTTCGGAAAACACTTAAAGGACCAGTTTAGATAAGTCTTTTGTCAGGCTTTTCTGCAACAGATCAGGCAATCAGGGAAGCGCGAACTTTTTTGGCGCAAAACGTGAGAGAGTCGATTTGGAATAAAGGAAATCATTTATCCAGTGTACCCGCTCACGTTTGGCGCGAAAAAAGTTCAACAGCCAAAACGAAAAAATCTTTGCGACAAAAGAAGTTATCCGGACTGGTCCTTTAATGCGCTTTTCAATAAACAAAATTTGAAAAAATATATGTTTAAGAAACGGTTTAACACGGAAGTATCGTTATTTTCGCTTTTTATAAGTTATTTTTTATGTACAAAATTGTATATAAAAATAAACTTTCCAGAACACCGGATATATGTGGAAATTATCCAAGCATATAGCGATTATAAAAGTTTTCAGTAATTACGTATTTAGCTAGTAAAGTTATTTGTCACTACCAATTTTTTAGAGACAGTAAGTACATTTATTAAAGACAGTAACTCCGCTTACCTTGTTACCATAATCGTAACAAGAATTCCCTACTAAAAGTTCACAAGCTTTAGGTTATCCTTCCTCTTTTGCTCACCGCTTCCCATCCAACTTTTACTAGTTAGTCAAATCTGATTTTTGACGATTAAATTTTTTAGGTAAAAGTTTGACAACAGTCAACAAAACCTACGTTGAACCAGTAATAGTAAGCCGACGTAAAATGGCCCTCTGGCTGCTGCCGTTGCCAAAGTTGGCTATCACCAGGCTTTTTCGTTTTGGCATCCGACAAAAAAAACGGTTAGAAATAATACAAAAAACTATCTTTAAACCAAAAAAATATATACAGTATAATAATACAATTCAATAAGTTTTATATTGTAGTTTATAAAAGAAGAAAACCAAAATCAATTACGTCAGAAATTAAAATCAAATAATTCGGGTATGAACCAAAAAATAAACACGTTATCCAACGTTTTTCAAACTAACAACAAGCACGTTAATCGGGGTGATAAAAGCTCTAAAATCTTTTAGATGATAAGACCTGGAATTCTTTAAAAAGATTGTTATAAACAACACACGTATATCATACTTTTCGCGTGCCAAAACACGAAAAAAGGGGGAAAGAGGAGCCTCGTGGCGCTCAGTAAAAGACGATGAAGACAAAGGAGCTAGGGTTAATGACCACAATGTGCCTAATCACCCAGTACATAAAAGTTTGTTGTGACCTTTAGTTTTAAACGTCATTAAAAACAATGTTAATTTACAAACGTCGTTAATCAATTTTAAATTTTGTACTTTCTAAACAGGTTTACAAATTCAACAATTTCAAAAAAAACCTGTAACAGCATAAATGAAAACATCGTATTTTACCAAAAAAACGTTCCCACAATGCAAAAAATGGCATTTAGCTAAAACAACCGAAGATTTGAAAGAAACAAAAACAAAGCTAATCCCAGCCCTATTATACTTCTTAGGATCCTATTCATTATGTTGAGTAAAAGATTTGGTTTTGCGGCCATAAATCATTACCATTGTGACTGTTTTTCAAGAACCACTTATGAAATTTGTTATATCGTGTCGTAAACAATAAATGACATAATTTGTGTCAGTACGATGTAAGGAAGGATGGTATAGATAAACCTATGAAACCTAGTTACAGAAGTACTGTTTGATATTAACATAGGCCTTGTAAGCGCATTATGCTATATAAAAAAGACTATAAAGTACTATATATATGCCAAAAGCATACGACAATAACTTCCCCATGAACCCCGTAATGGTATGACTTTAAAGAACTTTGATTTCCAACCAAAGTGCTCTATAAACGTCGTACATAACACGCACGCAAAGGTTATACTTTATTTTACGCTACATGTAACAAATACCATAATTGAACATTACACTTTCGCTTAAACTATAATATATCAAATTTTTTCGAAAAAATTTAAAATTTTTTAATTTTGCAACAAAAGCTTTCAAAAATTTTAGAAATTCACAATATCTACCCCTATTTTTTTCAATATAGCAGTATTGTATCTAAAGTTCTAGCTTTCTTTGTATAAGAAAAACATAATGCAGACATGACGATTTACTTTTTTTTATTTTTAAAGTTCATGACATATGTCAGCTGTCTATGTATGTCAAGTCATTTGCTTATAATAGCCGCAAAGTTACAAGAAAAAAGACTGTGGTTTTCGAGAGAGTTCGGCCCAAAATAAGCCCAGAAATCTACACTATTTTACCTTATTCTACTCTTCCGCACTCTACCTTACTCTATCCTACCCCAACATACTTTACCCTGCTCTACTTTACACTATATTACCCTACCTTACTGATTTGCTCTACCACCCTACCCTACTTTAAACTATTTTACCCTACCCTATATTAGACGGTGTAGATAAACCATAAAACTAGTATTATGTTTCCAGCCCATAAAAAGTAACGTCATACGATAATTTATGACAACGTGTTCTAATCGTGTTATGGTAAACAAAACTTACATTATATATTTATTCCCCTCTCTTTTTAGATAATTTACATTAAAAGGGTGCTATTTTAATGTTTACTGAGTTATATGAAGCTCTAGCAGGCAAATAAACTCAAATTTTATAAATTCTTATCAATTTTCATTTCTAGTTTAAAATTTGAGTTTTTTAAATTTTGAATTGTAAAAATCAATCAAAGTTTTAGCTTGTAAAAACTTTTTCACACCACAACAATCAAACCTAAAACTGACAATTGGCCTAAAAGTCTCCATCTTTGTCGATTGGCCGCTTTTCTAGCCACACCATTCTTCTGATGTTGTCGCCAACGTGCCGCCGCAAAATCCACGCTCATTCTCGGCTCGCGGCCTAGCCTAAAATTGGGAAAAGTGAATAAACGTATTTGTAACGGGTAGATTGTTAATAAACAAAATTTTTTATCTTTTATGACATTAAATTTTTTTTAAATATTGAAACTTTTTATTTCCGCCATAAACTATACAAAAAATTGAGTAAAATGATAAAAGTTATGATAAAATTATTAGGTGTCGACATAAAGAACCCGCCATTTTTTGCGGGAAATTTGGTGGGTTCTTTAGTCGGCACCTAATACTTTTTTAAACTTTTTGAAAAAATTTCCTAGCCCGCCATTCTCGTAAAAGCCCCCAAAGGTCAGTTTCAAAAACGCGCGCTTCATATTTTAAAATTTTTTGTGTTGAAACAAAAACCACTTGGCAAGGCTCTAATTAATATTAAAGACAGCCGGTTGACCTTTCCAGCTTTAAACAAGCACCTTTTCATTTTCCAATAAAATTTACTGGACCAAATAACCAATTTAACATGGCACATTTTTTGTTTTTCTTAATTTTAGTTGCAAAAGTTCTCGGACTTTTTTTATTTTTGTAGAAAAGCCTTCATAATGACAAAAATGACAAAAATAAAAAATTTAGAACTCAAATACTATCCAAAGTTTAGCCATTTCCATTCCCCGTCCAAACAACGTAATTTATCCCAAACGCCTGTGGCCATAAAATTAAAAATTACCAAAATGGAAATTAAATTAATTTTTTCTCGCTTTTAAAGTAGCCAAATTCGCAAGAGAAGCGGAATTGAAAATTTCGAAAAAACGCTTGCCATTTTCTGAAACATAAATTGCGTTTTTGACAAAATGTTTTCCCTAGGTTACCCTACCCTACCCTACATTACCCTACCCTACCCTACCCTACCCTACCATACTCAACCCTACCCTACCCTACCCTACCCTACCCTACCCTACCCTACCCTACCCACCTTACCTTACTCTACCGTACCCTATCTTAGCCCACTCTACCTTACCCTACTCTTCCCTATCTTACATTACATTAATCTCCAAATACCTCAAAAATTAAAAAATCTTTTAGAAAAATCCAAAGCATTTTAAAAACACGTGAGATCTGATTAAAAATGCCAGAAGAGAAAGTTTCTAGTTAATTTTTAGCCCCGGCGGGCTTAACATTAATCTCCGAAAAACCTTGACACTTCCTCTTCTTAAGTATGGCCATAAACAAATGTTTGCAGGCTTAGCAAATCTTTTTTTAGCTTGTGATATGTCTGACCTGGATCAGATTTTTTGGGTTTTGAAATTTTTAATCAATTTTTAATTTTTTAGGTTTTCAGTATTTAGGCATCTCTTTGTTTTTAAGTTCAGAAGTTTTAGTTATAGCAACAGAAGCAAATATGCAACTAAAACATATTATTATCTTTACATATACAGTCAAGGTAGAATAAATTTCTAAAAAAAGGTTTTTAATGGTAATCTTCATGCCTAATTTAAGCCAATTTACAAAATCATAATTTAAACCTATTTTTCAAAAAAAAATCGTATTTTATCAGCCGACCCAATAGATCAAGCATTCCAAAATTTCATTTACCAGCCACATTAATATGAGCTGTAGAAAGTACCAACCTCAATTGGACTTTATAAAGTCGAATGTCAACGTTTTCCCTCCGCCTTATATAAAATCAATATTTGTCTTTCGACTGGGTTTCCTCAAAAGGCCAAAAATCGCTCTCGATAACGAAGGGCTCTCTCTGCGTTTCTCTCTTTCTCTAACCGCTCTTCATTTTTTAATTCTCTCTCGATGCACCCGGTCTTGACTGTATATGTAAATCATAAGTAACAATACGCTTAAGCAAACTAAAATTTTAAAATAATTTAGGCTAATAAGCAAAATTTTTAAGCAGCAAAATATAAAATAAGCAAAAACAACTAAAAAATACTACAATATTACAGCAAAACCTGCCTAAAAAATACCACAACATCAATATATTTTACTCTACAAGCATACATAACTTGAAAAATGTTTTTTCATCTAATTGTTATACTACTACATTTTAAATCACAACAATAAAAAAAACTTACCATATAGCAGCAGTGTGCTCGTTTTCCCCACCTTCGTCCATCTGGGCCAGTTGACTGTACATGTTGGTAAGTTAAGTGAAGCAAACACAAATAAGTTACAATAAGTTTACTATGTAAAAGATATGTTTCGACAAGCTGTTGGCTGAAATTTTGGAAAATTTGTGATTTGATTACAAACGTAAAATATTGGAACGGTATTTACGAAAAGGTCAGACAAACGGTACCATTTTAAGCTATGGTACTACAAATACGGTTTTCTACCGTCATGGTACTATATTATGCCATCACAATTTTCAAAGAAGCTATCCTAGTAATTTACCATTCTAATTCTCGTTTAGGCTACATTACTACATCATTATACTTCATACTCTTTACTACTGTTCCGGTATAAAATAATATCGTCATATAGTACCGCAATATCGTACCCTAATCTAAACAACAACAACCCATAATAACACAGACATGACTTTATAAGCAAAATGTGAACAAATCCTCAAGTACACAACAATATTTACCTATTATGTAACTTGCCATACACTATTCAGCTCATCAACAACGTAAGACCAGTATGTCATACAAGTTAAAAGAAGAGTAATACCAATAGTCTTAAATTTAAATCAACGCACAACCTTTTATTGCCTTACACTTATACAATTATCATTTCTTTTTACAATTGTAAATGCAAATTGTTATTGCCAAACAATTATTATTTTCATAAAACATTCATGTAAAAGGAAGGTACGTTAATTTTGACAATAACCCAAGTCATGAGGCATCTTTGCAAATATAACATTATATATATTATAACTGTAATCCGATTTTATGAATTTATACGTAATTAATAAAATTATTAAGAAAATAAGATAAGATTACGCCTATCTCTAACATTAAGTCTAACGTGAGCAAGACTAAAGAAAGAAAGCCTAAACCTAAGCCTGAGCCAAAGCCTAAGACATAGTCGGAGCTGAAGACTGAGCCAAAGACTAAGCCTGAGCCAAAGCTTGAGTCTAAGCCTAAGCCAAAGCCTAAGCCTGAGCCAAAGCTAGAGCCTAAGCTTAAGCTTAAGCCTAAGCCTAAGCCTAAGCCTAAGCCTAAGCCTAAGCCTAAGCCTAATCCTAATCCTAAGCCTAAGCCTAAGCGAAAGCCAAAGCCTGAGCCTAAGCCTGAGCCTAAGCCAAAGCCAAAGCCAAAGTCAAAGCCTAAGCCTAAGCCTAAGCCTGAGCCTAAGTCTAAGCCTAAGCCTCAACGAAAGTCAAAGCCTAGACCTAAGCGTTAAACTGAAGCTAAAAGTAAACCTAAATGTAAGTCTAACCTTACAAACCTAACGTTTATAAGATGTAAGCCAAAGTTAAACCAATAATGACTTTTTCGCTTAAAGCTATAACTCCATAGATTTATTTAAAAAAACTCAAAATTACATTTTTTCCCTTAACGACTTCAAAAATCTATAAATGCCATGCGCCACACCTGTCCTGCACATACCACGACTTTTACCGCGGTATGTAACTTTAAACCTCGAAAGGCAATTAAAAATTCTTATTATTTTTTCCGCAGCGTATCGTGCCCATTTCACATACCGTTTTCTCACAATTATTTTTTACCACGGAAATATTAAAACAAGGTAAAAATAGACATAGAACCGGCGGTCTGAAACACGAATATGCATATAGCATGTACTAGCTTTAGTGTTTTGTAAATGTTATAAGAATATCATAAAAAGTCAAATACCAGTGTGTCAAAGACGCTATGTAAAAAAATACTATGTAAAGTCAACATGTACCAAAATGTCATAAGCACTGATATTGAAAAAGACGATTAAAAATGACTTTTTATTGCACAAACGTAGGGTTTTTGCTCCCTTAGGGCTAATTTTAATATCCGAAAATATAATGACATATGCAGAAATGTAAGATCATATATAACATAACATATGCTTTATTATATGTATGCTTTACAAAACTTATACTATCTTATTATGATGCGAAGTTAACCAAATATGAATCAACTAGCACAAGCATAAGCTTGACCCATGCATAAGCTCAAGCCCCAGCCGAAGCCTAAGCCTAAACCTAAGCTTAAGACTAAACCTAAGGTTAAGCCTAAGTCTAAAGGTGAACCAACGCTTGAGTTCCCACTTTATTTAAAAATGAACAATAATTGTAGGTGCAAAGCCACAACCACAAGATACATTAGTAACTCATACCTTCAAAAATAACTTAAATTAACCTACACTACATAAAACTATTTTATTTGCCATTTTTTCGAGCCGAGAAAAGTGTGAAAGTAAGGTAATTTCTGCTTCCATACAAAGTAATGAACAAGAACTGTGGGAGGTAATGAGGGACACACCTATTCATAACAACAAACACAACATAATAGATGTAAATATCAGCCGCACATAGCTTTAACTTTTTTGAAAAAAATTTTGATAGAAAATTTTCAAATACAAATAAAACTACTAAACGTAAGCCTATAAAGCTAAAAAAGAACTTAATAAGGCTAAGAATAAGCCTACTAATACTAAGCCTAATAAACTTAAGCCAGCTAAGCATAAGCCTTTAAACGCACGCGTGCTAAGCCTACGCCTAAGCCTAAGCCTAAGCCTAAGCCAAAGCCTAAGCCTAAGCCTAAGCCTAAACCTAAACCTAAGCCTAAACCTAAGCCTAAGTATAAGCCTAAGCCTAATAGCCTACTAAGCCTACTAAGCCTGAGCGTACTAAGCCTAAGCCTAATAAGTTTAATTCTACTAATATTAAGCCTACTAAGTCGAAGAGCGCTTTAAATTGCCTTCCCACGTAAAACGGTTTAGCCTAAGTCTGCTAATCCTGTCGAGCTCAATAAAACAAAAAGAACCCTAACAAGCTTAGACTAATCAAAAAGTTTCTAAGTACTAATAAGCAACAACAAATAGTTTTGAACCCTCGTGTATTATTATATATATTCTCGTGTTTCACAATAACTACGTAGCTAACGACGTCAAAACAACGTAATACTCGTCGTTTTTGCCCCAAAAAACGGCTAATGAAATTGCGAACTTAAGAATTGGCCAAATTAAGCTATAAAAAGTAATTCAGCTTGTGTTATGAAAGTTGACAAACCATTAGAGTGAACATGTACGTAAAGTAGCCCATGTAAAATATTCTTGTCTGCTCACTAAAAGTCTGGTATAGCCTATTCTGGTTTATTTTCACCTGCTTAGACTATAATTTTTTTTAAATTTTCAAAGTTTACGTAAGCTTTTAAAAAAGGGCATTTCATACAATCAAAAATCATGTTGTTACCAAGAAAAATATATTTTTAGCCATCCTACAATGTAAAAGATGAAAAAACAAGCTTATATAATATTTCAAAAACAAAACACAAAACAAATAACTTGGTAACTATTTAAAACAAATTTTAAAATCCAAATTTCCGAAGGCAATGACAATGTTTTTTTAAATAAAACAAACGAATCAATCCATTATCTTGTCCATTTTAAAACACAATTTCATTCGAACTACGTCAAGATAATGTCAAAAATTGAATGTCAAACTGACTAAAGGAGAGACTGGTCGATAATCATGTTCATAAACAAGCACGTGTTTAGAGTTTCTATTTTTCAGTAAGCTAAACCCAAACTTAAACTAAATATAAGCCTATAGTATGATCGAAGCCAAAGCCTAACTCAAAGCCCAACTCTATACCTATATCAAGGTGTAAGCCAAAACATAACCCAATCCCAAAGATTAAGCCTAAGACTAAGCTTAAACCTAAGCCTAAGCATAACTTTAAATGCAAGAACCCTATAACAAGAACTAAAATGTAAATAAAAACAAAGAAAATTTAAGAGTATTCAAATGAAAAAGATTGAAAGAGCTGAATAGAAGTAAGAACGCCACGGCAACCTTTAACGAACGACAGATGTTTAACCAAATTTAAATGCATTTTAAAGTGCGTCTAACTGCAATAGAAATTTTTAGAGACAAATATGTAATCAAATCATTATTACCATAAAAAATTACAAAAATAAATTAAAAAATAAAAAGTTACAGCACAAAAACATAAAATAAAGTAACTACGCCAACACAATAAACAGCACTGCATGAAAATATCACACTGCGGAAGCACAAAATTTACTTTACGTTATAGGATTTTAAAATATGATTATTTTCGACTTAATTATCTTATTTAAAAAAGTTTTATTAAAGGTAAAACTCACAAATCTCCAGCTTCTTCATCAGTCAAATCTACGGACTTAGACCGCTTCAGAAGAGCCCGGTCTGGCGTCGTTGAATTCAACCGACCCATCTTTAACACAAGATGTTTTAGGTAGAATGACAGTTTTTAGTACTTCTTCAGTTGATTTTCTAATTCTGAAAAAAAAATTTAATGATTTATATTAAATTTTAAAATTATAGTATAATACATATTATTTAAAATAGCAGTAAATATCATCATAGTAAGTTTACGTAGAAAATGACAACACCAATATGATGAAAAAAAACAATCGAGCAAGAGTCATGAAATTGCTCCCAAGTGGCAGTATAAAAATAGTCAAAATAAACTTGGAAATAAATGACGGCCATAATAATAATTCAAGGAATGTGTATCACAGACAAAGATTTTACTCACCAAACATTGCCTTAAACATTTTAAGTTTCAAAAGAAAAATTTTTATATTGAAACTGGCAACAAATTAAAAATAAAAACCTTAATAAATTTAAAACATAAGCCTAAAACTACTAGAGTTTAAACTACAAAGCAAACGCCTGCTAAGACTACACCTACTAAGCTTAACTTTACTAAAAAACTAATATAAGGTTAACTTCTTACCTGTTCATACGTTTTCAAATACTCTTTTTTACCTTAAAACTTCCTAAAAATTTTACAAAACTGTAAAAACAATAAAAAAAATTCTCAAAACAAAATCAAAATGCCATGAATATGCAAATAAATTCGAAAAAACAACCGTTTAAGTGAAACTTTGAATGCCCTGGAAATCAAAGGGCAAATCGATTCGAAGCCAGCTGCTCGCTAAAGAGCCCTCGGCCACGAAAAACATTCTCGAGTTATGCCAAGAGTTATGTATTTTTTTGTGGGTGGATAAGTTGTCAGACGCGAAAAAGAGCAAGATCAACAACTTTCATTGTTTATTACTATGGCACATTGAGATCGATTGTTTTTGGGATTAGACATTTAAATGTTACGTGGGAAATGCAACAAAATGACAAATTTTTGGATAAGTGGCATAACTTTAAAAAAATTGTTTTGATATTTTCTACCCCCTATTAAACCTAAAATAAAAATTCTCTTGTCGATAAATAATTTGGTGCCACGTTTTTAAAAACGCATCACAGTATCAAGCATTCGTAAAATTCTCAGTCTTTCTGTTCTCTGACTATTTGTCCAACATAAGGTATTCTGTATACTACAAACGTAAAACGATACTAGGTCTTTTCGACATGCTTAGCTCAAAAGTGTATCGACATTATTCAATATTCACATGAAATTCAGCTAGCCTACCCTCCTCGACTTATAAACGACGCTCAGTAAGACTAAAAATTAATTTTAACATGTCTGGCCCAAGACCACAGTAATTAACAAAAATTATGCACGATTTAGCGATACTTAATTAAAGTCAATCTGGCACTCGTTTAATTTTTCATTTTTAAGACATTTTCTCTTTCTCTAACTGACTATTTTTAAAATTACTATTGTCTCTATTTCTCCAACTGCCTCTTCCTTTGGCATCTTCTCTTCACACTTTCTCTAAGGTCCTCTTTCTCAGAATCAATTCCTTGGCGCTCTGTTTCAAAATCTTAATATATTTTTGGGGAAGGGCGTAAAAAAGAAGATTAATAGAATTAAAGAGCTCATCAATCAGACAAAGCAGCAAAGGTTGAGGAAAATTAAACAACAGCTGAATCGCCTTGAATAACATAAATCCAAAGATCATAGAACTATCTACAATAAAAGCGGAAAAAACATTCATAAACCTAAAAATACAAGAAAGAAAAGAAAGAAGAAGGTTCAAGCCTAATGTTGCACAGAAGGTTAAAATGCCATAATACATGTAACTATAAAAATCTTTGCTGAGCCTAAAAACTAGAAAAAGAACGACAAACGTAGAAACTACTAAATATATAATATAATACGAACTCTTTAGCATATAAACGGCCAAGTCAATTTATTTTCTAATGCCATAACCCTACTTCTCAATACTTATAACAGTGAAAAGTTTAAAAGTAAAGGGAAGCTGTTTTCCTACTTATATTAGCATAACGCATATATTTCTGTCAAATCAAATTTAATACCTAAATTTAACAAGAATAAACAATGTCGAACAGTCCATCGAAAAATTTTATAAATTTTTGAGTAACAATAACAATATCTTTTAATTTTTTATCTGGAACTTGATTTTGTAACAGAATTTTGGGTAAAAGTTATTTTTGTCTAAACATACCTTCCTACTTTATTATTATATAACTCATAATAGGAGATACTAGTACGTCCTATTCATTGTTTATTTTGAAAGCTATATTTCGCAAATTCCTTTTTCTCCGTTGAAAGTTAGGCCGCAAACTGCGGTTTTCGCGCTTTATTCTATTTTCGCAAAGCAGAAAAACATTTATCTTCTACAGTGTTTCCCTTGTCTTAAACTTTTTCGGCATTAATTTGGCACCTCTGCCTTCAAAACATTAAACAGCTTTATTGTACTTTTACGGACTTGCTAGACGGCTTTCTTCGGAGCTTTTTTGTAGTTTGGGCAGTATAAAAGCCGGGTTTCTTTCGTTTTTGATCATTATTTCTCATTCCTTGTAAATAAACCTACCATTTATTTTTCAGTCGATCTCACTAAAATGTCCAACATTGTTCTCCAATCCAATGACGACCGAACCTTCAACGTCGACTACGCTATTCTTCGACAATCCGGCATGTTGAGCGAAATGTTCAAAAGTCTTCGCTTCGACGAGTCCCAGGGACCAGAAGACCCAATTCCAGTCCCGAATGTGGATGGTGCCACTCTGAAAAAAGTAATCGAATTCTGCGACCACCACAGGGACGAGCCCATCCTTGAGGATCCCGACTCAATCGAGCCCCATACCTTCAAGTTGGACGACTGGCAAAAAGAATTCATGAATGTTGATGATGAGACATTGTTCAACATAATCATGGCCGCCAACTATTTGGACATCCGCTTGTTGTTGGAGGTTGGCTGTAAGACGGTGGCTGACAAGATCAAAGGAAAAACTCCGGCTGAGTTGAGAGTAATGTTTGGAGTTGAAGGCGAATTCACTCCAGAAGACGAAGAAGCCGTTAGGAAGGAAATGGGCTGGGACAAGGAGGTTCCTTAGGTCAATGGACTGAATATGGCGACTTCAAGGATGTTACGATCAAAATTAAAAATCTCGTTGTTAAAAGTTTGTTTCTTATCCTTATTATTTTCTGGTTTTAGGTAGTACTTTTATTGATTTGAACCTAATTGGCTTATTTATCTTGTAGCTTCAATTTTCTAATTTTACATCTTTTATTTTTCAAATTTTGAGCCAATTTTGTAAATCATTTTTCTACTACTACTAGCCTTTTCATTACTGGTATTTTTCTAACGTACTTTACAATATCGTTGTTAATTTGTTAATAAACTAATTTCCGCACGATTGGAATGTATGATTTATTATTTTTGAATCTTAATTTTTTGTGTAAACTTCACCAGTTTAAAATTTGAGTATGAGCTTTTGTCAGTTAGAAATTGACCGCGCATTCATAACTTTCGGCAGCCACAGACAAAAAAGGTTTTTTAATCTAGAAGCATAGCTAAAAAGCAAAAACAGGTTGAAACGAACATTAAATTATAATATCGGAAATTTACAATCTAAAACCATATTTACTTTCTCAGATACAATAAAGTAATTGAGTTTAGGTACTTTCAGAATTGTCGCTTTTCCGTTTTTCCTTGGATTTCGAGGTATTCGAGCTTTTAGTGGATGGTTTTGGTGCTTTGTTTTTTGATTCTGAATCTTCCGGTTTCTCCTCTGGAGTTATCTTTCTATCCGAGCGTATGTTGATAACCCCTTGACGATCTTGATCGCTTACAGTGTTTTCTTTGACTTCTACAAGGTCCGGGTCGACTTCTGGCTTCTTCTCATCTTTAGGCTTTTCTTTCTGTTTTTGTTCTTTATCATCCTTTGTATCACCATTTTTATCATCCTTCTTGTCACCTTCTTTAGCATTATCTTTAGCCTTAAGCTTATCGTTCTTATCATCTTGTCGACCATCATTTCTTTTACCAACAATATCTGCTTCATTTTGACCAGCGAGGGTATCACTGCTGCTTGATGGTTCACTTGCAATCTTCTTGTTGGTATCAGTACTGCTTTCCGAACGCCTCTTTAGCCGTTTTTGTCGATTATATTCGTGAATTGGAACTTGTTTCGTGTCCGATGAGCTCATGTCATCGGCGTAAGGTGGAGTGTGAACTGGCACAAACTCTTTTGGAATCCGGACTCCTCTCCTTAGTCTCTAAAAAATAATAAAATTAGGCTTAGTGTTAAGTGTTTAGGCTTAATACGTCAAAAATTTATGCCTACTGATTCTTTTTGCTTATAAACTGTTTCAGGCTTAAAAAAGATTATTTAAAATAGCAAAAGAAAAGCTTAGGTTAATGCGTTAAAAATAAGCTTAAAATGGCAAAAGTTAATAAAAAAAGTCCAACCCCACCTCCTTTCTGTTGAGACGGATTTTCTTGAAGAACATGTAGTAAATGGCATAAACAGGAATACAAATCATTGAGCAACCAGATATGGCAAATCCAAAAATTTGCGGAATGAGCTCATAACTTTTACCGCTGTCGTACTTCAACGGCTGGTAAAATGCCAGGCATACAAAGAATAGAACCTAAAATTGTTAAAAAATGTACCAAATAACTATTTTGCCTTCAGCTTCTTGTAACTAATAAAAAAAACTTACCGCAGCTACCGTAGGAGATGTGAACTTCCACAACCATACCCATCCTTTACAAATATACTTGTCAGTCATCTCGTACATACACGCATATACTCTGTCAGCTCCAAATGCCCACGCTATTCCCATAATTTCAAAAAACACGACAAATAGCAAAGCGTAGCCAGCGGCACCGTAACAGTCTACTACATTCACCCAGTGTACTCCTGCCTGAAAATAAACAATTACACATTTTAATTTAAATAAATAATTACATAATTAAATTTCAAAAAATTTAAAATTTGACCACCCTCCCACCCAAAAAAACTAAATTACCCTCCTCCCTCAACGTACAACCGTCCAAAACTCACGTAAGTCATCATAGGAATAGAAATGACAAAATAAAACACACAAAACGCCAACAGTGACATTTTTCTGTATCTCTGCAAAATCGGAAATCTATCCGCCAATCCTGTATAAACACCTTCCACCATACATACTTGACTATCAAAACCCAGGATAATAATCATTACAAAAAATAGCAGGGCCCAAAACTGCTTTCCTGGAATAAACGTCGCTGTTTCTGGATACACGATGAAAGTTAGGCCTAGACCAGGCTTGACCACTTCTCCAATCTCTTTTCCTGTCTTAAATGCCATGTGTCCTAACATTCCAAAAATGGCTAGTCCTGAAACAAAATATTTTTTAATTTAAAGACATAAGTGTAATTTCGTGCCATAAACAATTTAAGCTACTTTAATACAAAAAGACAATTAAAATTTGACAAAAACTATCGTCGTAAATGTTGTCTACTTACCAGCCAAAAATGAAGTCATAAGATTGATGAAGCACAACATCAACGTATCTCTAAAAAACATAAATAAGAAATAAAAAACAAAAAAAATGTTAACATACCTATAACAATTATGATTGAACTTGTTATGAGATCCCAAAGCAATCAATGTGCCAAAGCCAACACCATACGAGTAAAACACTTGCGTTCCAGCATCCTTCCACAGATTTATCGACCAAAGCGACTTTAGATCTGGCAGCAAATAATAGGCCAATCCTGTAAGTGATCCTTCCAAGGTTATCGAACGGCCAATCAGGATAGCGATCACAAAGTACGGGAAAATAGCACAAAAGTAGATAAACTAAAAAGTTATTCGAGTTCAAGATTCGGCGAAAAATTTGCCAAATTTTCAATTTAAAAATGTTAAATTTTTAAAGTTCGATACCTAATCATTACCTTTCTAGCGTGGGTGATGCCATTCCACATAGCAAAGTAGATAACAAGCCATGCCACAACATTGATGCCAAAGATCTCCCATTGGATTCCACCAATTTCCAAAAAAGAATCTGTTTGTTGAAGAACTCGGCGTCTGAAACACAAACCGTTAGAATAGTTAATTTTGGACATTAAATATACGAAGGTTTAATTTTTGGCCTTAAAAATGCTTCAATTTTAAGTTTTAAAAATCTGTTACCTAAAATCAACTGTCCATTATCTAAAATCTAAAAATCTTATTTTTGCTACCCAAACGTATAAATCAATCCGTTTTTGTCACCTAAAATCAACAAAACTCTCAAATTGCTCAGCGACAAGAAGCCGAAATGGTCAAAACCCAATCCGAACCTCAAAAAGAAAGAAAAATTCTTCGAAGAAACTTCCAAGTTATTATCCGCAATCTGCCAACAGCACCCGCAAGCCGCAATACAAGAAAACCGCGGAAAGGCTTCCTTCAAATATCATTATCATTGAACAAAACAAGGCCGCTAAAATCCTTTTCAAGATCGAGCCAAAAATCTCAAAATTTGATCAAAAGTCTAAAAAACAGAAATATTTTTTCAAGAAATTCCAAGTTATTAGTCCCAGCCTGCCAACAGAATCCGCAGGCCGCCAAATCAAAAAACCCGCGGAAAGGTGCCTTTTGATTACTCCCTCCTTCGACCCAAAAAATCTTCAAAAATCCAATTCAAGATCGAGTCAAAAACCTCAAAATTCAATCCAAAGCCCAAAACCCAAAAACTTCCATGGTTTTATCTCCAACCTGCCACCAAAATGCGCAGGCCGCCAAATCAAGAAAGCCGCGAAAACGACCCTTTTGGTTTCTCTTTTCACCGTCCAAAACAAGGACCTCAAAATCCTTTCGAAGGTCGAGTCAAAAACATCAAAATTCAATCCAAAGCCCAAAACCCAAAAACTTCCATGGCTTTATCTCCAACCTGCCATCAACATGCGCAGGCCGCCGAATCAAGAAAGCCGCGAAAAAGAACCCTTCGAATACTCATTGCACCGTGCGGTAGAAATTTTTTTTTGAGAAAAATTCTCCTTTCTGAAATCGAGCCAAATTTGGCCAAATCCGATCCATTTTTGTTTGTCTCTAACTTTCTCTACCTAGTCTCTCTGATCGCAGCGCTCTCTCGTCCCATCTCTGACTCTCCTTATTTTCATTGATCTTTTCGCGACCGTTTTCATCCCTGACCATCTCTTTAAATCTCTCACTCTCACTTCCCAACTTGATCGCACTGTGCAAGTCCAAATTCGGCCGCAAAAAACCTTTTTGGAGTCCTCTCGATTTTGGCGATTTTTGAGGAAAAATCGAAGAAAAGGCCGGATTTCGGAGAACCAAAAAACCACTGCACAGTGCAGCCCGATTTGGAAGGGGCGAGAGAGCGTGAGATCGAGGAGATGGGCCGAAGGAAAACAGAGGGTCGTGAAAAGAAGTTGCGCAACAGCGAAAAACAAGAGAGACAAACTTGCGACGAACGAGAGACCGTTGCGACAGAGAGAGCAGTCAGAGAAGGTCCGACAAAAAGCAAAAAACGGTCAAATTTTTGGGATTTTGAGATCTCCAAATTTGTCGAAAATCTCTCGGCCTTCGAAAAGGGAATTTCGGCGATTGAAGATTTGCCTTGCACGGTGCAGTGGCAAATCAAAAGGGTGTTTTTCGCGGGTTTTTTTCATTTGGCGGCCTGCGGATGTTGTTGGCAGGTTGGGACTAATAACTCGGAATTTCTTGAAGAAATATTTCTTTTTTGGGCGTTTGATCGAATTTGGAGATTTTTGGCTCGATCTTCGAAAGGATTTTGAGGGACAATAAAAGGAGAAATCAAAGGGTGTTTTTCGCGGGTTTCTCGATTTCGCGGCTTGCGGATGTTGTTGGCAGGTTGGGACTAGTAACTTGGACTTTCTTGAAAGAAATATTTCTTTTTTTTGGGCCTTCGATCGCATTTTGAGACTTTTGGCTCGATCGTGAAAAGGATTTTGAAGACCTTGTTTTGGTCGGTGAAAGGAGAAATCAAAAGGGGCCTTTTCGCGGGTTTTTTGATTTCGCGGCCTGCGGATGTTGCTGTCAGGTTGGGACTAATAACTCGGAATTTCTTGAAGAAATATTTCTTTTTTGGGCGTTTGATCGAATTTGGAGATTTTTGGCTCGATCTTCGAAAGGATTTTGAGGGACAATAAAAGGAGAAATCAAAGGGTGTTTTTCGCGGGTTTCTCGATTTCGCGGCTTGCGGATGTTGTTGGCAGGTTGGGACTAGTAACTTGGACTTTCTTGAAAGAAATATTTCTTTTTTTGGGCCTTCGATCGCATTTTGAGACTTTTGGCTCGATCGTGAAAAGGATTTTGAAGACCTTGTTTTGGTCGGTGAAAGGAGAAATCAAAAGGGGCCTTTTCGCGGGTTTTTTGATTTCGCGGCCTGCGGATGTTGCTGTCAGGTTGGGACTAGTAACTTGGAATTTCTTGAAGAAATATTTCTTTTTTGGGCGTTTGATCGAATTTGGAGATTTTTGGCTCGATCTTCGAAAGGATTTTGAGGGACAATAAAAGGAGAAATCAAAGGGTGTTTTTCGCGGGTTTCTCGATTTCGCGGCTTGCGGATGTTGTTGGCAGGTTGGGACTAGTAACTTGGACTTTCTTGAAAGAAATATTTCTTTTTTTGGGCCTTCGATCGCATTTTGAGACTTTTGGCTCGATCGTGAAAAGGATTTTGAAGACCTTGTTTTTGGTCGGTGAAAGGAGAAATCAAAAGGGGCCTTTTCGCGGGTTTTTTGATTTCGCGGCCTGCGGATGTTGCTGTCAGGTTGGGACTAATAACTCGGAATTTCTTGAAGAAATATTTCTTTTTTGGGCGTTTGATCGAATTTGGAGATTTTTGGCTCGATCTTCGAAAGGATTTTGAGGGACAATAAAAGGAGAAATCAAAGGGTGTTTTTCGCGGGTTTCTCGATTTCGCGGCTTGCGGATGTTGTTGGCAGGTTGGGACTAGTAACTTGGACTTTCTTGAAAGAAATATTTCTTTTTTTGGGCCTTCGATCGCATTTTGAGACTTTTGGCTCGATCGTGAAAAGGATTTTGAAGACCTTGTTTTGGTCGGTGAAAGGAGAAATCAAAAGGGGCCTTTTCGCGGGTTTTTTGATTTCGCGGCCTGCGGATGTTGCTGTCAGGTTGGGACTAGTAACTTGGAATTTCTTGAAAAAATATTTTTGTTTTTGAGCCTTGGCTTGAAAAGTATTTTGATCGATTTATCTTGCTTGATGCAGTTTACGGGATTTTCGGGTCGTATCTTGTTTTTATGTGATTTACACAAGATTTGTTGCATTTTAAAAAAAAATTCGTTTTTATTCGATATTTTTAGATTTTAGGTAACAATAAGTTAGGGTTTTTGATTTTAAGTGAACGAAATAATATTTTTTTTGGTTTTAGCTAGCAAATAACCTTTGTTTGAGTTTAGGTAACAAAACCATTTTTTTAAATGATTTTGCGCATATTTTCAAAAAACTTACTCCCAGTACTGTTCCACTGCCGTTTGTAATCTAGCCCTGACTTCTGTTTCGTTATAACCAGTTGAATTCATCAGACTTATCACTTTTTCGGTATCATTTCCAGATGTACACCAATTGGTATTCCATTCATGCTCGCAGGTTTCCCATGGAAATTCCGAGCGGACAGATTGGATCATATAGAAAGCGGCCCATGATATAATGACGCAGAAGTACCATACACACATGGCCGAGATGACAATGTTACCGTAGCCGACGCCTGAGAATAATGGGGCCAATTTCCACATTTCCATGGCACCTTTTTGGAGGTATTGACCAACGATGACTTCCATCAGGAATACTGGAATGGCGCTGAGGAGAAGGAAGACCATGTAGGCTAGCCAGAAAGCACCTGAAATTAAATATGGTAAGAGTTTTGTTATCTAAACTCATTATTTAGCTAATTTTAGAAAATTTAAAACTTTTTTGTCAATTTAGAAAAATTTAAAAGCTGTAGTTCTATTAACTTACCGCCACCATTTCTATAGCATAAATATGGGAAGCGCCATACATTTGCTAATCCGACCGAGTACGAGATCATGCTCATCAAGAAGTCCCAAATACCGTTCCAATGACCTCTGGAAGCATCGTTACCTACTACAACAATACTCAAAGACTTTTCCTCAGCTGTCGACACTTCTTTAAAGGTATCAGAGTGCTCATTATAGTTTGTGTCGGAACTAGTACGTCCTGCATTCAGACGACTGTCAGAATCCGAATATAGCTCTTCGTCCGATTCTGAATCCACATTACAGTGTGTTTCTTCTGTGGAATCACTTGTGAGGTCCGACAACGAAGTAGATTTCTCCAGGTCAGTAGTCTGATCTTCCTGTTTCTTCTTTTTGTTCCGTTTGGCTTTTGAAGCTTCAGAAAATTGAGCTTCGGTGGATTCAATGCTCGATTTCATTCTTGAGATCCTCGCGAAGTCTTCGGAAGACTGGGTAATTTCTTAAACACTTATATTGTAAAACGAGATTAAAAATGGTAAAACTTTCTAGAATGTATAATTTTAGGTCAAACTTCTGACATTTGGGCAATAAAAATAGACAGAAGCTAAAAATAAAAATTATTGGCTAAAAATTTTTAGAGTTAACTAAGCTTCTCTGAAAATGTTTACTGTTACTTAAACCTCAAATTACTTACCGTCTCGTGATGAATCCGACAACTTTCGGGCGCGCTTCAAACCGCCTTCAACGTCCGAATCCCTAATATCACCCGACTTCCAGGGCCAGGTTGAGAAAATCCTATGTCGCAGACGCATCACATTCGACCGTCAACTGTGTAAAAGTGACAACCGCTTGTATTATGAAACCGTTTTTTTGAAATGAAAAGAAAATATTGAACTGTAAACAAAATTTGCATATTTGATTTTTTTTCAAAATTTCGCGAATTCCGATTTTTTTTTAAATTTCAGTTGTCACATTTTTTAAAATCAACATTTCGAATTTTAATAGATTTGTTTATGTGAATATACTTCATGTCACAATAATAAAAAGGTGTTTTTCATTTTGAAACAGAGAGAAACGGAGGCGAGTTATAAAATACGAAAAAGTAGTGATAAAAAGGGGATATTAGCCGTTGGCGGGGTTGATAATGAAACAGGATGGAATTGGTGAGACGGCTGTGCGAGTAACGTACATTTACTCTTCTTCTTCCTCTTCACCTGAAAGTCAAATACGATATTTAAATCTTTAAAAAATATTTTTAAAAACATTTAGCTTTTGCAATATACGTCATATAAATTCGAAATTGTTATAAAAATACATCTTATAAGCCTAAAATCGGGCCCACAGTAAATTATTTACCTTCTTCTTCTTCCACAACTTCTTCCTCGGCCGGCTTCTCCTCCTCAGCTGGCTTCTCTTCGGCTTCGGTCTTGGCGGGCGTTGGTGGGGCATCAGCCTTGGCGCCTCCCTTCTTGGACCATTCTGGCTTCTCTGATTTTTGTTGTTGCTGAAATTTGGTAAATTTTAAGTTGAAATTAAGCACGCAACGTATTTTACACATTGATTACTTAAAATCTAGTGTTCGGTCATTTTTGGACGAATTATGGTCAAAATCATCAATTTATAAAGTTATACTTAAAAAGTTCAAAAGACCATCCGCAACTCACTCCCCTTTGTACAACAACTCACCTTCTTGTTCAAGACATCCAAAGCGTTCTCCTTCTTGACGACCTTGAGTTGGGAGCGGAAGTCGGCCTTCTCGGTGGCACCACCTTCGCCACCTCCGGCGGCGGCCTTCTTGAACTTGTTGTCGTATTTGGAAACCTTCTTCAAGGTGGGCTTAACGAATTTACCGCGCAAGTCGTTGACGGCGATGGTGAGTTCGTTGATTTGGGCGTCTTTCTCGCTGACCAAGGCGTTGATGTCGTACTTCTCTTCCTCGAGCTGTACCATGCGGGAGAAGAGCTCGTTGTAGATGGACTCCAATTTGCCTAAAAAATCATTGTTTAATTTTTTCCCCAAAATGCATAAAGAATGCAGCTTTCAAATTATATTATCCATGGCGAGACCTCATGGTTAATATCGCTTTAAAATCTGTTTTTTATATAAAATTAAAAACAAAACTGATTGAAAGATTCGTAAGATTGTTGTCCATCTTTTGCTTACCCTTGTCGTCAATGGTGTCGACATCTGGAAGAGGGACGATACGTTTTTGGAGGACCTGTTGACGTTCTTGTTCGCGTTTCAATTGTTGTTGTTTCAAGTCTTCAGCGGCTTTGATCATCAACAATTTCTAAAAATATGGTCATGAGATCTTAGCCAAGAATATCTAATCCATTACTCTGCTTGACAGCAGTATTTTTGGAAGAAAGCATTGTTTAGGCAACAAACTGCCCAAAATTAACAAAATAAAGCTAAAAAAGTATTTTTGTTAAATACAAAAAATTGTTTTGAAAACTTACACGGAGTTTCTTCTTACGTTCAGGTGTGAGGAAACCCTTCTTGGCCTTCTTCTTGGAGCCGGCTTCTTCCAAACGCTTACGGACTTCGGCCTTCTTGCGTTCGCGTTCTTCAGCCTTCTTCTTGGCTTCCTAAAATACAGAAATAGCATTTTCTAACCGATTTTGAACATTTTTTAATAAAGATCAAAGGAATTTTGGCAAAAATTTGCTTTTGCAAAAATATGTCGGTCATGTTTCTTCGTATAAAATGTCGCCTTTAGAAAAAAGTTTTCCATACAATATTTTGTCCGCATTTCAGGTAAAATAATGTAAAAGTGAACGAACTTTAGCATATTGTTACTTGTATTTTACAAATTTGGACTTACATCATCACCACCAGAGGCTGGGGCAACTTCTGGCTCTTCATCTCCACATGGACCGCCGAAGCGGAGTTCTCTGAAAGAATCGGTAAGTTAGTCTGATTTTTGTTTTTTGAAGGTGTAATTGGAAGTGTTAGGGAAATTAAATTGTAAGGAAGATTTTAAGCACAAGATTGGGCTGATAAAGTTAAGTTTTGGCGTAGAAATTTCGCTTTTTGTGGATTCTAGTTATATTGTAGTAGACTCGTTTGGTGTTGAGTTAGTTCTTTAATAAAAAGAAGTGTTTGTATGTGTTAGATTTTGTAAAATACCTCGTTTGTAAGGGTTTAATTTTTAGACAAATAAAACAACTTAAAAAGGTTATTACGATATAAATTATGTTATAAAAAACAAAATGTTAATAACAAAAATTTTGATTGTAAAAAACGTATGGTATTATTATATTAGTGTTAGTATAGTGCTTTTTATTATATTAGAGACTGGGTTAGTGTTTAGGTAATGTTTTTAAAATATTCATAGCATTGTTGATGCTAATTTTGTTGTTATTGATCGTTATCACCACAAAATCAATAATAATAATATAAAATATAACATAAAATACAATATTCAGAAAATTCCAAATACAACCAACCACAATCACGCCAATCATGTACAAATACGGGAAACGCCTACGCTCACAACACTTCCAAGAACGACGAAAAAAGCCAAAAAACTCACTCGAAATAGTCGGCCATTCCGCTGGACGTGGATCAAATCAGACTGAGTGAGTGCAGTTTTTGTTTCCACTGCCTCAGGGTTGAGAGTGGGTGCCGTACTCGAAGGTGTGTGAAAAAGCAAAATAGCGGCCGTCGGCTGAAGAGAGTGGCAAAAGATCAGTGAAAGTTTGGGGAAATAGTGGGATGATTAGGATAGATAACAGAGAAGGGGATCGGACAGACGGCAACGCCGAATGGGGACAGTCTTGGCCGCCTGAATGGGAAGCGGGGGCGATCTGGGGGGCTCGGATATGAACTAGAGCCTGATCGGCCAACGGCAGCTGGTTGATTTGGGTCGGCTTTGGGCCGCTGTGTAGGGAGGAAAGACTGGGGGTTTCTTTGGTGGTCTGGCATTTTCTTTCGTCTTTTCTTGAACGATCTGGTACTTCTACTTCTATCGTCTTTATCATTTCTTATGGTTTTATTTTAGCACTATTTTCATAAATGTCAAGGTTTTCTCTCAATTTTCGTTATACTCTAAATTTTCTGACCATCTCGCAATTCTCATTTCCTTGTAATATTACTTTTCTTGAACTGCTAGGTAAAACATTGGTTTAATTTTTTGTGTTGTCTATAGGGTTATGCCGCACAAGCAAAGTAGAAACGAAAAAAAATGTTAAAAGATGGATTTTCTTTCCGCCTACAATTCTTGACCTAATGTTATCTTTATGGCTTGATCCAGGTGGACAGAGCTATGAAAAAATTATTGTTTTTTGCGGACCAACATAAAAAATAGTGGTCATAACTGCAGTTATAATTTACCATTGTTTAAAGATGTTCTCAAGAATTTAGGTTTAGTATTCTTAAGTTTTTTAGGTTCATGGAGGCTTAAAACAGGTTTCTTATGTTTTGGCTTTGTAAGTTATGGTTGTCACGCGTCATCTTTAATTGTGCAGCAGGATTTGTCATTTTTAATATTTCAGGTTATTAAAAAAGATTTACTTCTTTTGTCATAAATTTCTTTTAGTTTCAAACTTATTGTTGGATAAGGTAATGTTTTATTTTTCTGCACAAAAATCTCTTGCCTGTTAGTAGGTACTGTTTTGAACTATAGATTATACATATTTTTACACAAAAATGCGCTCTAAAACTAAAATAAAGGAGAAAAATACAAGAGAACACAATATGTAACAAAATTTACAATTAAATATATTTAAATTTTCAAATCATTTTAAAATTTCAATTTTATAAAAGTTTTAATTTTAAAACTCAAAATATTAGCATAGCCACACTCTTTGAACTCTACTTTGTTGTTATATTCGAAAGTATTTCGAATAAAGTGCGTAAAAAATAAATATCAAGCAGCCTGAGGGCAATCACTCTCGCCCACGTTTCGGCAAGAAACAACTGTCACTTATAACAGGACTTGAGGGTGGAAAAAACAAGAAAACGACATATTAATCAAATTAATTCTATGTCCCACAACGACATATTTTAGCCATTATTCTATTCGTAATGTCATTTTTGACACAATGAGGTTTGTTGTTGTTTTGGAGAACTTTATATGGTCTAATATTTACTTCGAAGAATAGTTAAATAGTTGTCAACTAAATATAATATCATACTTACAACATAAAAAATTTATTAAACAGGCAATTTAAAACAACAATAATACTAAAAGTAAAGAAAAAATAATTTAATACCCCTGGCAAGGCATTCGGCAGTTTCGCTGCTCTAATTCAGACGCCAAACATGAGGGATCGTCCAGATCGATTATGTTATAGCGATGTACACGGCGTCGACGAGTTTGAACGCCTTCTCCACATTGAGTTGAGCATGGCGACCAGGAGGACCATCGACCAACTCGGCATGAGGAACGGGCTAAAGATAGAATTTTAAGCATATCACATATCAGAGAAACATAGTGCAATCTTTATCAGGCTTAGGCGTAACAGAGTTAGGCTTAATGATAACTTACCACAAGGTCGATTGTCGCAATGCCGCTCTTGGATCATGTGTTCGGATGGTGGACAAGGGTTACCTCCGTTTCTTGGTACAGCCTGCAATTTACTTGATATTACAGTAAAAATGGTCGATTCTTTTTGTCTTAATAATCAAAGATTACCTGAATAGCTCGAGTTCTGGTCCTCTTTCCCTTACCACAGGTCACAGAACATTGTGCCCAAGCCGACCATTCCGAAATTTGGCATGGTACTGGTGGTCCGCCATCATCAATATTGTCATGGCTGTCAAATGCGTTGAATATTTGATGTCCTGGTACTGGAATTATAACGGTGATTACCGGGCTTTTTGAAATTGGGTAAAAATTGATTTCTGTTTTAGTAAAGTACTTACAAATCGCAGCATTGTGTGTATACCCAGGTACACATAGCAATTTACATTCTTCTTCCGTTTCAAATTGGTTTCGGTTTCCTTTACAGCCAGTGTAGATGAATCTTTCACATCGGTTGGTCTGATTATTGTACCAGTATCTAGGAAAGGTACCACCACATTGACCTTCTTCCTTTTCTTCTTGGCAGATTTCTAAAATATTCGAGTTTTTAGATTAAGATTTTTGTAGTTTTTTTACTGTTCAACACCTAGAGTTGTATCTTCATATAATTTTACTTGTAATGTCTTCCTCTTACCTTCAGAATAAGTACTGAGTAGCCGTTGACATGAATAAACGTTGCACTTTTCTTTTTCCATTAGATTCACGTTCGAACATTCTTGTTCATGCTCGGCGTAGAAGAACAGTCGAGTTCGAACACGAACACCGTCATCGCATGAAGCGCTACATGGACTCCATTCACTCCATGTTGTTGTTTGACATAATGGGTTGGGTTTTACTGAACAGTCGGGTCCGTTTTCACCTGCAATAATAATATTTGTGGCAAAAATTTAAGCACTTAGGCTTAGGTTCAGTAGGCTTAGGTTTAGTAATATTAGGTTTACTAAGCTCATGCTTAGGCTTGGTAAGGTAAGCAGGTTTGAGCGCCATAGCACATTGGAATTTTTGTTTTTACTGTAATTTTTTAAATCTATTAGGTAATGTTTCATCGCAGAAACATGCAGTTAGAGTGCCGTACTCGCAGTCATTTGTTGGGTCGTTTTACATCGAGGCAAAAGTGATATAAAACCATAATATAACATAAGAAAAAGTTGCGCAACACGAATTCTTGCAATTTCTCTAAGGCTATCTTGTTATGTTATATATTAGGTAACACTGTAAAGTTCTTTGTAAACGTAACAATCTGGTTAAGTAATTTGAACCGTAATCACATTATTAAGTATAACATTTGCAAGCTTACCAATACACCGTTCTCTGGCGTGAAGTTCAACTTTACAAGTGCCTTCTTGACTTTGGTCCAACAGTTTTCTTTCTCTAGTTCGAATTCCACTACCACAGGTAACCGAACATTCTGACCATGAACTCCAGGTTTCGACCGAACACTTCGTATTGAAGGCTTCTGAATCCGCACCACATTCGTTGATTTTGGCGTTACAGAACTGACGTTCCGTGGTTTGACGATGACAGTGGAACATTTGGGCCTAAAAGTGGGGGTAGCTTAGATTTTACGTCATTTTTAGAGGAGCGTAGTTAGAGTATTTACAGTAACCTATAATTAAATTGTGGAACTATTATAAATCGTATTTTACCTTGATAGGAAAAGTGAAAACTCTGCTGCGCATTCGGATGCCTTTTCCACATGTAGCCGAGCACAATGACCATGATTCCCAGTTGCTCATCGTGCACTCACGTCGATCTTTGTATTCCTCATCTTCTGAAGTGTTAGTAATGTTGTGGGCTTCTTGTTTGTACTGTTCTTCTGTTCTACATCCAAACATGTTTGTGGTTTGCTTCTTTTTAATGGTCAATCGGCCCATTGGTGACACTTCTTCGGCCGCTTCATCATAAAACGGGTTCTTTTTGTCGGTTTTTGTGGTGATTCTGGCAATCGGTAGACGAGGCTCGGCTGGGTTGTTTGGCGACTAAATTTAGGGGTATTAGATGCTGGGCAGTGCAGGAGTGAAAAAGAATATTCGAGGTGGTGGGGAGGGACGAAATGAAGGGTATTCAAAATTTAAAAAAATATTCTAACCATATAAGTAGCGCCATTATCAGTACCAGCATCATAAGGTAACAAGTCAAATGCTCTTTCATCGACCCAAGTACAGTCAGGTAAACATAGGTTGATTCCACTAACTCCTACAAACCAGTCAGGGGACGGTCCGAACATAGCGGCCATTGAAGCAAAATGGTGGTATTTGTTTACATGAAAACGACCTGAGGTACGACCAGTGACTTCTGGATACCATAAGCCTTTCATTTTGATTATTGTTCTGACTTCGGAGGCCTGAAAATTAGAGACTTATTATAGCTTTCTAAGTAATCATAGCTGTAAGTCTAGCGCTCGCAGCGTTTTTATATATAATTAATACAAGCCTAAATTTAAAATTTATAAGAAAATAATTCTCTTACATTAGCCTTCATTTCGGCTTCTCCATTATAGGTATTTCCCCACTCAGCGATTTCCTTTAGACCGTCTGTAGCAATGTCTCCAACTCTCCACATTTGGTATTTCTTACTGTGACTTGCTCCCAAAACATCAGTGAAGTGGGTCAGGTGCTCTACTAAAATTAAATTTATTGTAATCATAATTTTTTTTTATGGTAATTATCATAAAGTTACTATAACTTTACAAACTTACAAGAAGGAAACTCTTTAGGATGGGTATCTTTGCTCCAGATTCCAACGAATTCCACGTCGTAATCAGCTTCATCGCATGCGCAACATTCAGCTGTTAGGTCATCTTTGGGGACATTCTTTTGGTAATCATCTATAAAAATTTTAATTTTTAGCAGTATGATTAGGCTAAGCAGGCGTAGGCATAATAAGCTTTAACTAAACAGGCTTTTGTTTGTTAGGCTCACGCTTAGTGCCCTTAGGCTTTAATTTAAGGCTTATTCAAAACATCAGTACTAAAAATTAAAAATAAATAAAAAACTTACTGATAATGCAAAATTCCTTCTTTAAATCAGCTTCAGCGCCGTACCATATTGATTTGGACTGAATGATTGAAGCTTGGAATAGTACACAATCAGTACCAGTTTCTGGAGCTCTCCAGATGACTGAAACGGCTGTTTTTGGTCGTAGATTTGAGTGGGAAACTCCAGCATTTCGGCAATTAGGGGCTACACGGGCTTCTGGGCGACGGGAACGGTCCTAAATTTGAATATTAGTAACTTAATTGCTTGATATTGGCCTTTTTACCTTAAGGCACTATTTTTTTTGTTTTTTGAAAATTTGATATTTTCTAGAAATTTATATCTAGCATTGTAAATATAACTTTACCTTATCCAACTCAAATCTGCCAGCCGGTTTTCCGTTTTTGAACTGTGCGGTAACTCCAAAACCTCTAAATGTCTGTACGATGTATTCAGTTCGTCTTCCTTTAACATGTACAACATAAAGGTGGCCAGGTATGTATCCTGATACTAATTGGCCTTCTTTTCCAACTTCTTCGATTTCCAACGTAAAACCGTTTGTACCAGTTTGAGGAGGTCCTTTGGCTTCGTATAGCCGCTGTCTACATTCTGGCTTTGAGTATGCTATGTGAAGGAGTATGAAAAATAGGAATACGGGGTTTAGGGATGACATTTTAACCCTGAAAAGTTGAGTTTGAATTTAAAATTGAAAATTAGCAAAAATTGGTTAAAAATACAGATTTTTTGCAAAAATTTTTCAAATCATAATGAATAAAATTTTTAAAAAGTTACAAAAAATCTATTGCAAGTTAAATTTACTGGTCAAAAGACCAATTTTCTTAAAAAACCAGTCAGTTTAAACTGGTTATTTTGCCCAGTTGGCCTCAAAAAATGAAAAAACGGCGAATCGCGGGCTCAATCAATTTTCCCGAATGGTCTATTATAATATTACAATTGAACCTAAGCCGAGCTTGGCCACGAAAACGCTCTTTCTTTACAAATATTTTAAAACCTAGGTTGTTTTGAGTTTTTTCATGCGGTGATTTTTAGTTCCATTAAGTTTTTATACGGATTTTACCTAAAAGGTCACAATTGTTCTAAAAGTTATAGAACAATTCTTTCAATGATCACAAGTAGACATAAGGAACGGACCGCGCCTAATTTCAGGCCCGGCCCAACCTAAATTTGGGTCGGGCCCCGGCCTGTTCTCATGTCTAATCACAAATAACTGTAACATAATTGGAAACGAAGACAGAAAAATTTAATAAACTTTTAAAAGTATGCCAAAAACCCCTAGAGGTCAAATTTCAACTTAAAATTTAATTGTCCTAGTTGAAATTAACCCTTTCAAAGGGACATATGGGCGCTAAAAAGAAGAATAAGATTAATCTGACAGATGTCTCAACTTTCGGCAAAAGAACAGTCGACTCGAATTAATAATTCGTTTCGAAATGTTGTATTTTAGGACCTCGAGGTTGAGTGGTCGGAGTAAAATACGGAAATCTGTTCCAACAGCAATAAAAATTAAAAAAGATAAAAAATGACTCTCTTTGTGTTGGTGCTACTAACAGGGAAACTACCCTACCTGCCCCGCTCAGAATCAGCTCAAAATTTTGATATGAATTCCTTGTACCACCAGTAGTACCCATAAAAAAATTTAGTTCACCTTTTTGAGTTTTAAATTTGAAATATTTGGATTTCCCGCCAAGTCGGCAAATTTGGCATTGTGTTTCAAACACTTTTTTCGACATTTCAGATAACATAGTATTACAAATTTAAAAATGTAGGTCTATTTAAAGGTTTTCTACTAGTATATCTAAGAAAAATTCATAAAAGTCAAAAAATGGCAGGGTTATAAGCCCTGAAACACAATGCCAAGTTGGCGGGAAATTCATAATGTCATTTTTTTATCTCGATTTTCACGAAATTGACTGGAAAGCGTGATTTAATACTTTGCTGAAGGTTTTATATTAACATGACCTTTCTATATAAAAAGTTTGAAGTCAATCAGAGCGGGGCAAGTCGGGCACTTTCCTTGTAAGCAGTACTATAGGAAAAAAATTAAAATCTTTTTCATGTTATAGCTAAAAGGTATGTAAAAAATGTTTTTCTTTCGATAATTCTTGAATTTTTTTTTAATTTTTAAAATTTATAATGTTTCTATAATCACATACAACAATTTCCTTATGTTAATCAATGCATTTTTAAGAGATATAATAATTCAATATTGAACACAATGTCATTTTTGACTACATTTCAATAAAATAGCCAAAATTATTTTTTTTTCTTCCGCCTTACTCTTTGATAGGTATTTCTCAGCTCATAAAACTTGAGTAATAACCTTCCTCAAATGGGTTTTTACTCCGATTTTTGGTTTGTTTTGCACTTTTAAATTCCATTAGGTGACATTCCACAAGACATAAGAAGGGTGTCATGTGATGGTGTGACATATTGTGGAAGGTATGTGGTGAGAGTTGGTATTATCTTGATTTTTTGATAATGTTTTTCTTTTTTACTTAAAGTTTGAAAATTTTGAAAGCTTTTAGGCTGGAAATGAAAATTAAAGCCTCTGGGCCAAAATTAAAAATTTTAAAAATTATTCGGAAAAAATTGAAAAAGTTTCAGCACCTTCGTGCCAAAAGTGAAAAATCTGAGTATTATAAGGTCAAACAGAAAAATTTTAATTACTTTTAGCTATTAGGTGCCGACATAAAGAACCCGCCATTTTTTACACGAAATTACGTCCAAAGTATGGCGGGTACTTTATGTCGGCACCTAATATTTAAAAAATATTTTTTTTTGTTTTTTTCAGCACTAGTGCAACATCAAAATTATCTTTTTACAATTACAACATTTGGCAAACCATCACTTTTGCCAAAACTAATATTAATCATGACAGCTTTCTCCTGTATGTGATGATGTTTTGCTCATTGTAAAGTAAGGGCATTTCGAAAATAAGGAAAGTAAATGAGAGACACAACATAAAAATTCCGTTGCGCGCCTTTTTTTTCAGACGAAAAAAAAATTTCTTTTGAAAAATCGGTTTTACGTGATTAGAAAAAGTTGAACGAGTGGTCTATTAAGAATGTTGTGGTAGATTGAAAGATTGTCGGAGGGCAGGGATTGGCCGGGTTAAAATCTAACTTTGTAAATAATATCTTTAGGTGTCATAGGGCTGGGTTCTGTTAAAGAGGAAGATGGTAGAGAGGGTAGGATTTGGGCTAGGGCTTGTGTTAAGGCTATTAGGGGCCGACATAAAGAACTCGCCATGCTTTGCCTGTAATTTCCTGTAAAAAACGGCGGTTTCTTTATGTCGGCACCTAATAGAACTAAGGCTAGGGTTAAAGGATTGACTTTTATGCTAGCTGATGGTAAAAGGGTCGGTTGTTTTTAAATTTTTGATTATTGTACATTTCTTGAAACACTGTTTATATTGGAAATTTACTATAGATGCATAGACTATATGTGGGCATGTGTTTTGTAGTGCTTTCCGAAATTTTATATAATTCTGCATTTTAGTATTATATTACCTGACTGTTACGACATTTAAAAAATTTTTTTTTTGAAACTACTTTTGCGTGTGGCATTTTTATTTTTTACTTGATAAATTTAAAAACTTACGAACAAAATTTTACTAATTTTTTTTTGTGAAACAGACCTCCTCTCATTTGCTCGCTTTTCTTGCTTTTATAACGTACAGTAATACCTTATAAAGTTCAGTACAACTATTCTCATTTTCTCCGTATGGCATTAAAATGCAAATCAAACAAGGAAATAGACGTAGGCTTTTGTTGGAGGTGGTAGGAAATATTAGATTACTTGTGTTTTAAAACAAAAAATCTGTTTGTAAGTTTTTGACGGTTTTTTCTTTTCAGTTAGAAGCGTTTTTTCCCCGAGAGCGGGACTGAAAATTCGCAATTATATTTATTACTGTTTACAACGTAACCTGTAATCGGAAAAGGGTTTCAAAGGGCAACGGCTTTACGTATCAACTTTTTATGGGAATTTGTACATTGAGAAGTATCAACTAATTTTTAAAGTATTTTTTTATTGTTTTGGGTTGATTAAGATGAGTTTATTAGGTTAAGTCTATGCCCAAAATTATTAAGCTTTAAGTTATATCAAGGCTAATTCTACTGGATCTAAACCTAATAAGTTGTTTAAGCTTAAGCCTACTAACAAGGAAAGTACCCGACCTGCCCCTCTCTGATTAATTTCAAACTTTTTCTATAGAAAGATTATGTAAATATAAGACCTTCAGCAAACTACTAAATCGCGCTTTCCAGGAAATCTCGAGAAAATCGAGATCAAAAAATTACGTTTTGAATTTCCCGCTATGTTGGCATAGTGTTTCAAGCTTATAACTTTGTCATTTTTTGACTTTTAGGAATTTTTCTTTGATATAAATACTATTAGAATACCTTTAAATGAACGTATATTTGTAAATTTGTAAGCCTATCTTATCTGGAATATCGAAAAAAAGTGCTTGAAACACTATGCCAAATTTGCCAAATTGGCGGAAAATCAAACTAATTCAAATATAAAACTCAAAAGCGCAAGCTTGCTAAACTTAACAACCTAAAAATTGTAAGCAAACGTGAAAATCTGTTTTGATTTTTTATTTTTGAATTTACAAAATAAATTGTGTTGATTATAATGAAAAAGTGTTTTTTTTGTTTCAACGTTCCTCGAATTTAATTACCCGTGATTTAAATATTTTTCGAACCTTTCATTGTTTAATTCAAATTTCAAACTTGAAAAGGTTAACTTTACTTTTATTTTTAGGGGGTTCTTAAGTTTAAATGTTTTTATTTTTCATAATTTTATTAGGTCTACAAATGTCACTTTAATAACATAAAAATAAGCCTTTTTTGAAATTGCTAGATATTTTTACCCCGCCCAATACAACTTGATTTTTACAGTAATTTTCTATGGTATCTTGACTCATAGTACAAACAATCCTTTTTTTTATAACAAAAACGGTAAAATCAATTGTCATACATATCGATTTTAAAGTTTAAACGATGACTTTAAGTACTTGTAAAGCACTTAAACCTTGTCATACGCGGTTTCACAATGTTATTTGTTTGTATTGTAATGGCGAATTCCGTCATATTTGTTTTGTAAAAATCATTTGGGGGGATCTGTTCGCTTTTTCAATGGTTTAAATTTTAAAATTTAAAAAATTGGAATTTTTTTTGTGTTTTAACTTAATTTACTGTTTATTACTGTTGTATAAATGGTACTATTTTGAATTTTTAGTATAAGGGGGGGGGGAGGGACGGGGAAGGGAGGTTTATACAGTATTAAGGAAAAGAAAAGGGATACATTCCTGGGAGTAGGTAGGGCAGTGTTGCATTTAGAGGAACCAAGGTATATAAGAAAGCAAGGAAAAGATATCTGTTTAGCTATAGGGTTAAGCAGGTTTAGTGTTTGCATAACCATATTATCGACGATATATTCATTTGTTACGTGGATTTGATTATTAATACCAATTAAAGGCGATTTATACGTTTCGATGACATTCCGTATGTTTGTCGCCTTGGCTTTAACAAAAGCTACTTTAAGGGTCAGGGTAGGGGGATAAAAGCATAGTAAGCCATGGTAGCGTAGGATAGGGTAGCGTAGGGAAAACCTGGTCAGGACAGAGCAGGACAAGCCATTTACAGGGCAAGGCAGGACAGGGCAAGGCAGTAGTATTTCATTTGTCTTCTCTATTCTTTTGGGATCTCTGTACTCAATGCAACCTTATCCTACTCTACTATAATAGAAAGCCACTAAACCCAGCCTACCCCTAATTCCATCCAATTTTTTGATTAATCTAGCCATTTATTGGTGTTGTGTTTCAAAAAAACGAGCGATTACAACACGATTTGCAGCCAGCCGGATTATTTTTTCGGATCAGCGCATTCGAAAAAAAAAACTCCCCGAGAACGGGTGTGGGGTTAAAGCGTGAAAATAGCGAACAGATTAAATGAGCGTTTATTTATGTTATGTATTATATTGTTGTAGGTTGTTTGTAGGTGTTTACAATGGGGTTCAAAGTAGGTATTTGGGGAATTTCAAATGAAAACAGCATTTTTTTAGTTTTTGGTAAAGTATTTTAAAGCTGAATTTTAAAAAATTTAGGTTAGATAACTTATATAACGGAGAAGGGGAGGTTTACAAGAGGCGAGGGGGTTAAATTTTAAAGGTTTTAGGGCATAGAAGTTCAGAGCTGGGCATTATAAGGGGGGGGTAAGGATGGGTAGGATAGGGTAAGGTAGGGTAGGGTAGGGTAGGATAAGGCAAGCCAAGGCAAGGCAAGGTAAGCCAAGGTAAGGCAAGGCAAGGCAAGGCAAGGCAAGGCAAGGCAAGGCAAGGCAAGGCAAGGCAAGGCAATATAGGTAGGGTAAGAAATTATGGCTTAGGGCAGGGTAGCTTTTTCTACGTAATTTCATCAAACCGCTGTAATAACTTTTATTGCAACTTTTCCATCTTAAAACATTGAACTGTTTAGTGTTTTCAACTCGCGATAAATTATAAAAAGTAAGAAAATGGGTTCGATTAACGGAAATCAAGGAAATTTACTTTGTAATGAACGTTGTATCAATGTTTTTGGAACTTATTCGTCTACTAATTTTGAGACAATTTTATAAAAATAATTTTTAAAGGGGGGGGGGGAGGAGAGGGTTAATTTTTTTTGCGAAATTTGTGTTATCCGCGTATTTTACTTATGATATAAATTTTGTTTAAATTTAAAAAAATGTTTTTTTAGGAAAAATTTTCAAAAGCCTTCAAAATGGGCTTTGTTCACACCGATGAGTACTATCGGTGCTGTTGTATGAAACATGTTCATGTAAGTTAGACAAGCATTGAAAAATTTTAAAAAAGTTTTAAATTTTTTAGGTATAAATTTAAATTTTTTCAAATTTTATAAATTAATATCTAAAAAGAGTTTTAGATATTAATTTTAATTTTTAAACAATTCTAAGATTTTTAGTCACAATTAAAAATTTTAGAAAGGCTGTTTTGTGATTGGAGTGATTGGCCTTGTATTGGCCACAATAACGGCCGTTTGTACCTTTATGGATGGGTTGATTTTGCTTGGTATAGGAGCAGCTATACATGCGTTCTGCTACTTATTGCTTCTAATTGGGAATCGAAAAAGGATACACAAGCTTTTCCTACCTGTACTGGTTGTTGGGGTAAGTTAATAGGGGTAAAATACGTGGAATAAGGCAGAACGCCTGAGAGGTTATGCCTGCTAAGCTTAAGGCTAATAAAATGATCTTCAATACCTAATTTGAATCCATTATACTTATAAAAAAACTTAAGTTTACTGGTCCTAAGCCTAAGCCTAACAATATTAAACCTATTAAAAAATTAAAAATTTTCAGATCATTGCCATAATTGTGTACGCAGTATTTGTAACCCTACAAATCATCTCGTTAGTTCAACTCTTCCAAGAATCTCCGGCTACAGAAAATGAGCACGAATACAGTAATCGTCTCTCACTTTTGATCATCAATTTGGTATTTACAGTACTATCTCTACTCTTTTCTCTATACGCCTTTTATGTCATCTACCGTGATTATTGGTATTTGAGGGACGAACCCAAAAAATACCTTCACAATCCTCAAAAGGTAGTCACTGAAGTCAGTGTAATACAACGAACGCCCGACAATGTCATGGTGGGTCGGGAGTTTATTGTGGTTGACAAACATAGCACTTCTACTGCTTCTACACATTCATCGTAATAGACTGTATTTCAATTTTGTCAGCCTTTTTTTACTTTTAAAATAATTTTTTTTCAATTTTAAAAATTTTGAAATTTAAAAAATTAAAAATATTTTTTGAATTTTTATAAAATTTTTAAATTAGCATTGAACGCGTATTTTAATTGTCTATAACTGCTCAGTCATTTTCGAACTAATAATTTTTTACCGCATGTACATATTATTACATATTACACTCGATACCATTATAAGTATACCACTACATCTTCACTAGCCTAAATGCATTTGAATTGTCTATAACAATATAAAACAGCACATTGTAACGCATCGTATCTTTGAATTTGAAATAAAATCGATAAAACGCAGTGATTGAACATCATGGGACTTATTAGGTGCCGACATAAAGAACCCGCCATTTTTTACAGAAAGTTACAGGTAAAGTATGGCGGGTTCTTTATTTCGGCACCTAATATTTAGTTTTCGTTTTTGAACTTCAAAACAAAAATTATTTCGAAATATGCAAATTTACTCAACATTATTAACAAAAAAAGTCATTTTCAAATATATTTTAGTCTAAAATTTTTATTTTGTTGCTTTTGTGGAGCCCGGTCTTCGGTCGGTCTACTTCTCCACAATTGTGATAGCAACAAACCTTTTGAAACTTGTGAGCAGAACTTGTTCCTTTGTGGCCAAACAGCTAAAATACAGGTAATTTTGGTATTGGCTTGCACTGTTATTGGGCCAATTCAAAAGTTGAAGTTCCCGGAAGGTTCAATTGTTCAGAAATACGGTAGGAATACTGTAAGTTAATGTTTTTATATTGAAGTTCAGGCCAAAAATTATAATTTAGAGTACAGTAAATTCCCTTTTTGATGAGTTTAAAGTATTTAAAAGCTTACTGTAACTTTTTTTTAAATTTTTTAAATTTCAGGCTACAGTATGGCATGCCAATTTGACAGTATGAAAGATTTGTGGTCCGAACCTCAAGTTGGTGCAATTTGGGACGAAGAAAAGCTGGGAAAGAAGAAAGAGGTACTAAAGGACCATGGAGATGTTGAAGAAGAGGACAAAACCCATCTTTTGTTACCTAATTTCATGGCTGAGGAGCTAAGCTGCCAGAAAAATTTTAGGTAGGGCGGATTGTTGTTTTAAAATATTTTATGAAGCTTTTTAAAATTTTAAAAATTTTTTTAATTAAAAAAAATTTATCTTTTAGTGTCGGCACAGCCACATCAACCTCATGTTACCGTCCGCCACGCAGTATTGGAGATCATCCGACGTTTTTTCAACCAAAACCACTGAAACCTACAGTATCTGTTGAGCCAGCTAGCCCACAAGTTTTACCAGTAGAGTCAGCTAGTCCAGAAGAGGTAACAGTTGAGCCAAGTAATGTAGAAAGTGAACTACGCGACATCTGGAACGACGGTCCGTTGATGACATCTACACCTCGGTTGTCTGCCTTCAATTACGTACCTGGAGCTTTTCAATCAAATTACAGTAACTTTGAACATGAAGCATGCAGTAATGACGACGGTTACGGTAACTTGAAGAATGGTGGATACGGTAGCGATAGAAACGATAGATGTAATCGTCTTATTAATATCAATGGTGGTGGATATGATGGCTACAGTAATCTACATGGAAATGTCTACAGTAACTTCAAACAACCTGACTATAGTAATCTCAAATCAGCTGATTACAAGGATCTCAACAATGGTTACAGTATTCTTAACCAAGGCAAATTTTTGCCAAATTACTGTAATTTTCAACAAAAAACCCCCAACGGATACTGTAACAACCTAAGAGGCTACAATTATGGTTCAACTTGCACCAGTAATACCTATAGTACCGCAGGCGAATTGACGACCAGTAGCTCTAAACCGGAAATCTACTCGTATTTTGACAAGTTCAACAATTGCCAGAACCAAAAGCTGCTCCAACGGCACCAGTTGTACCAATTGGACCAAGAATTTGGACAATTCGGTCAATACTCTCAACCTGGACAGCAGAACCAAATGTCCGCTCTTGAGAGCCAGTTGAGCTTTGAGCAATGGTGTACCACTCAGTCCAAACTGAGCCAGTTGGACCAACTGAAAAGTCAAAATATGAAGGTAGCTAATGGTAGCATATTCGGCCAGCCAAGCCATTCTACGCCGATTTTTCAGCCAAGCTTGATGGAGCCGGCCTTGTACCAGTCTAGCTCCATTTATCGACCAAACGATGTGTTTAACTCTGGTTTTGGAAAAAGAGAACCAGTTGGCCAAAAAACCGTACCACTTGGAACGCCTTTTGAGAAGATACCACAACTCAACCAAGGAGTACCATTGGGACCATTCAATTTACAAAGTGGGCTGTTTGGACAAAGTATAAACCAGAGTGTACCATATGGAAAAAATGGTAAACAACGTGGACTATCTTGTCAACCTGTACCACTAAACTTTTATAATTATGAGAGTGTAGCACTTGGCGGATCTACTAACCGAGGGGTACCATTAGGATTATCGATAAGCCAAACTGTACCAGTTCGCTCCACTATCAATTCTAATGTATCTTTAGGTTCATATTCCAAATACAGTGTACCAAATCGCCAATCAACCAATCATGGTGTCCCGCCGCGGTATATACCATACCTACGCACCTCCAACGTTACCACGCCCACTTCCCATTTGAATACGGAACAGCAACAAGGCTCCATTTCGCGCAGTAAAATGGTCTACATTGAGAAGTTTGGAGGATTCGGCGGAAACTGTGGCGAATTCACCGAGCCTTCTGGAGTCTGCGTGAATCCGCGCACCAAGGATATTATCATTGCCGACACGAACAATCATCGGATTCAGGTGTTTGACCAGCACGGGAAGTTCAAGTTCATGTTCGGCAAGTGCGGCCGATGGGAGGGGCAATTTATGTATCCGAATAGGTATGGCATTGATTTTTTAAGTCTAAAATTTAAAAAATTTTTTTGATTTTCCTGCCCCCCCCCCTTCCAATCCTCTTATCTTAAATTACCCCTCCCATTGCTGAGTATCATAACTATTTTCTACGTTTTCAGAGTAGCCATAGACCCAGCAACCGAGAGCTACGTGGTCAGCGAACGTTCTCCAACCCACCAGATTCAAATCTACGATGCCAAAGGCCGTTTCCAACGTCGCTTCGGCTCGGATCTACTCTGTAACCCTCGAGGATTGTGTGTGGATAGCCAGAGTAGAGTAGTGGTTGTGGAATGTAAAGTGATGCGCATTGTCATATACGACATTAACGGCCGACTGTTGAATTTGATCACCTGTGGAAACCACCTCAACTTTCCGAATAACGTCTGTGTCAGCAAGGATTACGAGATCTTTATCAGTGATAATGGTGATCATTGTGTTAAGGTAGGGTTTAGTTTTTGGTTTTGGTAGGCTTAGCATTTGTAGGTTTAGGCTTAGTAAGCTTAGGCTTAGTAGGCTTAGGCTTAGTAGGCTTAGGCTTAGTAGGCTTAGGCTTGGTAAGCTTAGGCTTAGTAAGCTTGAGCTTAGTAGGCATAGGCTTCTAGGCTTATGCTTCAAGGCTGAGGCTTCTAGGCTTAGGCTTAGTGAGATTATCCTTAATAGGTTTTTAGAGAGTAATTTCAAATTTTCAGGTGTTCAACTACTCTGGTCAATTCCTTCGCCGTGTCGGAGGCCCAGGCCTTACCAACTACCCCATTGCCGTGGCCATAACTCCACTAAATCAAGTTGTAGTAGTCGACAACCACAACAACTTTAATGTTACCGTGTTCTCGTTGGAAGGCCAGTTGATAGACGCCTATGAAAGCAAGGTAAAGCACGCTCAATGCTTGGACGCAGCTCTCACTCAACATAATACAGTAATCATGTGTTCAAAGGACTTTAGAACCTATATATACCGATTGGGACAAAGCGGGGATTTTGATGGAAAATGTCAAATGTGTGGCTATATTGGGTGTGGACATCAGGTAAGGGTAGAAATTTGAAAAAGATAGACAGAGTATGGCAATCTATACTTAAGACAGAGTTAACGTGGGAATAGCGGTAGAAATAGGGACAGGAGTAGAGGTAGGATGAAACTATTAGGTGCCGACATAAAGACCCCGCCATACTTTTACTGTAATTTCCTGTAAAAAATGGCGGGTTCTTCATGTCGGCACATAATATAACAAAAATTTTTAAAAAAATTCATAGAACTAATCATTTCAGCAACCAGCCCAGCTCCTAACAGCCCGTGGCTCACCCGTCAACCCATCCACCCCTTCAACTCTGCCATCAACAGTCCAGGAAGATCAGAAAAACATCCGCCGCCTCGAAATCAAAGCCAGTGCCGAGGAGGAATCGGAACGATTGCGACGCTTTTTTATCGAAATCACCATACCCGACAACTGAGAACGCCAAATTTTGTGGACCTAGTCTTATATTGTTGAATCGACCAGTCGATTTTTGTTGAAACCTTGGTTTTTGTCAATTTATTTTGTTTTGAAATTGCTTGTTTATAGAAAAATGAATTAAATAGTGTTATTAGATATAACGTTTGGTTTTTAATTTTAAATTGATGTGTTCGTGGCGGGAATTAAATGTTTTTTGCCTTCTGACAGGGAAAGTACCTTACCTGTCCCGCACAGAATCAGCTCAAAATTTTCAAATGAATCCCTGGTACTACCAATAGTACCCATAAACAATTTTAGCTTGCGCTTTTGAGTTTTAAATTTGAATTATTTTGGTTTCCCGCCAATTTGGCAAATTTGGCACTGTGTTTCCAGCACTTTTATAGATTTTTCAGACAAGCTACACTTACAAAGTTAAAAAACGTAGGTTTATTTAAAGGTATTCTACTAGTACATCAATGAAAAATTCCTAAAATTCAAAAAATAACAAAGTTAAAAGCTTGAAACACTATGCCAATTTAGCGGGAAATTCAAAACAATTTTTTGATCTCGATTTTCTAGCGATTTCCTGCAAGCGCGATTTAGTACTTTGTCGAAGATCTTATATTCACATGATCTTTCTTTATAAAAAATTTGAAGTCAATCAGAGCGGGTCAGGTCGGGTACTTTACTTGTAAGATTTATTTGAAATTAGTAAATATTAAGTGCCGACATAAAGAACCCGCCATATTTTTCCTGTAACTCCTTGTAAAAAATGGCGGGTTCTTTATGTCGGCACCTAATAGTCTAAAGGAGTCAAAAAAATTTTCGGTATATGAAGGATATATAGGCCAGAATATTAAAAAATTAAGAGATTTGACACAATCCTATAACTTATTCAATATCCTTATCCCAGCCCAACTCCTTTATCACTTCTTCCTCGATTTTTGGATCGTATTCCTCTTCAATTCCCATCATCTTCCTCAATTCATTCGGCGTTTTTCCCTTCAACTTCTCCGCCAACTTCTTGCTCCCAGTCTCCAACAACAACGGAATTTCCAAGTAGTTGGCAGCCATGATCAAGTCGTACAACTTATCATCATCTACCTTCATGAACTCGGTTTGCCAGTCGCTCAACTTGAAAGCATGAGGCTCCACCTCGTCTGGATTCCCAAGGATGGGGTCATTCTTGTGGTATTCGCAAAATTCAACGACCTTTTTCAAAATAGCACCATTTAGGTTAGGTAGCGGAATTGGTTCTTCTAGTCCTTGGGTCGCGTCAATGCCAATATGCTTGAACATTTCAGTAAACATTTTGGATTGGCGGACAACGGCGTAGTCGACGGTAAAGGTTTGGTTATCGTTGGATTGGAGAGTAAAGGTAGCCATTTTTGGTGTTAGTAGTTGTGGGAAGAGTTACTAAAAATGGCAAGAATATTATTTTTTCGTAATATAAAATAAGGCTTTCATTATGAATATTATTAGGTGCCGACATAAAGAACCCGCCATTTTTTATAGGAAATTACAGGAAAAGTATGGCGGGTTCTTTATGTCGGCACCTAATATTATTAAAAAGACTTAAAGCCTCATCTATTTAAAACTAAAAATTTTTAAGACCTATGATCAGTGTTTTGCCGGACCAAACGACCGAAACAAAAATTTTTGCGGACCGGACCCAAAAATCGCCGGACCGGAACGGTGAAAAACGCTCCGGACCAAGCCGGGCAAAACACTGCCTATGATAAAAACAATCTTACCTGATAAATAGTGATGGAAGCTGATGGGAAAACACCCCAAACCTGCGCTGTTAATCGACCGAGAAGAGATTGCGCGAATGCCGTACTAACTCTCTACATTGGGCTGCCAAGCAAGCATTCGTTATACGAGCGTATAACGCAATAGCCACGCCAAGCATTGGTAACAGCCTATCCCGCCCAATCTTATGCAATCTTATCTTACACTACTCTAAGTCGCTCTACTTACTTTACATTCTTCAAGAGTCTATCTTGTACTACTCTAGACTGCAGGTTAGAGTAAGCTATGTCCTACCCTACTCTACCGTGCCGTACCATATCTATCGTGCCTTTTTTTAAATTCGAAAATTATTTTTTTACAGTTTTAAAAATTTTTATTTCAATCCATTTTTTTACCAAACTCGGTCACTTTTTGATCATGGACGAAGTTGATACCTCTATTGTAAGTTATTCTTACATTTTATATTCTGTATTTTAAATTTTGGTAAAAACAACAAAATCTAACCTTATATAGACTTTTAGACGTCTTATAGCAACATTACTATTATGGTTTAAAAAAAATTTTTTTCTTAATTTTCAGCCCTCTTCGCAGTCCCGAGCTGTTGAACATCCATTTTTCGACCGGTCTTTGGTGAGTTTTTTCAACCTTTTAAGATTTACCCAACCTTATCCTTTCCTTATATTTTATTACGTGCCGACAATTCTTTATGTCGGCACCTAATATTACAGACCACGCCATATTTTAATTTTATTTATCCTACCATAATATGCTACCTTAATACCTTAATAAGGTAGCATATTATATATATATAAGATACACCATCGAAACCAACCCTCCAACTCCTCACCAGGCCAATACCTACCTTAACACTTACTTTCCAGAAGTTTGCAATTCCAGTGAACCTCCTGCTATGTATTGTGACAATTGCTTTTGTGCTTCGTATTGCTCATGCCACGATGAATGTCAAGAGATATCGTCGAAAGAGAGCCCTAATATTGGCCGATATTTTCGTAGATGACAACGACTTCGACCGGTACAGTAAACTTCTAGAAAGTGCTAATCATGCTGAAAAGAAGTGATCAATACAAGTTTTTTGTACTGTGATTTTAATTAGAAATAAAGTTATTGTCAGATTTAGTGTTACTTATTGAATTTTTAAATTTTTATGATTTTGAAAATTTAAAAAATGTGAATTTTTTTCCTTTTTAATATTACTTACCGGTTGATAACACACACCAATTTAGTTATGACTGTAAGTTATTTTTTGGTTTTGGCCCAAAAGTCCTCGGATTATCTGTAAAAAATACTTTAATTATAAGCCTACAACAATATTTTTTCAGCTTTTTGCCCCTGTCGTTCTTGCCAGTCGATATGTAGGTTAAATATCATTTTTTTTCGATATTGTATTAGGTTAAAGTATCATAAACAAGCTTTTAGCCTTTTTAAAGCTTAAACCGTAAAAATAAGCCTAAACTACGTTTTTAAACCTAAATTACAACGTTTAGGCAACTCACATTCCAATCCAGATGCTTTTGGTCAGTTTCATCATTCTCTGTTCCCTTCGTATCTACATTGCTGTTATGAATATACGAAAGTTCCAAAAGAAGCTCAAGGCCTGTTATGTGCATCCGATTCTCATGGCCGATGAGTATTATGACAACGAAAGCAAATCCAAATCACAGGACGGGAAAACCGCATCTCAGTCCGGTGAAGTCACCAAATCGGCCGAACACACTAGTCCAAATGGCAGCGGTACTTCTGGAACTGGTGCTAACAGTACTGCTGCTTCATCGGCTTCAAACAAAAGCTCTGGAAAATTGAAACCGTTGACTGTAGTACCATTACATAAAAGAACAAAGTCTTCGAGCAGTGGTGGAACCACCGGATCGTGAAGTCATTATGAACATATTAAAATATTGTCTGATCATTAGAAGATCTAAAAGATTAAGAAATAAATTTATATTATTATTCTTGATTATTCTTGGCCAATGCAATAAAAATAGCTAAAACAGTACCCATTCAATGGTCATACGCCTTTGTTCTCCTCATTTTCCTGAATAACATTGAAAAAAGCAGCACTTGACACATTTTTGTTTGCGAGTTAAGTCTAGCTCTAAACAAAAATAATATTATTTTGGACGAAAATCTGCGAATAACTTCGAAATTAAAGATAAAACAATTAAAAATGAATGGAGAATGTTCAAGAAATCCACAACAAGATGCAGAAGCTGAAGTTGAGATGATTGGCGAAGTTTTGAGTGCTATGGTATATTATGAACGACATGCGGCCGACAAGTTTCGAAAACAAGCAAAATCTTTGAGGTATGTGGAGTTATATTGTTTTTGGCTTTTAGGGATATCAAGAGAAAGAAACATAAAAGGTATTTAAAACTTTTCACTGGATTGAGAAAGTTTTATCTAGGCTTGAGCTAATTATATTGTTGTAGATGTCTGGATCACGCAGATCGTATTGCCTTGGGTCCTGCTTTGTCCGAGCACCTCAAAGCAGCTTTGAAATGTGCTGCGGAGAATCAGAAGTTGTTTGATCATATTATAAATTGTGGGAGAGTTATATTCGATGATAATTCCAACTATATCAGTGCTATGAATGGTCTGAAAGAAGGAAAAGTTCCTACCGAACATTATTTGTCCAAAGCCAGGAGCACGTTGAAGCAAATAACACGAGATTGGAGTGAAGAAGGTCGAGAAGAACGTGAAAGTTGTTATAATCGAGTCATTGAGGCTATGAGAACATTATACCCAAATAAGGCGGAGCGTCCCCATGTTAATACTTTGGTTTGTGGTTCTGGATTGGCTAGACTGAATTGGGAGTTTTTGAAGGATGGATTCAGTGTAACGGGGAATGAATTTTCATATTTTATGATACTAGCCTCGAATTTTATGTTGAACGCGTGTAAATTAGTAAGATTGGAATTAATTTATATTGTTTTAGATAGTTCCGGAAAAATTTGTATTGTTTTTGACCTTTTTGATAAAAACATACTTAATGGCTAATTTCAGAAACACCAATTTACTATCTACCCTTACGTATTAGACTTTTCAAACTGTTGGACGTATTCGGACGCTTTGCGGCCTGTCAAGATCCCTGATGTTGATCCATCAACCCAATTGGACAACGAATCTCGTCAGAATTCTTTTTCAATGTGCGCCGGAGACTTTACCTCAGCTTTTGATGCTCATGATAGTATCTTTGACAACGTGGTTACTGTATTTTTCTTGGACACGGCCGCAAATCCTTTCAAATACATTCAAAACATCAAGAAAATCCTGAAGCCAGGAGGACGATGGATCAACTTTGGTCCGTTGACTTATCATTTTGAGGACTCTGAAGACGATTCAATTGAATTGCCATTTGATATTCTGCTACAACAAATCGAACGATATAGTTTTGAAATTGAAATAGTGGAGGAGAACAGAGATTTGCCCAGTTATTATACTCGAAATAAGAGGTCAATGTTGGGATATCAATATAATTGTGGATTTTTTCAAGCAAGATTGAAAACTGAGGAAGATAGTGGAAGAAATGCTGAAGCGACCGAAGAAAACCAAGATCTGGAATGGCAATGCTAACTAGGACTTATATTAACAAACTTTTAAATTTTTGTTATGTTTACATTATTTTTATATGGGTAAAACATCTGTCACTTGTATAGACAATTTTTTGTTGTATTATTAAGATAATAAATAAAATGTTTATGACACGTTTTTTGAAATAACAAGAGTTCTTTATCTCCATACCTATTACAATATTGAAAGTTTGAATCAATAGCTTCTGCAGAAGCTTATGTAATTCAAAATCTTTGTATTTTTTAATTTAAAATAATGCTTTTGTGCTTTTTATAGTTTACATGTTCCGCCGGAGCGATGAACTCGTCTCCAACTATCAAATCAAAGGCACAGCACTCGACTGCGACAATAATGGCGAAGTATTGGCGGTCGCCGGGTAAGAAACTTTAGTTTTTCTGGATTTAGGCCGTCATTTAGAATATCTTTTCTTAAAATTTTAAAAAAGGTCGAAGCCTTCTAAAAATGTTGAAATTACGCTCGACTGTTTCAGCGGATACATGGTAAACTTGGTCGGACTTCACGGAAGTGGGGTAGCACATCTTCGCGAGAAATGTCCTTGTGGTGTAGCTAGAATGGTTCGATTCCATCATAAATACTCATTCTTTTGTGTTGCAGTAAGTTTTTACTTTTATTTTTGTCGTTTTTAGGTTCAAACTTCATGAACATGCTTTCAGACCCCAAACTCTCTAGACTTTTTCCACGAAACCCGATGTTTTAACCGTATCTATCAAAATGGCAAAGTCCTAGACTTTGATTTTAACGTTCAAAACGATAACCTAGTTGTATCATCCACAACTAACTCTGTTTCTATCTTCGACGTCAGGGAGCCACGGAAACCATCAGTGACATTATCGACAATTTTTGGCTCACAGCAAGCGAAATTCAGTAAATTTGATCAGTATCAAGTTATCAGTGCACACGGCTGTGATCTACGGTTTTGGGACATTAGGGTGGGTTTTTTGGTGATTTTTAGGTATATTTAGGAGGTTTTTAAAAAAAATTGAGCTTTGTACCAAAATTTTTTAGTTTTGGCATGAAATTTCTCGGAGTTTTGAATTTAATACCTATTTTTATTACTTTTTAACAATTTCATGACATTTCAGAACTCATCAGCCCCAAAACGACAAATTATGGCACATGAAGGACGTATAGTAGCATTAGAAATGAACCCTACTAAACCTAATGTTATGATAACATCAGCTATGGAAGACACTTTTAAAGTTTGGAATCGGTACGATGAAATTGACACTTCACAAGTAGTACTGTTGAGTCATGACAGAGTTGGCAAAGTTATTTACTCGGTAAGAATTGATATTATTTTTTTTGAGTTTAGAGATTCCCATAACACTAAAAGACGTTTCATTGTATTATTAATAGGATAATATAATAGGTCTCTTTTCAGCCATCAGGAGACGAGTTCATATCAATATCAGTACCAGAAACGGCAAGTGACGTGAATACAGTAAAGTTATGGAAGGCTCCAACATACGAAAACCCGCAGGAGTTGAGGAAAGGCCTCAAAGACACGTATGCAGATGCATGCTGGCACAAAGGTGTTACTGGACCCTACAAATACTTATTCACGTTAGGGAAGAACAGTCGTTTATTGAGGAATCCAATCACTGGGAATGGGCTGGTAAGATAAACTTAAAAGACGATAAAGGGCTTGATTATTTTGTCTCACCGAACTGTTTTGTGTAATTTGGTACTGTACTGTACTGTTCTTAGCCTTATTTGGTTAGTACCATACTAAATTGATAATAATACCAAAATAAAAATTTTTAGAATGATACCCCGAATGAAATGCCAGTGCCAATAGTCCAATCGGCCGAAGACAGGAAACGTGACAAACAGTTGTTAGGAACTTCGCAATTGCGCAGAAAAGGTGACAATTCGGTCGATGATGACAATTCAATGACTCACAGAACACCAAGTTGGACATTATTCACGGACGAATGGAGTGGCTGGGTCAGAGCGCCAAATCAAGACGGTGGAGATCTTCTCAGCGAACTGGGGTCGTTAAGGAAAGTGAACGCTGTTGGACTGACTACTAGTGAGGTAACCTTTACTTTGTCTTGTAGTATTTGATGTTACAGGACTTTACTTTGTATATTGTATCTTATCTTCTCCTTTCTGCTCCTATTTCTACTTTAACATACTATTCAAATCCTAACCTACAAGTAAATTTGCATTTCGTTCATATTGTATTGATTTTAAGGTCAATTTCCAAAGAGCAGCGATAGGATTCAACTACTCTCACCGTGCCAGATGCAAGCGTATCACGATTGAAATGCGTTTTCACAAACAATTTTTGGAAAACGGATGGATTTATATGGAGGTAGTGCAGAAAGACTCGCCTTTGGATGCGGATTTGGCCAAGAAGCTGCTACAATTAATTCAGGAGGAGAGTAGGAACCAAACCCAAGCTGGAGGGCCATCAACAGTAATGGCTAGGGTACTGGAGCAGTTGCCTGTTATTGTTGAAAAACTTAATGTAAGTTAGGCTCAGGTTTGGTGGGATTAGCCCTAGTAGGCTTAGGCTTAGCTTTAGTAGGCTTAAGCTTAGTAGGCTTAGGTTTAGTAAGCTTAGGCTTAGTAGGCTTAGGCTTAGTAGGCTTAGGCTTAGTAGGCTTATGCTTAGTAGGCTTAGGCTTAGTAGGCTTAGGCTTAGTAGGCTTAGGCTTAGGCTTAGTAGGCTTAGGCTTAGTAGGCTTAGGCTTAGTAGGCTTAGGCTTAGTAGGCTTAGGCTTAGTAGTCTTAGGCTTAGTAGGCTTAGGCTTAGTAGGCTTAGGCTTAGGCTTAGTAGGTTTAGGCTTAGTAGGCTTATGCTCAGTAGGCTTAGGTTCAGTAGGCTTAGGTTTAGTAGACTTTTGGTTAATTAGATTTAGGCATAGCAGGCTTGTTTTTTTATTAGGCTTAGGCTTACTAGGATTGAAATTTAAAAACTCTGATTTTAGGTATTCACCGACGCTATGGACATCCAATCCTCAAAAACTACAGTAACCAGCACCGATTCCTCAATGACCGAAGACACCGCAAGTCATACGGTAGAACCCCCAGACTACGGTATGCGTTTCTTTCCAATAAGTTATGGACCAGCTGTCTATGACAACTTGGTACCAGCACCTCGTCTGTGTGGTGCTCGATTTAATACGAATGGCATCTTGTGCACCTTTGGCAAACTAACTCAAATACCGGTCGAAGGAGTGTCGGCTGATGTTACTTTTCCGAAATCGACCGAAAAACCAAAACTGGAGAATAAGAAAGTGACAATGAAGCGATTGTCAGAAGGCAGATTAAGCGATAAATCGAATAGGCTTAAAGTGCAACAACCTCCAAAGTCACCAAGTTTGTTAAGAGCGAACCCGGATGGACAAATGATATACCCAAAGACACTGGTCGATTATTATCAGTGTGGTAAGTTAGTTTTTTTTGAGCTCAGAGCCCTAGCCCAGAGCCCAAGCTCAGAGCCCTAGCCTAGAGCCATAGCACAGAGTCCTAGCCTAGGGCCTTAGCCCAGAGTGATAGCCCAGAGCTCTAGCCCAGAGTTCTAGCCCAGAGCCCTAGCCCAGAGCCCTAGCCCAGAGCCCTAGCCCAGAGCCCTAGCTCAGAGCCCTAGCCCAGAGCTCTAGCCCAGAGCCCTAGCTTAGAGCCCTAGCCTAGAGCCCTAGCCCAGAGCCCTAGTCTAGAGCCCTAGCCCAGGGCCCTAGGCCAGAGCCCCAATTTTAGCCTTGCCTAATTAATTTTACAGCATATGGATTTTCAGAAAGGGATCTACAGTATCCACATATTGAAAAAAAATTTGCTATAAAACTAAAAGTAATATTTTCAGTAACCCAAGAGCACGTTGGATATCTACATCAGATAGCAGAACGAGCAGCGTCAGCTCGTCGTGTTGGTAACATTACCGAAACAACTGATCGATTGTCCTTCTCAACAGCTTCACCGCTAAATGCCTACAGTCATAATCTACTGGAAAATGTTCGAAATGCCAAGAATTCGAATCGAGTATTTGGGGTATGGTATTTTTAATTTTTGGAAGGGAGTGTGGTGTTTATGTATATTAGGTGCCGACATAAAGAACCCGCCATACTTTTCCTGTAATTTCCTGTAAAACATGGCGGGTTCTTTATGTCGGCACCTAATATTATATCTTTTTGGAGGGGGGGGAGGGGTGCGGCGTTCTATTGTAATGCCTCGCAGGAATATGCAGTTAGAGTGCCATACTTGCGGTAATTTGTTGGGTCGTTTTACACCGAGGCAAGTATTATATAAAGTCATAATGTTACGTAAGAAAAAGTTGCGCAATACGATTTCTTGCAATTTCTCTGAGGCTATCTTAATATATTTCAATATTATGCAATCTCAAAAATTTTTTATGAGCGTGACGATGAGAGCATGCTTACAATAACATTTGTGATATCTCAATATGGTCTTTTGATACCTTGATTCAGGAGGCTTGTACACAATAGGATTGGCTATAGTAGGCTTTATCTAGTAGGTTTTGGTTTAGGCTTAGTAGGTTTGTGCTTTGCAGGCTTCATTTATTACTAGGCTTAGGTTTAGTAATTTGAGGCTTAGTAAGGTTATGCTTTGTAGGCTTGGTCTTAGGAGGAATAGGTTTACTAGGCTTAGGTTTAGGCTTAAATAGCCTTTTATTTGTTTTCTACTAATTAAAATTTTTAAATATTTTAGTCCTCTCCAGTATCATCGCTAAACATGATGGTTCAACGAAATGCCAGTCTACATTCAAATCCAGCCGCATTTGCTCAACGCCGCAGGGTCAGCTCAATGTCGGCAGGAATAGTGAATGAAGAGACCAACAATCTACTGGAACCTCAATTTTCGACGAATGTCTTGGTTATCGATTGCAGTATCTACGAAGGATTGTCGAAAGGATTGGCTCAGAAGTACAAGTAAGCTAAGGTTTTTGATTTTTATTGAGACTTGGTTTAGATTTGTCAGAATTTTGAATTTTTGGTCGAATTTTAATTTTTTTGAAATTTGGGCCGAAATGCACTAACTAAATTGATTTTTTAAATTTTAGATTGATTGGAGGTTCAGCATCAGAGATATGTTATCATAACTTATGGGCCGTCATCAGTGAATATCCCGACCGACCGGATTTGATCAGTTTATGGCAAATTTTGTACGAATTCATGTGCGCCAGTGAGGAAAAGTAAGGTTTTGTTATTTCTATCGACTTTTTGACCGAAAAATCATAATTTTGAATGGAAATTTAAATATTTGTATATTGAAAGGTAGTTTTACAGGATGCGCCAAAAGTTCTGTTACACGGTTTTTTAATCAAATATTTATTTTAACAGCAAATATAACTAAAACAACAACAAAAAATATAACTAAAACAACAATTAACAATAGTAATATATAGTAATAGTTATAGTCAAAAAGTAAAAAATAAAGCTTAATTTTGTTGTTTCAGAGAAATTCAAGCCTATCTTCGAAACGAAATTGAATCCGATTTTATTGGAGCAGAAATCCTATCGTACGACAGTACCACTAGCCCAGTAACGACAGAATTGTATAATCGAGAGCGATTACAACTTTGCGCATTGGAATTTATGACCCCGGACCCATTCGCAAACAAACATGGCTCACATCCGTGTGGACGAGAGTTCTTGGCCACGTTGTGAGTTTTAAAGTTTGAACCTTTATTTTACTTAAATTTTAAAATTTGAAGTTTTATTTTTACGTTAATTGAGTTAAAAAGTTTAAAAAATGTTTTTAGCGTTGAATTTTACTATCAACGACATGACATTCAAACCGCGGCTATGGTAATATGTGTGATGAATGAAGCCAATAAAAGAAACAACGAGTTATTACAATTGGAAAGTCCGCGAGAGCTGAAAGCTAAACGGTCGACTAGTGCTGAACGAGAGGTTGGTACTATATAGCACTAAATTTGTTTTGTTAGTACTAATAATTACTATTAAAATTTAAAAAATTAATACTATTAAGTATAAGTACCAGGGACGTCGCTACGGATTTTCTCTGAGAAAGGGGGAGGTCGAAAAAAAATTTTTCGTCGACAGGTAGGGACCTGTGGACCGATTTTTCAAAAATTTTTTTTTTCGTTTTGTCGCGTACAGGTACCTACCTGTGCAATTTTTTTTCGGATCGGCTCTGGGGGGAGGGGGGTACCCCCCCCCTCTCCCCCCTCCCCCCAAACGACGTCCCTGATAAGTACTGTTAGTATTAATAAGTGCTAGTACTAAATAGTACTTGAAACCAATTTTTAGTACTAAAAAGTACCTAAATGTGTATAAAAATTTATTGATAAACATATAGTATTCAAAATCACATTTTCAGTACCGATCATCTCCAGAGAGACGAGCCAGAACCTTCCGAAAAAGTGGCAAACTTCACTACCGTTCCTCACAATACTGCCCGTTATTCATAACTTCCGAAGATCCCGAACCCATGGATCCAGAAGCCATGAAAGAGTACTACGATAGAGATGCCAAAATTCGTTTAGCCAATCTAAGTCATATTGAGAAATCAACGAGAAAAGAAATGGTATTCAGTAGTAAGGAGAGTAAAAGTCAAGACGAAACAAGATCGTCGTATGATCCACCTACTGAAAGTAATTTGGATGAAACTAGAGAAAAGAAGGAAGAGTTTGTTGAGTATCCAACAATCATGAGGCTGGAAGGAGTGGAGGACGAGGATTTTGAAGTTGTGTAAGGATTTCACTATATGTTTTGGAGCTGGGGTAGTAAGTGGGATATGATAGGACTTATGTGTAGGATGGGGCAGCAGTAGATAAGTTTTAAGAAGGTAGGGTTGAATAGGGCAGCGTAAGCTACATTAGGTGGGTATGATAAAATATTGTAGAGAAGTAAGGTAGGGTAGAGTAGGGTTGGGTAGGGTAGGGTAGGGTAGGGTAGGGTAGGATAGGGTAGGGTAGGGTAGGGTAGGGTAGGGTATGGTAGGGTAGGGTAGGGTAGAGCAGGGCAGGACAGGGCAGGACAGGACAGGGTAGAGTAGGGTAGGGTAGAGTAGGGTACACTAGAGTAGCGTAGGGTAGCGTAGGTTACGGTAGGGCAAGGTAAAACTCAAAAAAAATTTTTATAAAGTGAAAAAATGAATTATAGAGAAAACGACGCCTGGATGGAAGAAAAATTTGATAAAATCCGTGACGAATACGACGTGTTTCTATGCCGCTGGGGCTTGTTAAATCATCGTACTGAGCTGAACAAGTACGCATTGAAACCGGAAGAGACTTTGCTGATTAAACGTAAGTGCTTTGAATTTAAAGTTATGGTACTAGTTCAGTATTAGGTTGAAACAAAAGTAGTGGGACACTTTTTAGTTGAAAATCAAATGTAAAATGTCCCGCTACTTTTGTTTTGACCTAATAAATTAGCACTTTTTTATATTACCCAAGGCTGTAGTTTGAGAAGAGGTACCCTGCGCTTTAAAAAATTTTAAAAAATTTTAAAAAGTTTAAAAAAAGCTTTGTAGAAGTGATAAAATGCTCGAAATGTGACCGAATCTGTGACGATTCGCCGATATGTTCGGATTGCGAAGTGCCAGCACTATGGTGTATAATATGTGATGAGCCATGTGAAGGTCACATTGCTATTTGCTCGTTATGTGGTCATGGTGGACATCCACAACATCTGAATGAGTGGTTTAAGAACTTTGATCAGTGTGCTGCTCTATGTGGGTGTAGGTGTAGTTTGTAGCGGGTCTTTGATCAGCGTGATGTTCTCTGTGCTTGTAGGTGCAGTTTGTAACGGGTCTTGGATGTACTGTATTTTAAGTTTAGGTTATGAGTACCGTAATTTAAGATTAATTTGTGTTTACTGTAGTTTAAAGAGATACGGTGCGAGTGATATGACGGGTACTGTAGCTTATGAAGATGGGATTTTGAGGTACTGTAGTTCAAGATGGAACGATTGGATTAGATTGATTGGTGAGTACTGTAGCTTGCATATGTTATAAGTCGAGAAGTGACGTATTAAGTGAACTAGAGGGAACTGCGGCTTGAAAAAAATATTTTTATTAGTATATGTGAGTACTGTAGCCTCTTCGTATTTTTGCAATTTTTTCAAATTCTTCAATTTTTTAAAAATTTTTCAAAAATTAACTTAACCATACTAATTTAACTATATTTTAAATAGTATTTTTAAAAATGTAAATGTAAGTATTAATGATATTCTAGTTTGATCAGTATTGTATATATCTTATATTAGGTGCCGCCATAAAGAACCCGCCATTTTTTACAGGAAAAGTATGGCGGGTTCTTTATGTCGGCAGCTAATAGTATAGTTGTCCTGTATCATATAATTATAGTTGTTGTCTCATCATTTCGTTACCCATAGAAGGACTAGATTACTGTAATAAATTTTAATAATTTTTTATTTTCAAAAAAAACCTGGAAAGAAAGTTTTTTCCGAAAATTTAAAAAAAAATTGTAAAATTTATTAAAACTCGACAGTGTCATTGTATATGGCAGTAAATATGAAAAAGAATCTTCAATTGAAAAAAAATGAAAATTGGATTCATGGGACGACAAAAAATGTCCAGAAAATATGTTATACTGACTGGATTTGAGCGCGTCTACATAAAAACTGGACATTTTTTTCGAAATTTGACAAAATTTATGAAAATAGTGTGTAATTTGGTACTGTAATGGGGTTTGATGTTCTAGAAGATACTGTAATTTATGTCACAATACTTGGGGTACTGTAGGAGCGGCATACAGTGCTTTGAGTACTGCAATAGACCTTATTGTAAGTTGAGTACTGTGATAAAGCCTTACAGTATCAGTGGTACTGTAATAGGGCTTTACAGTATCAGTGGTACTGTAAAAATGTACCTTACTGTAAATTGAGTACTGTGACGGGACTTACAATGTCAGTGGTACTATAATAGAGCCTTACAGTATCTGTGGTACCATAATAGCGGTTTATAGTATCAGTGGTACTGTAATAAAGCTTTACAGTATCAGTGGTATTTGAAACAAGGATCTTACAGTATCTAAAAGATGCTAAGACTAAATAACGATGAATCGCATAAGTTCTATCTACAATATCTAAAAAATTCAATTTAAAAAATTTTTAAAGCTGAAATCTTAAAAAAGTACCTCGTGTTAAAAGTTCTAACAAAAAGTATTGATATAGACATGGTTTGATGATAAAAATCATAAGAAAGACCAAATTTTAAAATTTAAAATGAAAAAAATTGTCGTAGTATGGCCAAGTCATGATGATATTGTACATGATGGTGGTAATGGGTTAGGCTGAACTTGGTTTTGTGGGGTTATACCTAAAATAATATATTTTATAATGATTTTTTAAAATTTTTCGAAATTTTTGAAAATTTTATTTTAATTAATAAATGCAAAAAAATCCTCGTTTCCAATGCAAAATTGAGCCTTGCCAATGCTATAATTAAACCTTGCCAAGAATATAATTAAGCCTTGCCAAAATATTTTTTACCGCTATATACATTAATATTAAGTCATGTGTTTGGACTTTCAATTATAATATCTCATGCCAAACATGTGTGATTTTTTACAATTTTTTCAATGTTTACATGAACTTTATATCACCAATTAATCTCCGTTCCGTGCATTTATTTGCGTTTCCTTTCGAAAAAAAAACTTTTTAACGCCGATTAAAATTGAAAAAAAACCTTAATCTCACAAAAGTCATAGGACAAACAATTTTTTTTCTATTATATTTTGATCGAAGATAGTTTTGCATTGGAAATGAGGATTTGATTTTGAAAATTTTTTTTTAAAAAATTTAAAAATTTAAAAAATTTAAAAAATTTAAAAACTTTGTATTTTGCTATGTTTACCCCGCTTATTTGTGTTAACCTTTACTTAAGTTCGTGCGGCAAAAAAAATCCACGGAAACGCGGATCAAAAAAAAGTTTTTACCGCAAACTATCGGATTTCATAATCCGGTAAAAATAGAAGAAAAAACACCGGCATGTTTATATTTACCTTCCCACGCATGGTATACGACGTGTGTCATCGTACTCAAATAAAAAACTCATGGTATTAGGTTGTTCATTTAATTCTGCGCCCTCTCTCTTCGCCCTTTTAACCCACAAAAGCAAATTTGTGGGTAAGGGGGCGCAGAATTATGTTAACAACCTAATATTTGCAATTAGAGGGTCATAAATCAAGTATCTTAGCTATAAATTAGCCTATTTTTATCCTTATTTGAGGAGTAGGCTAGTTTATGACTTCGATACCGTACTGTTTTACTATAAAACCGTACTGCTGTACCGTGTCTTGCTTTACTAATCCTACCGTAACTAGACATGTGGAATGGACCGGGCCTGAGTGTTAGGCCCGACCTAAGTTTTTCTTAGGGCCGGCTTGGCCCGTTTTTTTACGTGCAAATAGGCCGGTCTATTCGGACTGGGCATGACCTTGATTTTCAAGCCCGGCCCGTTCCCCATGTCTTACCGTAACCTATAATAACTAAAAACATACCCATTGCGGTAGTTGCGTAGTAAACCCAGTATCATCGTCCACGTCTTGTTTACAAGTCTGTGAGCACTTTTTCTGACCGGTAAATTCGAATTCCGCTACACTTCTTGTAGCCGCCCTGCCACGCCGTCTTCTTTTGTAGTGTCGCTCAGCTTCCATATCTTTAAAGCGACGTGGACGACGTTCGATTTGAACGTACAACGAGTACGGTTGGGGCATTTTGTACCACGCATGAAATTGGTGACAAAAATGAGCACCAGTATCTGAGCGGTACATGTCCATGGAGCAAATGCCTCCTGTAGCCATGTGGCAGGTGTAGACTCGTAGCCTAGAATTTTTTCAAATCTAATTTTAATGGGCTGTGTTCTAACTTAAGTAACTTTATGTTATCTTACCTTACGGTACCCTACCCTACCTTACGGTACCCTACCCTACCCTACCCTACCCTACCCTACCCTACCCTACCCTACCCTACCCTACCCTACCCTACCCTACCCTACCCTACCCTACCTTACCTTACGGTACCCTACCCTACCCTACCCTACCCTACCCTACCCTACCCTACCCTACCCTACCCTACTCTATCCTACCCTACCCTACTTTACCTTACTCTACCCTACCCTAACCTACCCTACCCTACCCTACCCTACCCTACTTTACCCTACCCTACCCTACCCTACTCTACCCTACCCTACCCTACCCAACTTCTCTACAATACTTTACCATACCCAACCTTAATAGCCCTTTATGTTATTGTACTACATTGTTCTATAGAAACCGAAAGTTTTTGTTTAGTCTCCTATTGTATCAAAAGTCCGACTCTCAAAAAAACTAGTCTACAGTATAATGGGCCACACTAAAGTCCGAACAAATTGCCGTTCTTTTTTAGTTGAAACTTTACTTAATGGCTTTGAATTTCCTTTTCAAATGATTAAAATTCCAAACGAATCGCGAAAGAACAAAGATTTGTTTGAAAATGGAAAAAATCCGGAAATTCAGAGCAAAAGAGTGGCTATTCATAACATAATTGGTTACAAAACAACATTTTTTGGTGTAGATGATACTAAACATCCTGTTTTGACATCAATTTTAGGTGTAAAGTACGATCTCCCATGTTTTTTCAAATTGAAATTTAATTTTTTAAATTCTTAAGTTATTATAATTAAAAAAAATAAATTTTGAAACAAAAAATTTCCACTTTTGGCATTCGAATAAAATATGCAAATTCGCGGCGCAATTTAGTTGTTTGATGCCATTGAAAGACAATGACCGATGAGTAACTAATTTTGGAACGGCCGACTTTGTAATGCTGCCGTTCTCTTCAAAAGGAACGCCAGGATCTATACGAATTTCAAAGCGCAAGAAATTTAAATATTCTCGCAGGAAATTGGAAATTAATAACTAATCAAAGGTGCAAAATTGTGGGGTTTTACTTGTTAATGCTATTTATAAGAATGTAAAAAAATATTAGGTGCCGACATAAAGAATCCGCCATATTTTACAGGAAATTACCGGCAAATTATGGCGGGTTCTTTGTGTCGGCTCCTAATGAAACAGATTTACAAGAAAAGTGCGCGACCTGCCCCGCTCTGATTGTCTTCAAACTTTTTATATAGAAAGATCATGTAAATATAAGATCTTCAGCAAAGTACTAACTCGCGCTTTCCAGGAAATCTCCAGAAAATCGAGATTAAAAAATTAAGTTTTGAATTTTCCGCCAAATTGGCATTGTGTTTCAAGCTTTTAACTTTGCGGTTTTTTGACTTTCAGGAATTTTGCTTTCATCTACTAGTAGAATGCCTTTAAATAGACCTACATTTTTAAATTCGTAAGTGTAGCTTGGCTGGACACTCGAAAAAAGTGCTTGAAACACAATGCCAAATTTGCCAAATTAGCGGGAAATCCAAATATTTAAAATTTAAAACTCAAAAGCACGAGCTAAAATTTTTTATAGGTACTATTGGTGGTACAAGGAATTCATATAAAAATTTTGAGCTGATTCTGAGCGGGGCTGGTAGGGTACTTTCTCTGGTAGTTCGAAATTTTTTTTAAAATTTATGTTTTTTGTAAATTTAAATTTTTTTCAAAAGCTTTTGAAGTTTTAAAAATTGTGTTTAGAGCATGTCATGTGCAAAAGTTAGTAAAGTAGTAATTTTTTGACGCAAAAGTTACATTTTCCTTTAGTTTTTCATTTTGCATTGTCTTTTCAAGTGCCGCGAAAAGTAGTATTTTCTTGTTGTTTTATGTTTTTGAACACTTTTTTTTTTTCAAAAAGTGGTCATTGTGAACAAATTTATAAATTTTTAAAGTAAGCTAATTAGTTTGTTCAGAAAATTTAAAAAAATCTTACAGTAATCTTTTTAAAGGTAAATAAATGTCTATATTTATACAATTAGGTGCCGACAGGGGCGTCGCTAAGGGTTTCACAGGTAGGACCTGTGACGAAAAAAATTTTTGGGTTTTTGGGTTTCCACCCCCCCCCCCTTTCTATACTATGTGGATATATGCTGTATTATACACATATTGTAAGCCATAACATAAATAGTATTATGCTGTAATTCAGTTACATCCTTTTTTTATGAAAAAAAAACTTTGTGAAAGCAAAAAATATTTTAGACGGTTTGCTAAACGGGGGTTTGTTTTGCTATTTCCGGAGGGAATTCAATTTCGATAATTTTTAAATTTTCAAAGTTTTGACTAAGAAAAATATTTGGCAATGATAATATGGCTAGCAAAATAGAAATGAATAAACGGCCGAAACGTAAAAATGGTTTAAGAAATTTTTGTAGGGCAGGGTGGGGGAACGCTAGTTTAAAAGGTTGGTTGGTGCTAAAGTATGGGTAGAGTAGGGTAGAGTAAGGGTAAGAGTAGGGTAGGGTAGGGTTGGGTAGGGTAAGACCAGGAGAACATTTTTCACCTGTTGAAAGTAATGACAGTGCCTTAGGGGATTAATTTTTGCTTGCGCAATTAAACATAAAACCAGAATGACATAAGAAAATGACTTTTTTAATAAGCAGCGAGTCATATTACACTATTTTTGAAAAGAAGGTAATTTTGTTTGAGTTTCAAAAATTTCGAAAAATTTTTTAAATTTTTTAAAATTTGGTCTAAAATTTAAATTTACTAACTTTTGTTACCTAAACATTAGAAATATAAACCGAATCTTACCGTGTTCGTTTTCCCTCCACTCGAAACCGTGCTTCAATACAGTCGTGTCGTCCGAGGTAGATGACTTCAGTACGTCGATCTACATAGCTTTCATTCGCATGAAATGACAATTCTGTTTGAAACTCTAGTAGTGGCGTATCTTCTAGCTGTCTGCGGCGAACCGACTTTTTCCACGCATATTTGGCGATTGTGTTATGTAGGCTGCACAAAATCAACACCAAATATAACGGCCATCGCATTCTGAAAAAAATTGAAATTTTTGAAATTTTGGTCCAAAAGTACTCGGATTTTTTTTAGTTTGGGCATGGCAGATTACGAAATTTTAGTCTTGGCACAAAAGTTCTCGGACTTTAAATTTTTTTTTGAAAGTATTAGGTGCCGACATAAAGAACCCGCCATACTTTGTCTGTAGTTTCCTGTAAAAAATGGCGGGTTTTTTTTGCCGGCACCTAATAGCTTTAAAGACATATTAGAAACGCAACGACTAGTTAGTAAAACAATACAATAACTTTTTTAATAGAGTCAAAAAATTAAGAACCCACTTGAATTTTTAAAAAGAAACCCAATAATTTACTTGAGAAGCTCTATACTAAAACACTATCAACTTGTATGAAATTTGATAAAATCTTGTTGAGAAACAATTTGTTTTAATTTTAATGAGTCTGTCACCAACAGACAGATTTAAAATTGAAGAAAAGGAACGATGTTCCTTTCAGGCTTATTTTGTTTAGCCTTAGCTCTAGTTCTGGCCCTTGCTATAATCGTAACTATAGCATTAGCCTTGGCCATAGATTTGGCCTTAACCTTAGCTTTGGCCCTAGCTTTGGCCTTGGATCTGGCCTTTGGCTCAAGGCTTGGCCCTAGCGTTGGTCCTAGCCTTGGTCCTAGCCTTGGCCGTAGTTTTGGCTTTAGATTTTATCCTAGCTTTGGCCCTAGCCTTGGCCTCAGCCTTAGACAAGGTCCTAGTTTTAGCCTTAGCCTTTGTCCTACCCTTTGCCTTGGCCATAACCTTAGCCTTACTCTAAGCCTTTGCCCTAGCCTTGGCTTAGACTTTACCCTAGATTTGGCCCTAGCCTTGGCGTCAGTCTTAGCCATGGTCCTAGTTTTAGCATTAGTCTTGGTCCTAGCGTTAGCCCTAGCCTTGGCTTTAGGCTGAACCTTAGCCTTGGTTTTAGCTTTGGTCCTAGTATTGGCTCCAACTCTAGCCCTAGCTACAAACCGTGGTCTTAGCACTAGCTTTGGCTCTTGCTTTAACCCTAGCTTTTGCCATAGCCTTACCATAAACCAAGCCCTCTATCCATACCGTATCGCTACCGTCTTTCCACAAAAATTATTAATACCAATCTTCTCATTAAAACGATATTATTGTTTCAAAAACAGTAGTGCAAGTTACGCCCAAAAAACGAAATGAATCAAAAAGTGTTTCACGTAAACGTGTAATTGAAAAAGTCGGAAAATGTACAAAAGAATCCTCTGATTGTTCCAAAAAAGACCGCCGGCGTTTTGTTTATGTTTTAGGGATTTGACAAATAAAAAAATTGGAGACATTTTAAATTTTTCGAAAAAAAAATTTAATGGAATCTGGTAGGCTTAGGTTTAATAGGCGTAGATTTAATAGGATGATACCTATTAGGGTAAGGCTCAGTAGGCTTCGGGTTAGTAGGAAGAGGCTTAGTAGACTTGGACTTAGTAGGCCTGGACTTAGTAGGCCTTGGCTTAGTAGGCGTGGGCTTAGTAGGTCTGGGCTTAATAGGCCTGGGCTTATTAGGCTTTGGTTTAGTAGGCCTGGGTTTAGTAGGTTTATAGTTGGCTCAGTTACAGTAAACTGATACTTAGAAACGTAAAGCTTAGGCTTAGTTTTAACAGGGCCAAGTTTAATGTTTTGAAACATTCTAGTTTTTCAAATTTTTCGAATTGACTAATCAAAAATAAAAAACGGATTTGTCAACTGACAGACCTACAAAATATATTTGAAATTGCTTCCTGCTGATTGAATCTTTGCTCTATAAAGTTAAAAATAGACAAAACAACTGTGTAATTGAAATTTTCGAAATTTTGCAAAATTCAAATTTTTTGTAATTTTAGCAGTATGTTTGAGGCTAATGGATAGAACCGACGCTAATGTAAGGCTAAATCTAAGGCTAAGACTATGGCTAAGGCCAATGCTAAAGCCGAGGCTAGGACTAAGGCTGAGAGTAAAGCTAAGGCTAAAGACGAGGCTAAAGCTAAGGCTAAATCTGAGGCTAAGGCTAATGCTCAGGCTAAGGCCGAGACTAAGGCTAAGGCTAGGGAAAAGGCTAAGTTTAGAGCTATGCCTATGCTTATAGCTAAGGCCAAGACCTAAAGCTACGTTAAGCCTAGCGAAGGAGGGCAGGGTGATTTTTGGCTGAAAAAGGGGTGGGAAAGCATAGGTCGGTCTTGCTTAAAAAACCAAAAATTAGCCAAAACATCAATATAAAACCTCAAAATAGCTGCAAAACCACCTCCAACCCTATTAAAACCGACCAAAATTGCCCAAAAATTTAACGATAAGTTGTAAAACTACTACCATTAACGATAACTACTACTTATCACACTGTTCCCCCCTACCCTGTGTTATCTTTACCCACCTGACCCCAAATTACATAGACCTTTGTTTACTTTGCACTTTTTTACATTAACATCGGGGAAATTGGTTAACACGCGAGGAACGGCCCTGCGGCGCTTTTAAATGCATATTTTTTGTCGTTTGAAACGTCCATGGATATGTGGCGTATTTGCATTAAACAAATTAGGACAGGGATTAATGGCAAATGGGGTTTTAATCGTTTGGGCATGGTTAATCTGGTCAGAAAGTAGCGAGAAGTTTTTGGTTTTTAGGACGGTTAAAAGTTTTTTTCGGCTGGTGCGGTAGGGCTGGAATAGGGCTAAGGACAGGTTTAGGTAAGTTCTACAGTGAAGTTAGATAAAAGGCTACAGCTAAAGCTAGGGCCAGGGTCAGATTTAATGCTACAGCTAAGGTTGAGGCTAAAGCCAAGGTAAGATTTAGGCTAAAGCTAATGCTCAGGGTCAGGCTAGAGCTAGCCCTAAAGCCATGGCTAGGGCTAGGGCCGTGGCTAGGTATAGGAATAAGGTTAAGTCTAAGGCTCAGGCTAAGGCTAAGCCTACGGCTAATGCAATATCTAAAACCAAAGGCTAAGGTTGAACTAGAGCTATGTCTCTGCCTGTGGCTAAATCCAGGCCCAAAACGTAAAGCCAAGTTAAGCCTAGAGAAGGATTAATGGTAAGGGAGGATAAGTTAACGGTAAACTAAAAAACCCAAAAAAAAACGTTCTTACTAGTCGAAAATCAATGGAATTATGGATAGTATCAAATTTAATATTATATTTTAAGCCTACAAGCCAAATTTAAAAAAATTAAAAACAGTAATTAACATCACAAAAACAAAAAATGATTACAAAAGTAAACACGTTGGTCAGTATATTGAGGGAAATCGAAAAAAACGAAAATTTTGGGTTTCCTGAAGCCGCTTCGTCGTCTTGATTCATTCCCCGTGGTCCCAATTCTCTGGTCGAGGCCAATACGTATGTTCCGCCCACTTTTTGGGGTCACGTCGGATTTCGCCACGCCCATTCATTCTTGTGGCCGCGAGAAGAACACAACATGATATTATTAATCTTCAGCGAAAATAAATGGAATAACATAGCAAAATGAAATGATATTGATGTGTTTCGAACGTAATTAATTGAATACAAAGCGTAGAGCAATTTAACAAGGTTTAGAAGGTAGTATAATATAAATATGTATGTTAATGGTATGTTTTGAATAAACCATGTAAATGCGCTTGGAATTGATTATCAAGTATTGTAGTTATCATATGGAAAACTATCATACAAGAAATCAGAATCAATTGAACAGCAAAATTTGGAGGTTCTTTGGCAAAACGTCAAAAATTTGGCATTCTGTTTCAATGTTCGTCGAAATTCTTGAAAACAAAACGTTTTTTATAGACGATATTTGCTAGTTTAGTTGATAAGTATGAATTTTAATGTAGTAAATATGGTCTAATTGTGGTAAATTAATTTTTATCTTCTTTATCTCTGTAAGCCTTGCCGGAATGACCACTTTTACATTGTTATAGAGGTTGTTTTCACAACTTTTTGAAGAGTTATTTTGAAAGTCAAGCTAAAACAAGGACGATAATTTTTTTATCGCAAATTTCTGGTTAATTTTATTGTGTATTATACTGAGTAGTATGATTAGACCGTATAGGCTTGTGTTTAGTAGTCTTAGGTTTAGCAAGCTTAGGCTTATTCTTTTAGGCTTAGGTGGCTTATTCTTTTAGGCTCAGGCGGCTTATTCTTTTAGGCTTTGGTTTATAAGTGACGCTTTGTAATTTTTTTTGTGGCAGACAAAAAGTAATTCAGTAAAGAAAAAATAAGCATGCTTAGACTTTAGTTTGGGCTTACGCTTAGTCTTAGGTTTTGGCTTAGGCTTAGGTTTGGGCTTAGGCTTAAGTTTTTGCTTATGCTTAGGCTAGTGTGCTTAATGATAAGGCTTTATTCTAGAAAGCTCAGGTTTAAGTACTAATAAATTATGGCAGATTAAAAGTGGTGTAGTACCAAAAAAAGGTACCAAATACTATTAATTGCAATGACTTTTTGGGTCGTCAGCAGATGGGGAGGGGGGTGTAGGGTCAGTTTAGCATTTTTTGCAAAGGTTTTTAGTTATTATATTTAAGTTGTATGACTCATCGAAATCTGTTAACCTAGTCAATGTTTTGCACTTGTATTGTTAAGAAGTTTTGTGAAAATATGTGGCAAAACTGATAAGACTTTATTGTCTTTTATATCTATTTTTGATATTTCGAGAAAGTGATAGAAAAGGTTAACAATGTATTTCGTTAATTGGCGTTGAATAAGTGACAATTTTTTGGTTTTTCGTTATTTTGCTAAATTTTTGTTTGTTTTAGGCTTGTTTTTAGTTTTAAGCCTAAACTTAAGTTTAATGGAGATCCTTACAAGCTTATACGTAAGCCTAACGAAAGTTTCTTGCTAAATAATTGATTTCTAACCACTCTTATGGGGGTGTATATTGGCATTAGGTGCGGACATAAAGAACCCGCCATAATTTTCTTGCAATTTCCTGTAAAAAATGGCGGGTTCTTTATGTCGGCATATAATACAATGGTACCGTTTTAAGTTTTTTTCAACTTAAAAAATTTTTTTTTGCCATTTTAGCTCTTACTTACGTAGTTTCTCAGGAACGACGTTGTTCTAAACCGTGAAACGTTTTAATAATTTTCTTTATAAACGATTCACATAATATGATATTATCCATTAGTCAAGAATAAAAACAAAGATTTTGATCCGAATTTTGATTAAAAGAACTATATTTTTGCTGGGTTATAGGGGTTTTTCAAGATTTTTTTTTGAAATTTTGGTTTTTTTGTAAAAATTTTTAAATTATATATTAATATAAGCCTAGTCTTTGTATATTCTTTGTACTTTTTGACCACTTTTGTTATATTTTGAAAAAAATTTTGGTTTTAAAATTTTTTAAGTATTTTTAAATTTTGTTGTAAAAAAGCGACCAAAACTTAGTTTTCAACTATTTTTTCTACCGTGTACTTTGGTTACTGTATTTTATGTTTTAATCGTAATTTATCATACTCTATTTTTTGTTTTGTAAAGCTTATTTTTTGTTATAAGTTCATAATTACAGCCCCCGCAACAACACAAAACACAACTACAATAGCCACTATATATGATTCGAAAAGTGTCCGTTGGGGTAAGGTTTTTACATATTTTAAAATTTTTTTGGTTGGTAACGATTTTTTGCCCTTAGGGTAGAACTATTGAAGACAGGGCATGGCACGGGAGAGCAAGCCAAGGCATGTCAGTGCAGGACAGAGCAGGGCCAGGGAAGGAAGTGGAATATAGTTGGGATATAGTAGAGTAAATAGGGTAGGGTAGCGTAGAACAAGGTAAGATACGGTGGCTAGGGTAAGTTAGAGTAGGGCAGGGTAGGGTAGGGTAGAGTAGAGTAGAGTAGAGTAGAGTAGAGTAGAGTAGGGTAGGGTAGGGCAGCGCAATTCGCAGTAAGATCAAATGGGGTAGAGCGTAGGCCTAATTCCAGCAGCAGATCACAAGGCTTCTACTGATTGCTTAATAGCTCATATGATAACGTTCCTTTTTGTTGTAATGGATTTTGTTTAGCCAAAGCTATGATTTTAGGCACGTCATTTCTATATGATATCATTTAGGGATTTATTTGGTCTTGTTTTGTCTAATTTTTTAATTTGGGGGTTCCTAGTCAAATTTTTTATTAAGAACCCCCCCCCCAGAAAAAAAATGTTGAAAAAAGTTGAACGTGGTCCCTCCTGTGGATTTTTGGAACAAATTTTTTGCAAGAAATCGGCTAGCTACCTGAGCCGATTTTTTCGACCCCCGCTTCCAGACCAAAAGTCCCCGCCCGGCCCTGTTAGCCACCCTATCGGCTCTTATTGTTTATACTTCCTCCCCCCCCCCTCCTCTGACCCTCGAAGCCTACCCTAGAATTAGCCAAATCCTTGAGGCTAATGTTCCAGGAAACCGACTTCCTCACTTGCTTTTTTTGGTGTAATAATTGGTGTCGCGGGTTTTTTCGAATGTTTGTTTTTCGTCCCTATCATAATTCTTCCTTCTATTTTTAAGGTTTTTTAATATTTTTCGGATTTTATGAGGTCGTGGAAACTTATCAAGAAATGAGGGCTCTCTTTATATTGTCATAACATTTTTTTTTGATATTTGTGCAATTTAAAATGCTTAACAGCTGTAAAAAAGTTATGTAGCTCTACCGTATTGTAGCCTTGACTTCAGCCTTTGATTTGACCTTAGCGTAGCTTCAGCTATAACTGTAGATTTAGCCTTAGCTTTAGTTTTAGCTCTAGCCTCAGCAAACGCCTAGGTCCTAGAAAGCATTTCCCTAGTCCTAGCTTCAGCTATTGATGGCTTTAGCCCTAGGTTTTTTTCCAGTATTATCCTTAAACTTAGCTCTATCTATAACTCTAACGAGCCTTAGCAAGCGCCTAAGCCCTAGAAAGCATTACCCTAGTCCTAGCTTTAGTTATAGCCTTAGCCCTTGGCTTTGCTTTAGCCTTAATTCTAGCCGTAGCAAGCGCATAAGCCCTAGTAAGCATTAACCCCAGTTCTAGCTTCAGTTATAGCCCTAGCCATAGTCTGAGACTTAGCCCTAGTCTTAGCCCTAGCCATAGCCCTAGCCTTAGCTTTAGCTTTAGACTTAGCCCTAATCTTAGACTTAGTCCTAAAACTACCCTAGCTCTAGCCTTTGTCTTTGCCCTAGCCGTAGCCGTAGCCCTAATCGTAGCCGTAGCTCTAGATCTAGCCCTAGCCCGAGCCCTAGCCTTACCCTAGCTTTAGCCCTTGCCTTAGTGCTAGTCGTAGCCTTAAACTTAGCTCTAGCTCTATATAAAACCCTGTCCTGCTCTAACATACCCCAAAACGTTAGCCATTCCCTTCTAAATTGTATCAATGATCAACAAAAACAAAACGGCAATAGTTATTGTAGTAAATAAGTCTAAAGAGTAGTAGTTGATGTTGTAGTAATTTAGTAAACAGTCTTAAAATAGCTCCATCAAACTATTTTCTTTTCGAATTTTTGCGTCGAAAGGTAATCATAAAAATGGAATAACAAATAAGACGGTGAGTAATTCGCGCGAAAAAAGAAGCCGGCGGGGATTTGTTTCTCTGATTCTTTTTTCGATTCTTTTTCCGCGTGAAAGCCAATTTCTCAACAAATCCGATGGGTTTTTCGAAGTTTCAGAAGCTTTTTTGAGGATTTTTGGAGCTGTTTTGGGATTTTACAGTTTATCAACCTAGTATTTTAGACAAGTTTAAAAAAATCTAGGTTTTTAGACATTCATTGTTGTAATTTGTAAGTTTCTGGCCATATCCGGGCTTAAAATCGGTTTAAGCTGGATATTTGATACGCTTTTATGCAAAAATAGCAGTTTTTTGAGCTTGGCAAGGCCCTTAAAATGGAAAAAAATGTACAAAATATTGGGCAGCGTAAAAAAATTTTTTGGGGGGGGAGGGGGATAAGAAATAAGCTATTGGGATTTTTATCAGTGCAAAGCCATGAAAAATGGAAAAAAAATATGGGCGGGGTAAATTTTTTTTTCTGGGAGGAAGGATTAAAAGTTAGATTTTTTGAATTTTTATGCAAAAGTATAGTAGCTTTTGTTTCTTGCCAAGGCCGTGCAAAGTGAAAAAAATTTAAACCTGGGCGTGGTAACTTGTTTTTCCGGGGAAAGGAGAAGGAAAAAAATTTCTAGGGCGACTTAAGGTAGTGTAGAAAAATGAACGTAGGGTAGAGCAGCATATTCCTTTACTTATAAACTTTAATTACAAAACATATCCTTTACTTATAAGTTTCAGTTACAAAAACTGTGATATAGAAAACTTCTGCCAGTTCATTTTTTGTCGAGTATTAAAGTGATAACAACTTTATGTTATTCTTCTTTAATCTGTAGCGTAAAAAGTATTTTTTTTTATGAAATCGAGCGGTTTTTGTATTTTTTCAAAAAGTGAAATTTGCTTTTTGAATGAAACGAGGGTTCAGGATAAAATACTTTTTTCGGGAAAAAATCTTTTGGTTTTTGATATTACATCGTTTATGTATTTACGTATTTTAATGCTTTTTTCGATTAAAAATGGCAATTTATGTGTGCTTTGAAGAGGCAAGATTTTGGGCAAGCTTCTTTTACTTTTTCTATAGTTGTCGACATAAATAACCCGCCGTACTTTTCGTGTAATTTACTGTAAAAAATGGCGGGTTCTTTATGTCGGCACCTAATATTTTTAAATAAAAATGCTTTTTTGAAGGCTAAAGATAACATATATATATAAAACTATATTTTTTAGTTTGAAAGATTATTTTTTGCAAGTTTACAAGTTTAGGCGAAAAAACAATGTCAGCAAAATGATTAGTCGGTTTGTAAACTTCAAATTGTGTGGTTGATAAAGGCTGTTTTTTAAAATTTTAAAAAATTTTCAAATTATTAGTGCTAGGAAAGTAATTCTGGTTTTTTAGGAGCGGGGGGTAGGGGAAGGGGAGTTGTGGTCTCTTCGGAGTGAGGGGGCGAGGTGGTGATTTCTTATTTTTGAAGGGAGGGGAGGTTGTCTCGAAACGTGAATTTCTTACTCATTACAAAATCACAGGGAGTACGTTATACTTGAAAACGTTTTTTTTTGAAATGACGATGAGAACGACTTATTATACTATGGGTACTGTGGCTTACCCCTTAGTACATTAACCTATTCCATTGTTACTATAGCCATACCTAACCATAATATGACCTGTTTTGGCTTAACTGTAAAAACCGTAGAAATCCTTAGCCTAATCATACTCTAGCCTACGTTATTAGATGCCGACATAAACAACCCGCCATACTTTTCCTGTAATTTCCTGTAAAAATCATAGCCGTGTCTAGCTTAACCATGCTTTAATGTTTTTTAGTCTTACGGTAATAATCTTAGCTATACCTAGCTTAACGGTTCTCTAGTTTTTTAGCTTTATTGTAAAAATCATATCCGTGCCTAGCTCTGACTTTTTTAACCTTACTGTAAGCACTAATCTTCAGAAAAAAATTTTTGATTGTTTCTCACATTAATTTTTAACTTCTTACTTCCATTATCATCAAAACCAACCCTTTTTGCAGGACGAAAGTGCAAATGCCCAGCGTAGGCGTGGATTATTCGCGTCGTCACAGAAAGTAAACGTGTTTTATCACCAACACCATCCCTCGCAATCGGTTCATGGGAATCGGCCGTTAAGCGCTTTCTTCATGAACGGCCAAACCTTTTCCGGTTCGTCCAAAGACAGTGGACTGAGCACGTCGTCATCCTCAACATCCTCGGTCCGAGGACCACGTGCTCATCAGCTGCGAGGACATCGGAATTTGAGGTCATCGGCCGGTAGCTATGGTAGTGGGCGGTTTTGGTCGTTGCGGGCCAATGAGTACGACATGGAGAAGGTGGTGATTCAGATGGAGAAGGGACATCGGGTAGGTGGATTTCTGGGGTGTTGTAGTAGATATTACGAAATTTAAAAAAATTTTTTTTTGAAATTTTAAATTTTTTTTAAAAATTAAAAAATTATATTGTAGTAGGTTATAGATACTCATGTTACAAAAAAAACGTTTTTTGATGCCCGAAATTGTCGAATACACCTATTTTTAGGTATGCAAGCTCTTGTTATTGAAAAAATGGGACCCCTCGTACAAAAAGCTGGCTTTTAATCGAGAGACACGTCAAATAGTACTGACCAAGTACGACGACAAGAACACCAAATGCTGTGGAACACAAAAACCTCAAGTACTGGACATTATGTTGATCAAGGATGTGCAAACATTGGGGTACAAGATCAACAAAATGAAGATTCAGGACAAATGGAAAAAAGATCGAGAGCTACAGAGGTTCCAACCTGATTGGATTCTGGTTATCAGTTACGGCAGTGGATTCGTTTTGAATCATTGGCTGTTGCTATGTAAGTATGAGGTGTTATCATTTAAAAATTGTCGTTTTTAATGAAAAATCAATTAGACATGGCCATTTTTGGTCAAAATGTTGAAAAATTTAAGCCTAACTTGCTAAAAAGAAAAATTTCAGTTGACAGCGCTGAAGCCTGCAAACAATGGTGCCAAGGGCTACAACACTTGAGGATAGAATGGGCCGAAGCTTCTCACTTCTTGGTAATGGAACGATGGCTTCGAAAACAGTTTTATAGCATCGTAAATTTGAATACTAATACGTAGGTTTTTGTATTATACTCTATTCCTACTTTTACCTTACCCCTACTTCTTCCTTACCCCACCTCTAGCGGCTACCCCTACTTCCACCCCAACCAAAAATTATATTATTGTAGAATAACCATCCGGCACATGAAACCATTTGTACAAACAACATTACAATCCAAAGTCCAATCGAAACAGCTACAAGAAATCACGGAAGGCGAGATGGGATTCGAAGCCTTCGTTATCGCTCACAATCGGCTTCAGAATCTGGATTTCTTATTCCAGAAGTTCTTCCAACATTTGGCTGATGAAAACCAAAAAGTCACGGTACAAAGCTTCTGTAATTTCCTTCAGGAGTGTCAAAACGTGAGTTTGTAAAGGGAGAAAAACTTGACTTAAAGGGAGGGGAAGTGTTGACACAATTGAGCTTTTTAGACATGAGCAACTAGACATGAGAAACGGGCCGGGCCCAATTTTCAGGCCCGACCCGCGGGCCCGGCCCGATCGAAATTTTGCTCAGGGCCGGCCCGGCCCGATGGTAGGCCCGGCCCGGGCCTAAATTTTTTTTTACGTGGAAACGGGCCGGGCCCGGCTCATTTTTCAGGCCCGGCCCGATCGGAATTTTGCTCAAGGCCGGCCCGGCCCGATGGCAGGCCCGGGCCGGCCCGGCCCGTTTTTGATTTTGGTCAGGCCCGGCCCGGCCCGTTTTAAAAAATTTTAAAAATTTTAAAACTTAAGAACTAAACGGAAATTTGGCTTTAAATTGTTTTTTTAGGTCATTTATGGATCATAGAATCCAATAAAATCGATAAACATAAACGGGAATTAAAATAAAAAATTAAAAAAAATTTTTTTTTTGGGCCCGGGCCCAATTTTCAAGCCCGGCCCGCAGCCGGGCCTAGATTTCAGGCCCGGCCCGTCTTCGATTTTGCTCAGGCCCGGCCCGTTGCTCATGTCTAGCTTTTCGGCCAATTTGTTGATGGAAACGGCCTTTGAATGAGGTTTTTTGATTGATTTTGCATTGGAAATGAGGATTTTAACTTATTTTTAAGTAGAAATAAGATTTTTATTTTAGTAATATTATTTTTCAGGATGAAATCGGCTTCTCCAAGGACACAGCAGCCGATTTCCTTCGCTCATACCTACGCGAAGTTGATCTACATCGCGATACTCCAGATCCTTTCCTCAATTCCGAAGAATTTGTGGACTATTTATACTCTCGAGAGAACTCAATGTTCGACCCGATCAACCACAATGTTGTACATGATATGAATCAACCATTGACTAATTATTGGATCGCTTCTTCACATAACACGTGAGTCTTTGGGTAATTCTATGATTTTGCTTTGGTTTTTAGGCTTAAAATTGAAATCTTGAGTTTTCTGGGCCGAATATTATAATACGAGGACTTGCTGTTGGATTTTAAAATTTTTTGGTCGGCCACTTGAGTTTTATTCAATGTGTAATTATGTTGTTGTAGGTATCTAACTGGAGATCAGTTAAAAAGTGAAAGTTCGTTGGATGCCTATGCCAGAGCATTGCTGATGGGTTGCAGATGCGTGGAACGTAAGTTTTTTCAACAAAAAAGTTTTAAAAAATCGTCAAAGTTTAAAATTTAATAATTTTTGGCCGAAATTTAAAAAAAATCCGGGAACTTTTGGTTAAATTCTAAAAAAGCTTAATTATCAACCATTTTTTAGTCGATTGTTGGGATGGAACCAAGAAAAGTTCAGGCGAATTCAATGAAATTGTCATTTATCATGGGTACACGATGACAAGTAAATTGAACCTACGTGACGTACTGTTAACTATCAAACACTACGCCTTTCAAACTTCTGATTACCCAGTTATTCTGTCGATTGAGGACAACTGTTCTGTACCTGCTCAACGGTTAATGGCTCAGGAAATTAAGGTAACTTAAGTTTTTGGGTAACAAATTAAAAAATTTCTTTGATTTTTTAAATTTAGGTAACAAAAAGAATAAAAATTGAGTTTTTAAGCTAAAATGAATAAAAAATCCAGGAATATTTGGCCGAAATTAAAAAAATTTTGAATTTTCAGGAAATCCTTGGTGATCTTCTCCTAACCCAGCCAATTAGCAAAGACGAGACCCGTCTACCTTCCCCAGCTGCCTTAAGACACAAGATCATCTTAAAACACAAAAAGCTGATACTAGAAAACGACACCAAGAGCTTATCACCATCATATGAAGAAGACATTGAGACGGATTTACTCTCCAAAGACTGTATGAAGCGTGGAGTACTGTCACTGTACGATGAATCATCAAAATCATGGGAAAAGCACGTGTTCGTACTGTTCCCGGACCGTTTATGTTACGTTATCGACCAGTATGTTGAAAATGAGCATCGTGGAGACTCAGTAAGTCAAGGTGGAGATGAAGAAAGCCTCAATGAAGATAACAATGAAGAGCCGATGAGGACGGCCAATGGCTTTGGTGTTGGGCCGGAGGAAATGCACTTTACCGAGGAATGGTTTCACGGTAAAGTCGGCCGAGACGAAGCCAAAGAGCGGCTTCTAGAGCACAAAGACCCTACCGGCAATGTGGTATATTTGGTACGAGAGAGTGGTACCTTCATTGGTGACTATACTTTGTCGTTCATTCATGCTGGTAAAGTGCACCATTGTCGTATCAAGACCAAAATGGTGGATGGCGAAAAGAAGTACTTCTTTTTGGAGACGAATAAGAAAGATACGTTGTACGAACTGATCAGTTATTATACTAAACATACGTTGGATACACCGGCGTTTAGGTCGTACTTGAGTATTCCTTGTCCTCAGCCACAGCCTCATCTTAATCAGCCGTAGGTTTAAACTTCAGGACTAATAGTGTTTTTGTTACCCCTTCCTCAAAACTTTTTACCCCCCCCCCTAATTATTTTAAAAAATTGTCATGATTTAAAAAAATTACCTAAAACAATATAATTTTAGATGGTTCTCCCCGACAGCCGACAAACAACGTGCTGAAAAGCTCCTGAACACCGTGCCAGAAGACGGTGCCTTCCTGATCCGCTACAGTAGTACCGACCAGAGTGTGTTCGTACTGTCACTGAAGGTCGACGGTGAATTTTGGCATTATCGACTGAAACGGGATGGTCGTATCTTTGTGGTGAATCAAGTAATTTTCGAAAACTTGAATCAAGTGGTCGATTACTTTTCGAATCGCGATTTTGTCCGCGGAATTTGCCTGAAATTCCCGGTAAACGAGCAGAATGTTGGGGAATACATCAGTGAACTGCCGGCTCAGGTCGGGTGTTATATGGAGTTGAAGGATTTGGAGCAGGAGGTGAGTTGTTAGCCGAAAATTTTAAAAATCTGCGAAATTTCGTTTCAAAATATATTTTTGTTACCTATTTTAGTATTATCACTTTGGTTCCTAGGCTTAATTTTAGTTTTAGGCTTAATATTAGCTTTTAAACTTATTTTTATTACTTTAACCCTCTAAAACCCTATATTATTGTAGATTGAAGCAGTAGCGGTGAAAGACTTTGAAGGCATTGGAAACGACGATCTCAGTTTTCAAGTTGGCAGCCGGTTGTCAATTATTCGAAAAGAACCCGACTTATGGAAGGGTCGGCTAGATAATCGAGTAGGCTGGTTCCCTCCAGACTGTGTCAAAGAACTAGACACTGAACCAGGAGCCAATGAGATGAACTATGTCACAATCGACTTGGCTGGCGCAATTATCGACAAAAGCCCGGAATCTCGACCGTTCTCCTTCAAAGTCAGCCAATCGGCGTCGCATTGGAAGTCGAAGGAGGTGGTGGTAGCGGCCGATGACAAAGATGACATGGATGATTGGATCAGTTCCATCAACAGCATGACAAAGTCCGTCAACGAAAAGGTCACGCTAATTCGGTCGAAAGAGAAACAAGTCCGAATCGCTAGCGAGCTATCGGCTCTGGTCGTGTATTGCCAAGCCGTACCATTCAATCCAGACTTCACGTTGGAGGATCCACGTCACAGCTTTTTTGAAATGTGCTCGTTTAGTGAAAATAAGCATGAAAAACTGTTGGAAAAAGGCCTGCCATTGTTTAACGCACGACAATTATCCCGCGTATATCCTCAAGCATCACGGTTAACATCAACCAACTTCAACCCAGTACCAATGTGGTCCTCGGGATGTCATATGGTCGCGTTGAACTATCAAACTGGTGATAGAGCCATGAACTTGAATGAGGGAAAGTTCGCGGCCAATGGTAGATGTGGTTACGTGTTAAAACCGTCGTATCTTCAGGACGAAACTTTCCGACCGGATTTAAGGAATGATACGGAAAGAGAAGGGACTTATCCGGTTACTGTAAAGTTTACTGTAATATCTGGACGTCATTTGAGCCGAAAAGATCATAACAAAGGTATTTGTTCTCCTTTTGTTCAAATTGAAGTTACTGGCCTACCGACTGACAGCAGGATGGTCTGTACTAATACTATCAGTAAGTTTTTGGGCTTTTTGGTACAAGGGCATTTAAAAATAAAAAAATAATTTCAAAATTTAAACTTTAAAAATTTTTTTTAAATTTCAAATTTCAGCCTCAAACGGCCTCAATCCATTCTGGAACGAAACTTTCGAATTCGATGTGTACCGTCCAGAACTAGCACTAGTACGCTTCCTAGTCGAAGACGGTGACTTCGTCGGCCCGAAAACCGACCCCTTCATTGGCCAAGCCGTCTTCCCACTGGACTGTCTACGACCCGGCTTCAGATCCGTACCATTGTTAAACCAATACAGTGAACCACTCGAGATCTCCTCACTTTTGGTACTCGTCGAAATACGACCTCTGTTTGGTACCGACAAAGATTGGATCAACCGCTCCCAACTTCACAGCTACCTACAACAAGCCAGAAGCTGTGTGGAAATCATGTCGGATGGTCGAATGAACCTACCGAAGAAGAATAGTTTAACGTCTAGTCTAACCACCCAATCCAGTCCATCGGTCAAGAGGAATAGTCAGAGTTCGATTGAGAATGTGAATGGAAGTACGACAACGTTAACATCAACAAGGTCGGCCGTGCCACGGCTCTCGTTTGACGTTGGCTATGGGGATTCGATCAGTGTGACAACTCAGGACAGTGATAGAGGCAGAGAGAGTGCTAGTTCACCGATTGGGTCGCCTATTTCCCCAAGGTTGGGCAATTTGCGGAATGGGGACAGTCGAAGTGCTAGTGTGGATTCTGATGAGTAGGTTTTTAATTATTTTTTTTAATTCACAAATTTAAAATTTATAGCTATTTCAGAAGACGTTCTACAAATTTCTAACATCGCCATGTCGTATTTTACAAAAAAATATTTTTAAAATTTTCAGAAGCTCCCATTCGTCCAAGAAGCCCGGTGCCCTAAAGCGTTTGTTCCGATTCGGCCGATAAACCATCAAAATTCTAGTCAAATGACATGTAAATACCATGAAAACCGACTTAATAACACTTTTATCATGATAACTTTTAAAATTATCTCACAGATTTTGATTTTACAGTATTATTAGTGTTATATTATAGTATTGTTAGTGTTATATTACAGTATTATTAATGTTATACTACAGTATTATATTAATTTAGCCATTTTTTGTTCAAATAGATGATGGAAATGCTCTTGGCATTCTAATATTTATGTCGATTTTACTTAATAAACGTATTTATACTTATATCTAAGGGCGTTTTGATTTAAAAATACATTATATACTACCCTATAATTTTTTAAGCCCTATAAAAACTAAAACTTTACAAAAAATAAGCTAATATAATCATAAACTATATAATGGTGAAGTCCCTTCCTCCACTGTAGCATCCTTCACCATATATCGCATGCTTACTGTTGGTACAGTAACTATTTCCAGCCACTCGTCGATCATATTCGTAGTACGGATCATTTGATGGGCTGATCAAATGCGGAAACTTTCTTGCCAACCGGTCATATTTGTAGCATTCCATCTCGGTCAAATTGAAGAACTTGAGACGTTGTTTAATTCCATCCATGATCTCTACCAATTCACGTTTGCCCGAGTCTGTAGAGTAGAAGGAACGTTCCAGACCGTCTACTACGCGCATTAGGAAATAGTATTCTGCTTGCTACAAAAAAAGCTGGTTTATATCGAATATTTGGCGACATTACATCCTAATTTGACGACATGGGCTGACCGATTCACAAATTGACAAAACTCAACAGTAGTAACAGGACAAAACAATATAACACGACTAAAACAATATTAAGTATACATTTTATGACCTACAGCAAAATAATTGACTCCGATAAGCCGAGAAATTCTAGAAGGTCCATTCATGAACATTGATTCATAAGTTCGAAGTCTACATATCTCACGAGCATCTTCACGACTCAAAGGGATACCTACATCGTTATGAGATGTTACCATTGCGTCCACGTAGTCGTATATCTTAATAATTACATTTTTTGAGAAGCTATCATACTGTACACTAAAAAATCTACTTTGATCTGCTACATTATTCGCGTTACAACCATTTCACTAGTATATCAATTTGAAAGGGGATGTAGATATATATACGAATATTAATTCACACTACCACAACACCATCTACCATACCTTATAATACTGCAATACAGCGCCAAGCCAAATAACCGCAAATGAAGAGCTTCCCAATAAAGCAAATGTGTTGATAATATCCGTTGGAAACAATAATAATCTCGCGAAAAATACTATTAGGAATGCAATCGACATTAGTCCAGCTAAAATACGTTAATATACACCACATTTCGGTTTTCTTTTTGTTTTATTGATTTAAATCTGACAAGTTTTGTGTTCTTGATAAGTGATGATTCTTCCAAAAACATATTTCTCAATAATATTACCTAAAATTACTAAATAAAGAACTTACACAGCATTATCACCAATATTCCTGTGCGTTTCTCCCAAAAACCAATGGAAAATCGTCGTAACGAGCAAATTTGAACATGAAAATTGATCAACAACAATATTGAAGTTATCAAAACAAATGCGCATTCGATTTGGTAGTCCTAAACATAGTCGCGACTATAGTTAAATGATCCACGAAATAAGGATTGCATAAAGACTAAGATATTTAACAACACAACAACCATACCAAGGTATACCTCAATTAAAAGTAAAAAACATCAAAGCGACACGATATTCACATAAAAACTTACTTCAATTTTAAAAATCACTTCAAAATCCACTGTAAAATACAAATATATAGCAGTAGAAACAAAAGCCAACTGTAATATAACGAATAATATTAACCATGGTAATCCAACAGTATATCGTGCCATTTTTCCTAAAAAAATAAAGATTTTCCAAGATTTTCTTACCTTTAACACTTTTTTAGCCTCAAAAGTCTTAAAAGAAAATTATTCACCAAGTAATCCAAGAAGATCACTGATAAGGTTAAGGAACTTAAGACCAATCAGTTCAACAGTTTCAAGCAACAGAAACCTCTACTCCAACTTCTAAGTCCAGTCAGTCCGCAAAGAATTGCAAAATCCGCGTCCAAAGTACTAGAAACTCAACTAGTACTTAACGAGAGATGAAAACGCCCGCGACGTGCTTAAATTAAGCGGCTTTGCATAAATAACCAAATGCACCGGATGCTAAAACAATTTCACATTCGAATACCACGTAAAGAACAAGACAACATAGGACTAGCCATTAAGACACTTTTCAAGGTTCTATAGACATTGCATGACTTAAATTATATTGTTCAAGACAATAGATTCGTAGGTTGTTTATACCACATGATTAATATACATCAAGCGTAATTTTTAGAAATATACGAAAACAAAGCAACAAAAAAATACTGGCAAAGCCATAAATTCCTACAATAACAAGCTGAGTTATTATCACTTAACTTGAAGACATCCCCCTTCAAAATCCAGGTGTACCTAAAGCAATAAAATTTCAAAAAAATTAAACTTACATCAAACAGAGCTCCTTCAAATAGAATAAATTAACTTCCTTCGACTTTTGAATTCAAATGTAAGCCGAAGAACACAATCTCAGACTAAAAATTGCAATCGTTGGCCCAAAACTTCCAAACCGAACGCTTTTCTCCATAAACAACATCGAAGTGCGTTAAATTTATGCATAGAAAATTGGATTCCGAGTTCGCGACCTTCCTGAATAGCCTGAAAATGATGTAATTTTTATGAAGAAAACAAGTAGAAGATGTAAACTTCCTCAATATAGCAATAATGTTGCTAAAACGTCAGAAAGGGACTAAATAACGCACGTTATTTGGCTTTGAAGCCTAAATTAGGCGAATTACAATTGTTTAAACGCTTCCTAACATAAAAAACCTAGTAAAACTATTGTTTTTGATAGTAAAACCATATAATTCAAATTTTTACCGTGATAAACAACATGCAACTCCATGAAAAGTCAACAAAATTCTGTTTTTGCAGAAAATCCGTCACCACATTATGACGCATTTTCTGTAAATTAATTTTTTTTGCCGAAAAACCTGAATTTTCGTAAAATATTTGAATAGAAGTTGAATTGTTGATCAAAAATGACAATATTTTCTCAGTTTGTTTCAATTTTGAATTTGCAACTGGTCGAAAATGTCTAAAGATGCAGCAGCGCCGGAGATCGACGAAGAGGATAGAGACGCACAGACATTGCCTGAGACCGTTGATGCTATCAACAAATCCGACGGAAAATTGATTTGGGAATGGTACGATAAGCTAATGAAGGTGGGTAGATGCTTTGTTAGGTATTATAATTGTTTTTGAATTTGTTTGCGGTCAAATATTGTCAAAGGCGTTTGATGGGATGGATTATATTGTTGCAAAGGCTGATGCACGATGGAGAGTGCTTTAATTGTTTTGAAATTTTGAAATAAGCAAGGCTGCAGTCTTTTGTTCTAGGTAGTCGAAGCTCAAATTCAAAAATTTTATTTACTTGAAGTTACAATGATTTTGCTGTCATCTACTCTTTAAAAATTTTTTTTATTTATCGATTCTTAATTTCCAGAATCCACCATCTGTCGACGCTTTTCTTGATCCGAAGAATGTTGCAAAGAACCGCTTTCCTAATATGTTGTTATACGACAAAAGCCGTGTTAAAATTACAGGAGGCGACGACTACATTCATGCTTCTTGGGTTGATGGTTATGAACATATTGGTAAGCTAATTGGCAATTTTTTTCTTTACTTTTAGGTCGTTACATTCTTTGTCAAGTTCCATTTGACCAGGAAACGGAGTCAGATTTCTGGCGGATGTGTAATCAAGTGAAACCATCGTTGATTGTGGTACTATGCAGCTCACTGGATGGTCAGGGTAAGAAGCAGATGAAGGACTTTTGGCCAGCACCAAAAACTGACAAAAAATATGGACAGGGGTTGGCTGTTAGGAACAGCTACAATGAACCGGTAAGCTAAAAAAATTTTTAAAAAATTTAAATTTCCAACAATTTTAAAAAATTTTAGTTGTTTTTTAGTCTGAAGCTTATTTTAAATCTTTTCAGAATCGCGACTTCGACTCCCACGAGCTCTACATAACAGACACCAGGGAGAAGGCCAAAGTCGAGCACAAGGTCGCTCTAATGCAGTATCGAAAGTGGGTATCGGACGAGGAAATGCCAGATAACTTGCTTGAGTTTCGTGCTATGATGAAGATCGCATTCGCACGTGCCGAGAAGGAAGGACGTGGTGAAGGTCCATTGTTGTATTTGTGTCCGAATGGATGTCATCGATGTGGAATCTTGGCCGCTGTGGACATTATTATCGAACGGATTAGTTCGGAGAAGAAGGTATGGGGGTGAGATTGAAAAAATGAATTTTTATCCAAAATTTCGAAAAAAATGTTACCTAAAAAAATTTGGTTTAAAAATTTTAAAGACTGTTGGTTTTTTGACATAAAACCATATTTTAGGTAACAAAAATAACTTTTTCACTCATTTTAGGTTGGTGTAAAAGAAACTGTCGTGAACATAAGAAAACAACGCTACGGAGCCTTCCATCGGTTCGAAGCCTACGCCTTTGTTGCTGACCTACTGGTTCGTCATGCCGTTTCTTCTGGACTGGTCGACAACAATTTTATTGGACTTAGAAAGACTTGAACTTGAATATTTTAAAGGCCCTCAGGCCTTAATTTGGATAAACTTTAATTTTGATTTTGTATTAGGCTTAAATTTACATATTTTAGGTATCTAGGTATTTATTAAGGTTTTAGGTATCTACAATTCATAGTCAAATCCAAATGTCACCTGCACTCTTCGGCCGAAGTCTTTGGTCGACTGCCTGACTCATTGCCTATCCCTAGACTATCAGAATCCCCAAAAGTTTTTGTAGGTGAGATAATCCCAGTATCCGGTATTATCCACGAAACTTTTAATTAAAAGCAAAATCTCGAAAAGTTATGACCTAATTCCGGTCGATTACTGTAGATTCGTGAATAGTTTTTGCGAAATTCGATATTTTTGGAAAGCTATTAATGTTTGAGGATTAGCTGATTGTTAATTGAGGTTAATTAAGGGGTGTCTGGCTGTTTGGAGTGATAACCGATAAATTTATTTTTGTAAATTTTAGCTTTAGGCTTAAAAATTAGGATTAAGTTAGGCTTAAGCTTAAAAACTTAGGATTTGGCTTAAGTTTAGCCTTAAAGGCTTTGTTTTACGCTTAGGCTTAATCATAGGCTTAGCTTTAAGCTTAGGTTTATTTTTAGGTTTAGTAACTATAATAACAATGCTTTAGAATGACATAGTTTAGGTTTATATGCGGTACATAACAGTGTCTAGTCCAAAAAATGTAGGCTTAGACTTTTTAATTTCAGGCTTTGTGGGTATAGGCTTAGTGAAATTAGGTTTCGAAAGATTAGGATTAGTAGGCTTACAGGGGCAATAAGCGCAGGCTTACTCTTAGGCATATCAACCTTGTTAGGCCAATAAAATACCAACTCTTCAATTCGATAATATTTATCTTTGTATAAAGAAAACCAAAGTACACATCATCAACAGGCCAACAATCGCATCACCATGAAGAAGTAAAACACAACGATGAAGAATCACAACCGGAGCTAATAGAAATTTGAATGCATTCTTGAAAGACACTGATACGACGACAATATATATATATATTATGCTGATTATATTTAACAACTTATCTATTACGGGCATTAATATATGTATAATATATAGTAAGTGCCGACATAAAGAACCCGCCATACTTTTCCTATAATTTTCTGTAAAAAATGGCGGGTTTTTTATGTCGGCACCTAATTAATATTAGTTTGAACCAAAAAGTAGCGGGACAGCTTTTAGTTGAAAATTGAATGAAAAATGTCCCGCTACTTTTGGTTCAGTCTAATAGTATTATAAAGAAGGAGGTGAAGTCTAGAAGTTAATAATGTTAAATGACATAAGATTATTAAAAACAATTTTTAGGTACCATATGGTACTGAACATACCTATAATAATGTATGGAGTTTTCTATAATATTAAGTGCCGACATAAAGAACCCGCCATACTTTTCCTGTAATTACCTGTAAAAAATGGCGGATTCTTTATGTCGGCACCAAATAATATAAAGAAAAATATGATTAATCGGTCAAAAAGTTTATAGAAAAGTGTGTATTTGCATATTTGCGATGTTAAGTCAAGAAACATTACTTCTATTACAAAAAAGACTAAAATAATTTTAAAAATTTCAAAATTTCATAAAATGTTTAAGATTTAATCAAGTTTAAACAAAATCGCCAAATAACCTTATCAAAAGACAGAACCATTCAATGGTACCGGCTTGTGCAGCACATACTGGTCCTGACTCGTACTCATCAAGTTGACATTGTGCAGTTCACTCAGTTGTTGTAGCTGTTGTAATGTCACGTTGTTCAGTGCTATCGAGTTCATCTGTGGCATACACATCTGACTGTACAACTCCCTGTGTTGCGACATCAGAATCTCCGTCTCGAGCGGATTCTGATACATTGTCGATATCGACGATGTGGATTCGGCACTAGATGGTGATGCACTTGATCGTGCTGGTGATCGAATGGTCGTACTGTTCTTGCGGGTTGATACTAGGCCAATTCGTGGACACATGCTACCGGTGCGACGATAGCGGGTCATGATTTTGGATACACATGAGTGGGTAACACCGATCATTCGGGCTATATGACTAATTTTGTGACCTCTTTTGTAGAGATCGAGGATGCGTTGACGGTCGGCCATGGCCAGGGGACGGCCTGGGTTGTAGCTGCGGCCAAGCTTGTTTTTAGCTGAAAATTTTAAAAAATTAAAATTTTTTAATGTTCAGCCCACCAAAAAGTTGTTTTGCTTTTTATTTTCTAACCCTCTGTTTCATTAAAAAATTTTAAAAAAATCACCCCCCAAAATTTTTTTTCAAAAAAAATTACCCCGCCCAATTTTTTTTAAATCCGCTTACAAATAGAATTCATGCCAGAATAGTCCATACTTCCCTCCTCAACACTGATCTGTCGTAGTGGTGGTGGCGAGTCGACGGTCGCATTCGTACTGCCCAAATCGACCGGCGTTGAAGCGGCAGTCAATGGCATGGGCGGTGTGTTGGGCGCCGACATATTGGGCACCAAAAATGGCAGTTGAGGCTGGATTTCGGGCAAGAGGGTGGGCTGGGGAATCTCGAGTTGTTGAGGTTGTTGCATTAGGAGCGCAAGAAGGTTGGCGTAGGGAAAAAGGGATTGGTACTGGGAGTTTTGCATCAGCATTTGCACGAGATTGTGGTCCATACCGGCTTGCTGAAATTGAGGAGGGTTAAAAATTGTTGAAATTTTGGATTATAATGTTATGAAACGAACGAAATTTCAAAAAAAAAATGAAATTAAAAAAAAATTTTTTCCCCCCCCCCCCTTATCGAATCAAAAAAAATATTTAAAGGCATCCACAAGCTCAATCACTTGTTGCCAAGCTGTCATACTTAAATAATATGTTTTTACCCCGCCGTTTACCACAACTTCTTATAGCCAGCCGGTTGTCACTAAACAGCATACCTTAAATTCTTGTAACCAGCCGGTTGTCACTAAACAGCATATCTTAAATTCTTGTAACCAGCTTATTTCTTCATACCAAATATCTCAAAAGCCTTAAAGCCAACCGGTTGTCACCAAGTTGCCGACCCTAACATAAATCAACCCCAGCCAGCTCAACCCAACTCGACCACAATTAACCTCAGCCAGCTCAACCCAACTCGACCACTATTAAGCCCAGCCAGCTTAAACTAGCTCGACTACAATTAACCCCAGCCAGCTCAACCCAAGTCGACCGCCAACTATACCCAGTCAACCGAACACTGACTGAAATTTTGAAAACGAACCGCCTTAAGTACGAGTCATGGTGACGTCCGGATAAGCCACTGTGACACGGCAAGATTTAGCAGCTAATCCAACAACTCACTAAGAGCTTCGAATTGTGGTCAACAAAATGTAAAATGTAATCCGAACACTCGCGCGCCCCGCCCCATTTGTCTGTTCGTTTGGGCCGCGCCCAATCAGCGGCCGCGGGGATTTGGGGCCTCAAGGGGAGGAAATCTAGGAAGTTTTAGGCTTATAATAGTAAATTCTAATGAACTAAGCCTAAAAATTATTGCAAAACTATTTTATACACATAGTGCAACACCAGTACTACAAAGTAAACAACAAAAACAGCCATTTCAGCTAGCGAAAGCCCGTCCCCAGCCAGTCCCCCCGACCCCATATTCGCACAAAGGCGTGGCCTGAAAGAATTTGTTGCGGGATTAGCCGCTATTTCCGGCGGCCATAATGTCTGCCATAAAGACAATTGCCTACAATAGACTGGTCTACGTCACAGTGAACCCTAATCCGAGGTTATACTAGTCTGTATTAGTCTATGGAGGGGGTTATGTCTAATAAAGATAAGGTCAAACTGACTAACGCTTCCTACTTGGATTTGTTAGTCATTTGGGCTTTAATAGGTTTATACGAGTTTTGGATTGAGGGGGGGGAAGAGTAGGTAGCTACAGTAAGAACTGATGTGAAGGTAATTTTGTTCTTAAGGGCGGGGGGGGGGAGGAGAATGTTTAATAACAAAACTTTTGATTACATATAAGAGGCTTCGTGAGTAATAGTAGTAAGTTTGTAAGAGGGGTAGGGGAGGGGGGGGGGAAGATGAAAAATAACGACCCCCCCCCTTACCTCACTCTCTATATATGTTCCACTTCTTCAAAGAACCAATACTATAATAACTCGTCGTAAAACGAATACCGTGCCAAGTATAAGATAAGGTAATCCTGTTATTGACACAACAATCTTCTTACTTGACAATACTAACAATTGTAATCTTGTTGTTATTACTACTTTTATCAATGATTCTAAAGTCAGTCACAATATAAATTTTAAATTTGCATATAACAATTGTAACTGCTATAAAATAACTATTGTACCAACTATACGGTAACAATTGTAACAACTATAATGTAACAATGGTGAAAACTACACCAATTGTCTGGACTCTTAGACAATTGCTCGTACAAGTGTGGTGTGCCAAGACTAGACTTGTTAGCAAAATTTTTTTTGCGAAAGTCACGCACACAGAGGTATAGCATGTGAAAGAGAAGATGAGTATTGTTGTTGCAAAAACTGTTTACATTAATTATTATATACGACAATGTGTAATATTGCGTCATATTGCATCAATTTGATGACAATTCGAATCTCTCAATTCAACTATTGTATTTATTGTCAGCAAATACAAATTTAGAAGTACTGTATAAAAGTACTGTATAAGTGCTGTATAAACTGTATAAAACTTTGTAGGCTTACATTACAAAGTTATAGTAATTTTCATACGATCAAATTTATTTAGTATCCCTTATACTATCTTACTGTCGTACACCCTATACTACCATATACGTACCACCTAAGCTCTGGTCTAATACCAGCTTCTGTAATGCCTTACAATGTACGTATCAAGTAGTCTAAGCTAACAAAAATTATATGTTGTATTATATCCGTTCGCGACATATTTCCTTCTAATACGACAACATATCTTTTGAGGTTTCTTTAAGTACACGGATATCCCAAATGCCGCCGTTTATATAGAAAAAACAACAACATAGAGTTAAAAGTGCGTCTGTAGCCTTAGTTTATCTAAATACCATGTCATTTGATTATAGTACTTCTGGAGGTTGGTAAATACTGTACTGATGTGACAAAAATCATTTTGCTTTAGAGTACTAAATGATATTAGATGCCGACATAAAGAAACTATAGTTTTGTTAATTTCCTGTAAAAAATGGCGGGTTTTTTATGTCGGCACTTATTGAAACAGACTAGACTAGGATTAATACTATATTAATCAAGAAAGTCCCAACATTAGGTATTAAAGAGCTAGAAGATTAAAAGAAGAAGACAAAGCAGAAGAAGAAGAAGAAGACGAAGAAGAAGGAGAAGAAAAAGAAGACGAAGACAACGACGAAGACGAAGAAGAACAAAAAAAGAAGAAAAAGAAGAAGAAGAAGACGAAAAAGAAGAAGAAAAAGAAGAAGAAGAAGCTTGAAATCGTGTTCAAGTATAATATTTTTAGTATATCGCAAACAAGTGAACCAAAGCCATGTATTCGCGTAAATTACAGTAAGCTTTGGCGCTAATCATTCCCTAAAGCGTTTTAGACTTAAGGCGATAAAACAACACACAGGAAGTGGTCATGTTCAACTACTCTATTAATGCAGATTGACCAAGCAATTTACAAAATTAGTTCGCAGTTTCTTGGCGGTACAGGTGACTTTTGTTATATATACCATACTCAACATTCAGCCCTTGTTATAACGTTAGAGAAGGGCGGGGGGGAGGAGGCATAGAGGATGGGAGTAGGGGGGGGAGGGGGGGGTCAAGCAGAGTCTTTTGGGACTTGGTTAAAGCCAGGCCTTTAGTCCCACACGTTTTGGCCCAATCTCTTTCAACTATTCTTCAACCCGGTCTAGCCCGCGGTCAAGCTAATTCAACGCCGGGCCTAGTGAGCCTCTTTTCAAGCCTAGTCACAATACAAAGGTAACACATTAGCAATCCCGGCTTTCAACTTTTCTTCAACCTAAACAAGCCCGAGGCCAGGCCGGACCAAGGCCGAGTCTAGTTAAAGTGAACCTTATCTCAAGTCTAGTCACAAAACAAAAGAGACACATCAGCAAAACTACGTATTTACAATCCCAGAAACTGCGTACAAACAGTATTTATAGCCGTTGTAAGACGGTTGTTTTACAATAATGCATATTCGAAATTACTATGATGTATGCCACGTTACAATCGGCTAATGTATCAAACGTTATCGGGATCAGTTACGATGAAAACGTATTTACAAGCTCGCGACGCAGTTGTTTACTATCAACACTATGTGAAGGACTACGGCGCTACGTGAAGGCACTACGAGGCTGTGTGAAGACATAAGTGTAGATTTTCGTTTCGAACATCTCGACATACATTATACTTATGACAGTTTTTGATGTCAGTGCGCGTTAATTTAAAGCGATTATTGCGTTTGGGATGACAAGTACGGTATTGTTTGGGTGAACGTTTGAGATTTGAATGATTTGAGAATGTTTTATGTGCTCTTTACTGTAGGCTTACAGTAGAAACTATTGTAACTTTACGATAGAAAGTAATGTAACTTTCCTATAACAGATACTGTAGCTTTACGGTAGAAACTACAGTAACTTTACAATAGAAGCTACTGTAACTTTAAAATAGAAACTACAGTAACTTTACAATAAAAAGTACTGTATCTTTACAATAGAAACTACTGTAACTTTATGGTAGAAACTACTGTAGCTTTATAGCAGAAATCATAAACACTGTTTTTTTTAATTTACACCGCAGTAAATCTAAAGATCTTGCGGTCGAGCTCAATGTAAAGAACAAGTCGCTTCCGATGCCCAATCCGTTCCACAAACTTCAACCATTTTGTGACATTTTGCGGCTTCACGAAGCTTCATTGTCAGACGACGTAAAAAGACATCTAATCCTAGTGTTCTCGCACTACCTTAATCGTCGCTTATCCTTTCCTCAACTTGTATATGTATTCTTGCCGTCGAAGGGATTACCGGGCCGTGACGCGCCGGAAAGATGAATACTCGGTAAAAATATTTGCAAGAAGGTTATTTACAGAGTAAGGTAGTTTGTTAAAAATTGTAAAGTATTTTTTGAAAATTGGTGTGGACTATGATATTAGGTGCCGACATGAAGAACCCGTCATTTTTTACAGGAAATTACACAAAAAATATGGCGGGTTCTTTATGTCGGCACCTAATAAATACTCAACCTGCCTTGCTCAGAATCATCTCAAAATTTTTATATGGTTCCCTTATATCAACAATAGTACCCATAAAAAATTTTAACTCACGTTTTCAAGTTTAAAATTTTAAATATTTTATTTTCCCGCCAATTTGGAAAATTTGGCATTGTGTTCAAGCACTTTTTTTGACTTTCCAGATAAGCTACGCTTACAAATTTAAAAATGTAGGTTCTTTTAAAGGTATTATACTAGTATATCAAAGAAAAATGATTAAAAGTCAAAACATGACAAAGTTAGAAGCTTTAAACACAATGCCAATTTGGCGCGAAATTCAAAAAGTGATTTCTATTAACGTGATCGATGACTTACTGTAGCAAAAGTTTGAAGTCAATCAGGGCGGGGTACGTTGGGTACTTTCCTTGTAAGTTATTAGGTGCCGACATAAAGAACCCGCCATAATTTGCCAGTAATTTCTTGTAAAATATGACGGGTTCTTTATGTCGGCACCTAATATAACTAAAATCGCAACAAAACCCTGCACTTTGTCAAAAGCCCACCTTGATATCATCCCCAGACTATGCAAAAGGGCAACCTTTTGTTATATGCAATTGTTTCCACCGATACCTGCAGCTGTGGAAACAATTGATCCCATCTCTTCACGCCACCAGTTTCCGGGACCAATTGACGTCAGGAAATGTTAATCGTTCCAACATCACAGCTCCATATTATCTTATATGTATATTATCCATGGTTGTAGTGGTTGGGGGCTAATCCGACACATTCTAATCGCATATCACCGGTGATTAAGCGGCCGGATTATCCGGCCAGATTAGGCAACAAAGGAATGTTGTGGAGATCGGGTAAGATTATGCTAATGTGCAAATTACATTGGAATGTAACTGATGTAGATTAGGATGGGATCAGATTTAGATTAGGACTGATTCGGATGTAGATTAGGAAAGGATGGTTAGAGTTTGGATTAGGGTACTAGGAAGCTTGGAGACGACTAAATTGGATGTTACAAGCTTAGATTACATTGAGTTAGGTTTGTAGCTTATGACTAGGTAGGGTATAAGTGACTCAGTTTTCCATGATTAACCAGACTAAACTTGTAGTTGCCATGTAACACCAGATTCGTCTTAAAGTTGCTATATAACAGTACAAGGTTGCAAAATAACAGTACAAAAAAGTTTTCAGGTTAGGTACGGTTGCTATTATACAGGGTGCGCCAAAAGTTCTGTTACACGGTTTTTTAATTAAATATTTATTGTAACAACATAGAGAAAACGACCGGTAAAGTTTTGTAACACAACTTTTGGTGCACCCTGTATAAACCGTAGCTTAATTCTTAGCCTTAGCCTGAATCTTGTTAGTACTATCAAGTCTACAAAATAGTTAAAGCTTATCATTTCATCATACCTGGCTAACAAAAAATACTACTATAGTCATCATGAGCAACTACATTATCTTAAAATTTGTATGTGAAACATGCCTAATGACAAACGTTCTTCTTAATCTGTATGTATTAGTATTCCTCCTCCTACATTTTAAACCATAGTACGGTACAATTAAGGAAGTATAAAGATTACTATGGGGTAATTGAAATAGATTAATTAAATCTAATTTTCATTATTATAAATGGAATGTTTTAATAATCCAAGGTATGAACATGTGCGATAAAAGTGATTTTAAAAGACCTTGAATCTTGACTTTTTTGATATTTTAAACAACATTTTAAATTAAAATTGAACAGTGAGGTAAAACACTATATCATAAAACCACAAAATACCTTAAAACAAATTTCTGACACTTTTTACTAACAAGGAAAGTATCCCACTTGCCCAGTTCTGATTGGCTTCAAACTTTTTATATAGGAAGATCATATATATATAAGATCTTCAGCAAAGTACTAAATCGCGCTTTCTAGTCAACGTCAAGAAAATCGTGATCAAAAAGTAATGTTTTGAATTTCCCGTCAAATTGGCATTGTGTTTTTAGCTTATAACTTTGTCAATTTTTGACTTTTAACTATTTTTCTTTTCTATACTAGTAGAATACCTTTAAATAAACCTACATTTTTAAATTTGTAAGTGTAGCTTGGCTGGAAAGTAAAAAAAAAGTGCTTGAAACATAATGCCAAATTTGCCAAATTGGCGGAAAACCCAAATATTTAAAATTTAAAACTCAAAAGCGTAAGCTAAAATTTTTTATGTGTACTATTAGTGGTACAAAGAATTCATACAAAAATTTTGAGAGAATTATGAGTGAGGCAGGTAGGATACTGTAAAAATTTTGAACTGTTTTTACCCAAATACATTTGTTCAGAATTTAAAAAAAATTATATTTATGTATGATACATAGTCACGTTATAAGTCACTCGTACTGTTAAAAACTTTACAATTTCATCGAATCATTTCCCTCGAAATCCTTGCAAAATACTACAATTGTCTCAGCCGTAAAGATGTTTACAATTACCAAAAAGTTAATCTCATTATTTACAATTATCAGTATGACTTTTGTATTACAATATATTATTGAAAATGTCACGTGGTATATATAAAATAAGGCTGGAAACCTTAATATTAGGTGCTGACATAAAGAACCCGCCACTTTTTACAGGAAATTGCAGGTAAAGTATGGCGGGTTCTTTATGTCGACAACTAATATTTAAAAATAGTTGAAGATCTTGATATAATAGAGCTGATATGGCCACGAAAAGTAAAAAAATTAAAAAATTGTCATCCCCCCTCCCCTTCCTCCCATATATAATACATAACCATCGGTTTAAATTTAAAAATTAAAAAAGACAATAGATGTTCAATCTAGTTTCGCTTCCCTTATATACATTAATCGCCTATTCAAATATTTGTATCACAAGCTATACCAACTCGCAACGCCCTTTATGACAGAATCAACGTAGTAGTTACGGAAAAACTGGTCAGGCTTGTAACGCACTGCTCGGCCTACACGTTGTTGATACAGCTGCTGGAAGCAGGATGTTGAATTTTTGCTGCTTTTTGGCACTGTAGCGTTGAGTCACGTATACAATGTCTGACGATTTTATATTTACGTATATATTAATAGTGACAATATTATATTTACATCTTTTGGTGCATATGTAGCTAGTACTGAACACAGTTATGCTACAGTAACCTATAGACTTGTCTATCCTTATTACCTTACAGTAACCCTCAGTCTTCTTGTATGCTACAGTAACCTATCGTCATAGTTTTCAAAATAAAAAACTATAATCATACTAAACTCTGATATGTATTAGGTGCCGACATAAAGAATCCGCCATTTTTTACCGGAAATTACAGGAAAATCATGGCGGGTTCTTTATGTCGGCACCTAATAAGAGTA